AACTCTAATCAAGCGAATAGCGAACAATATGAATGCCTCAGAGACAGTGTTACCATCGCTATTGATTAGTAGATACTTGGCCCTCAACAGTGCTCTATTTAGTCAGGGATCAGGGTGCAGTGTCCCACAGACTTCAGTGCATCAACAAGGGACTGCTTCCTGGGAGACTTTTGATCCATGTATGTACCTCCCTTTTTGCAGTATGAGATAGTACGCTCATCTCACGCCCTAACCTTATACAGGACACATCCAGACGGTTCATGATCTGGTATGTATACTTTAAGCCTTATAAAACATACTTTTTTTTACGTTTTCTTACCTGAGACTAGGGCCCATTAGTACCCGGATTTTCGGGTCCGCACAGAAAAAATTAAATTTGAAAGCAATCTTGAGCTTGCGAGTGCCAACAAACTAGCCACGACCAACGAAGGAAAATGGCGGTATACCCACTTTTAGCGGGTGTCAACCCTGGTACCGTAGGTTTGGGGAATAACTTCCCAGACAATATGGCTCTTTTATTCTCTATTCTTCGAACACTTGAGTGCGTAGAATCGTGTCATCATGACTTGTGCCTGCTGACTATTGAAGCTGATTTCCACTAGTAAGTCGTACCACTTAGGTTGTAGTCTGTGTGTCCCCTCTCGGTCCAGGTACAGTCGGTAGTGACTACTCGACAATAGAAAACTGTGGGTTACCAACATCCTGGATATCGAAGGAAACTAAGGGCTGTACTAATCCTCGGAGGAAAAGATAGCGTAACTGTTCCCGTCAATAGTACTAAGGTACATAGTAAGGAGGGGGTTCTGATTTGATTTCGATTCCTATTGTTCTTATTCGAAATGGGGTATCTGTTGGGTCCCCACCAAAAATGTACCAGAATTCCCGCTCAAAGTAAAAAAAAGGACAAAGAACCAAAAAGTGACTTTCGGGGCGGGACGCGGACCGTCGTCCACATTTGGTCAAAGTCAACTTGTCCAATTGCAGTGGATTATTTTTCCGCAGCTAAACCATTTCGGTTCGGGCCAAGTAGTAAGGTATTACCAACCCATCCAGAGTCCAGAGTCAAAGCAAAGTACCTTTCTTGGTAGATACTGCGAGCAGTAAGCAATAATGATGAGTACACTCTGGTATGGTCAGGCTAGTGACTGGTTGAGACCTAGGTCCATATTTATTAGCTAAGCAGATACGGATGGAACAGGGATGCCGTCTCTCAGACTTTGACTCTTACTGTACTCCGTACCATACCAATATATCCTCGTGTCATCACTCGTCAAGGCATCATCCTCCTGCTAAACTTCTTTTAGTTTTGCCACTCAGAACTCAACTAATCAGCTTATCTGGCCGTGTTCCCAACACTCTGGTTGAAGGATCCGAAGCTTTTCGGATGTCATTCCTCTTCAAGCACTTCTGCTACGGTGCTACCCCTAGTGCCCGTGGGAACCCCCGACGCTGAATCTCAATAATACTTGGTAATTCGCAGGCTCCATATCATTATTACTAGTTTACCTAAGTATTATCTTTACTAATATGTACATAGTAGGTACCTAAATGACTATTTATTCTCTGGCTCATCCATGGTCCATCAACCGCTTGGAGCCCACCGCATTGCATGCATCCGCTCCGAAGTGGACCACGGTTGTTGCATACTGTGGCCTGTATCCACGGAGTATCTGTCATTCTGTCAACTGTCTCGACTCTGGAATAGGTCCATGAAAAAGGGTCCAGACCAAAATACCAATCACAATCATAGGTACCATGCCTTACCTTAGCGAAGAGCATGTCTTGAGCCTGGAAAGTACAATAACTCAGCCACAGAACCATGTGAGCCATGAACAATAGAGTTCAGCAATTGGTAATCAATGAGCACACTGCAGCAGCGGGGTGCAGGTACAGGATTAGATGAATCACTCTCTGCTAAATAAGTGCTAATCTTGTTAGATAAATATACGCAGATTCTGTGCTCAAGGAGATTTTTGATCTGCACTCCTAGGCAGAGCGCACCGTGCGCGTAGGACAACCTTCCCTGATTGTTGTCATGGACTGACAGGATTTAGGCTTTTTGACTTGATTGTATTCGAGTTTCCCGCCTTGACGGCCTTGATCTCGAACTCTACCAGTCCGTAGGTACCAATTACCTAGTCCAGTAACAAGTACAACTACGTACGCCCCTAGCAGCAAAATAAAGTTCGTGTACCTTATCCATGTGACGAGTGGCAACTTACTCTGAGTACATCTCTCACTAATGTCCGAGGAAATTTAGGAAAATAAATGGATTTGCACACCGCTTCCCAGACTGCCGGGTCCAAGGCTGTAGGCTGCAACGTATTCCGTCACTCTCCTCATAAGCGAGCTTTCGGTGACTTAATAACTTACCTAGGTGGGTAAGGTACCTACCCTGATAGGGGGTACATGGCTGCAGATTCTGTTCATGAAGCTGCCCAGTCTCTTATCGCTAATGCGAGCCTACCTAGGGGTGCTTTGTGGACAGTCAAGTACAGTATCATTACCATGCCTTCAAACACGAGATCAGCACAGTTAAGTAGTTAGAGGCTCATGCTACTGAGGAATTATCTCGGTAGGAGAAGGTACCCACAATACTACATAACAGTAAACCTCCCTACCCACACTTAATTTAATCTGCCTGTTATCATTCACCAGTCTCGACTGGACCACCACTGAACTTAGTAGATATTTAGTGTCCGTCGCACTCGAGATCTCCATTCAGGACTAGGCGGATATATCTACCGCATGTTTCTTCATTCGTCCCCTGTCCACTCGGCTCGCCAACCCACAAAACCTAACCCCGTCTCAACGCCCAATCAATCTGTCTCATCTAGTCCGGTTACTATTTACGCGGATCAAGTTTCAAACCGCACGGCGTATACAGCGAGAATCATCATCCATCTTCTTGAGGTAGATAGCCATCAATGAGGTTTGTCATCGCATCATCGATCGAGAATAAGCGCCTTTCCCCTCGAGCAATGTGCGGAGCCCAAGATGAGTCATGAAGGTCCTAAAGACCTCTGCTGCAGTGCAAGCGTTAATCAAAGCTGTTGTGGGGTCGTCAACTTGTACTTTCTCCCGCGCTTGCACCCACATCTTCCAGTCTCAGAATCAGATTACTGGACAGATCCTCAGAAGCGCCACAAACTGGCGGATATTGAGGACAATCGATTACTTGAAAGTCTCGACCCTTTTGCAAATATGGATCCTCTATCAGCTAGTTACATGGTACACAAGGCGTGTCGCCGTTCCAAGTTATCACTCCGTGGAATAACTGGAGGTGACCGCTGCATTGAACAGGCGCCAGTTGGTCCAAAGGAGGATTCGGAATTAGGGACAGTGATAAGATCGACAGTCAGCATGGAACGCATCCTCTCACAAAGTTTAAGTTCTTCTGGCCAGCTACAGACAAGGTAGCCACCTTCACCTCACAGAAGGAGGATGCTTGCTTGAGCCACAAACGCCACGACCAATCATCTGGTGCATCTCGAACTCGGCAACGGGTTGCCTTGCACCGGGAAGGTTACATGGAAGGATGTCACCGCTCCATTCAGGAACTAACTGTTCCTGGTCAACTCCTCGACGGCAAAAATAACAGGTCGACGCGGCGGTGCTGACCGCCCCGGTCGTCTGTACGTACTGGGAAACTTGAAACGCTCCATTTGCGGCTGTGCATATGTAGCTAGATGGATTCGGCGATTGAACGTGGACAGACCAGGTGAAGAACCGACTCGATTCGCCTGTGCTTCCCACTATGTCTCCACCCAGGTATGACACTCCGATTAAGCTCTCTCAGCGATCGACCAATCCAAACGGCAAATCTCTCAGCATTCAGCAAGAGGACTTGCGTGAGCTTAACCAGCAGAGATCATTGATGAAAATTGTGGATAGGAGACAGCCATTGTGTAACTCATGCGCGTCACTTGGAGCACGCGAATGGGACCGGGCCCAGCGTGTCACACAGCTCGTCATCGAAGGCACAAAGGGACGGTGACGTAGAGTCGCGCTCCTATTCCGTTGCCTGGGTCGATCGTTTCCCAACTATCCTTGAAAGAATAGCCAATCAGTCAGTCTCCTTCTGATTTCTCAATTTTTCCCTCTTTTGTGCGCGATGGCAACCGATAAGCCTTCCCAGAAGTCACCTGAAGACCATATGGTACACAACGATGTCGATCTTATTTGCAGCAGCAATGATGGCAACTGTGGCGGCAGGAGTGCTAGTTAGAAGAGACCACTACTCTGTACACATCGCCGAGGTCCAACGACTTCACATTGCGCACATGTCTAATGTCACTCGTGAGCGAAAAGGAAAAGAAGAGGAGATGGAGCATGTCTCATCGGTCAACAGCTGGCACCGCTTCTTCAAGGAACTGGGGCCCGCTTGAAAAGTCAAAGATCCACGTCTGCAGGGCAGCGCCGTGAGGTTTCCTAAAACTGATATTCTAGGGTTAACTATGCTGAAATATGGACTATCTATATCACAACTACCGGCTATTATTACTACGCAACAAGGAATCTACTGCGTCCCCAGTCTACATTGGGGACTTTTCAAATTGGTTTTGGGTCCAAAGTCGAGGCAAGGTAGGTGAAAGAGAGAAGTCAGTTATTCTCAGCCTTTATGAGACTAGAGGTTGCCTAGCACTTCGTAGACTTCCAGCCGCTTAACAACTTGACGATACCCGGTAGAATTCTCCCGTTTATGGTTACATGAGAGCACTTTCAGGATGGAGACAAACATTTCTAGCAATTCTTGGCTTCCCGTCCTGGCATCCAGCCCAGCTAAGCGAGATCAAAAAACAAAGCTAGGTGAGAGAGAAGAAAGTAGATAGAATGATGAAATCCACTCTGAATATGCTATTATTATTCTCACTTGCTTTGTTGTTGCTGAGAATTTGATGCGCTCAGCGAAAAGCGAAGATGTATGGAGTGGTAAAAATGCACGGGGGAATGTAGAAAAGTTCAGAACTATGGAGAAAATCAAATTTTCTACCCGCAGCATCACCACCTACTTGGTATACAAAACTCTATCAGCAACCACCTGTCAACAGAATCAGCATAACAAACATCCGACGGGCTATCCCCAGACAAAACCCTAGACTGGCTTGTCTCACTGCTTGAAAATCAAACCATAGATACGAAGGACCTGTCAGTCCACCGAGAAGGTAGCTGATCGGCTGATTGAGCTCGACCCAAAAGTCAACACGGGAATATCGGTATCTGGCGGTTGTTGGCCAGAGCAAATCAGTATATCTGTCACAGATCTAGTATTATCATTGTTCCCTTGTATAACCGCGACAAGTAGAAAGCGGCCCAGTCTTTGTTGTACGGCGCCATGCACACCCTCAAGGCCACGGCATCATCCTCGCTCAATCTGGGCCCGGGGAATTACATCTACTCGATCATTCCTGCGTCGCCTGGCTCATTGGCGGCTATTTCATCGGATGACTCGTTGCGTGTTTTTGATGCCGCTGGGCTTGGCCGTGTAGCTGTGGTTGCGGCGAAGACGCACGGGAATGGGGGTGTGACGTCGCTGAAGAGGTATGGGACTGGTCAGGATCAGCAGCTCCTAGTTACTGGCGGTAGGGATGGGAAGGTAAAGTTGTGGGATTTGAGAGGGGGGAAGGGCTCGGCTGTTGTTGAGATGGAAACTGGTGAGTTGGTTTCTCGGTGTAGATGGACTTGTGCTAACTGCCTTGCTTCTCGTGGATAGCCAGGAATGCGCCTGTGCTGTCGGTAGCTTGCTGTCCGGACACCAATACTGTCGTTGCTGGTACGGAGCTGGTCTCCTCGCAGGCTGTTGTTGCATTCTGGTCAGTCATGGCTGAATTGATGACATCCGGCGTCTACGCAAGCTGCTAACTGCCTTGTAGGGATATTAGATCGCCGGGTGCAACCCGGCTCCAGTACGTCGAGAGCCACAACGACGACGTGACAGAGGTGCGTATGCGTCCTACCCTGACTTCGCTTCGCGCTCCGTACTGATGGGAACCAGCTTCAATACCACCCCGTCCGTAACAACATCTTACTGTCGGGAAGCACAGACGGACTGGTTAACATCTACGACACTACCATCACGGACGAGGACGATGCCCTGGTGCAAGTCATCAACCACGGCTCCATCCATCACGCCGGGTTTCTGGGCGAGCGTACCATCTACGCCCTCAGCCATGACGAAGACTTCTCCGTCCACCCGGCCACAGATCCCGACGAGCAGACTGAGGAGCCCAAGCCCATCCCGTTTGGCGATCTACGGCAACCTCTCAACTGCGAGTATATCGCCCAGCTCTGCACCGGCAGCCAGTCGGCGTTCATCGCTGCCGGGCATAAACTGTACGTCTATATCTCCTGTTTATCAGGATTTTCGGTCATATCTGACAGCTTCACCCGCAGTGATAAACGCCTAGACCTCGTCCCTCTCATCCCCGATCCGTGGCGGTTCGACCAGGCCAACCTCTGGCGTCTTCCCGGCGCGCACGGTGAGGAGGTCGTCCGTTCAATCTACGTTGACGAGCAGGTATGTTTCTTCTACTCGTGCTTCTAAATCAACCCAGACTCACTGTCCTTGCAGAGTCATTCCGTATTCACCGGAGGAGAGGACGGGTTCGTCCGCGCCTGGAAGCCAATGGATGGGGATGAAACTCAGGGCGAATCTTCTCTGGTCAAGCCTTCACGACCGAAGGAGAAGAAACGCGAGAAGGAGCGGTTTAAGCCATATTGATCGTGAGTGGTTCCAATTAGTGGAGTGTAAATTATATCCATGAATACTTTGAATCATTGTATATATCGTAGGTACTGTCGTAGGTTGCGACACCTGTCTTCGTTGCCTCGCGAATATATATTTGAGTAGACAAGCCCAACCAACGACCACATCACGAACGCAACCGATTTACTATATCATAGATACCCTCAGCGAAAAGACCAGTTATAACAAGTCCGTAGAAATATAAGAAAAGCAGAACAAAAAGAGAATCAGTGACGAATGTGAAAGTCCACCAGCAAAAACAAAAAGTAGTCGCGCCCGGGATCGAACCGGGAACCTTCTCGGAATCCTTGCGAAGCTCACATGACTGTGAACGAGAAATCATAACCATTAGACCACGCGACTGCTTGTTGGAATACTATGCAAAGGAATATTTTATGTAGTAATACGACTAAATTACTAGATAGGAAACTTCAGTCTTGCCCCATCTCCGCATCCGAACATTTTTTTTTTAACTCTGTGATCTCAATCAGTCTCTCTGACGGCGTTAGTCGGTAGTCTGTCCCGACCCTTTCATCGCCTAGTTTATTTATAGCCTTCTGCCTCACTCCTCATCTTCAAAGGCGGCTATATCCCTCCCAGCCGTCGCTCCAGGTTATCCCTGCCAGGTTTTGCAAGCGCCGTTCCACAGAAGTCAAACCTCGATGCCCGCCAGCGCCGTCCATCTAAACTAACCGCCCTCCAACCGCCTCAACAACTCCATCACACCTCTCCCCCGACCTATATCACTAAAAAAGCGTCCAACAAAATGGACGCCCAAGCCTACCTCATCCGTCACGGCTGGTCCGGACCAGGCAACCCACTAAATCCCGACCGTCCACAGGGCGGCGGCCTTGGTCTCACAAGGCCCATCCTCGTCGCGCGGCGCTCCGGCAACCAGGGTGTGGGCAAGAAGACGACCAAGGATCCCACGAATCAGTGGTGGCTGCGTGGGTTCGAGGATGCGCTGAAGGGTATGGGGCAGGAGAGTGTCAACGGTGCTGGGGCAGTGCCGAAGCCGAATGCGTTGACGAGTGAATTGTATCGGTTTTTTGTGAGGGGGGAGGTCGTTCCTGGTACGATTGACGGGAAAAAGAAGGTGGTGGCTGTGGAAGAAAGCAAGAAAAAGAGGAAAAGGAAGGAAGAGAGCGAGGCTGAGGATGCTGAAGAGGCAAAGGCGCGGCGGAAGGAGGAGAAGCGCAGGAAGAGGAAGATGAAGGAGGGTTCGTCCAGTGTGGATGAGACGACACCTGAGGGCCGACCCGAGAGTAAAGAGGAGCGCAGACGGAGAAAGGAGGAGAAGAAGAGGAGGAAACAAGAGAAGGAGGTGAAAAAGCAGGAGGAGAGCAGTGCCGGCGAGGACGAGAAGGCCGCTCGCAAGGAGAAGAAGAGAAAGGAAAAGAAGAAGACGGAAAAACCAGAAGACGAATATCCTACTCCTCCATCTACAGAGCCAGAGCAGGCGGAGTCCAGCAGTGGGCGGGACGAATCCTCAGACACAACGGCAAAGCCGAAGACGAGAAAGGAGAAAGAGGATTCGAAACAGGACAAAAACGCCCGGAAGAAAGGCGCCTCGTCCGAGGGCAGCACTAAAAAGAAGTCGAAAAAGTCGAAAAAGTCGACAAACGAGTGATGTTGGCCCGTTCTTCATGTACAGATAGATTTTCGTTCATCAGATCAGATACCCATTTGGCACTGCTACGCCGACTTGATAAAAGTTCATATACCATGTCAATTTCTTTTTTCCCAGGCTCGTCTTTACCTCATAAAATCAAGCCTCGGGCAATTTACCTGGCTTGCCCGAGAGAATCCAAGGCCGCCTCTCCCAGAACTCATCCTTGATAATGTCGACATGATCAACGACAACCTGCGCTTTCCGTCGCAATTTTCGCAGTCTGTCTTGCTGCGACTTTGAAGTTTTGCTTTCGTCCACCGGCGCCTCATCATCATCCCCGTGCCTCGATTTGGTCTCAGGCTTGGGATCTTCTAATTGATACTGCAAAATCCACGTTAGACGGTACTCATAAAAGGCATTCCTGCTCGCCTACCTGGCGATAAACCACACTGCCCTTCTTAAACATCTCATCCTCATTGTTATAATTGATCCCGAACCTCTTGAAGAGGATCTCATTCTTGTCGGACGACACAGTCCCCTGACGCTGCTCGTCAGCTCATGCAAAGTAAACCATAGTTCAAAATAATTCAGAAGTGCACACACCTGTAACTCCCTTTCAGCGTCCGTGTTACTCATCCCTCCCTGCTGAACCATCGTCCAAAACGTCGTATTGTAGAGATTATTGATGTGGCCTGGCTCAATCAGTACACGACAACGGAGCACAAATCAACGAGATCAAACGCACAATCGACCTGTCTCCAACTCATATAATCGCGCAAAATCCTAGTGGTCGGGTACAAAACCGCCCGTCCGTCGAACGAGGGCAGGTACGGCGGCTGCAGAGGCGTAGACGGGAAATACGTCCCCCATTGGTAGATATAATGTGCTGTAAACGTAGACACAATCGTCGTGACGAGTTTACTATCCCCCCGAATTAGTGTTTGCAGACTCAGAAGGTCAAGGCGAGGACAAAAATGCTCGCCCTGGCTGTGGCTGTGGCTGACTCACGCGCTGCGTCGCTCGAATAGCTGACAGCTGGGGTGAAAAGCGAAGCTGCGCATAGTCAGAGCCATAAATAATGTAGCCCTAGCTGGCGAGGGACAGACCTATATTCATCGCTTACGCCATAGGCGATGCATAGGTCAGGGAGTTCTTTCATGACCTCCACGGCGGCGGCGTTCATCAAGTCCAGCGCGCGGCGGTCGTTGGGTTTGATGAAGCCATAGCGATCGGAAAGTCTATGTTATTTGTTATTCAGGCGCATTTGGGGCATAAAGTAGCTTGGGGGGAGGGGGACAAATACTTGTGAAATCCTCTGCCGTCGATGCGAACAACGATCCAGGTATTCGGCAGCAAGACGTCGGGCTGCTCAAATGATTTGACGTACTCGTATCTGATTACGCATGTCAGCTATTGCTCCATGCTCCATGAAAAAGGAAACTAAATACTTTGAGTTCGCCATATCGATAAAATGTCTTGCGTATCCTTCGTTGCGAGGATACCGTAGTCTTGTTCAGTTTCGCTGGCTGGTCAAATGAAATCTCTCTGTTGTGCGGGAAGCGGAGCGGACTACGAGCATTGAGCCATGATTGCTGCCAGATCGATATAAGGCATTCAAAAACTCATACTACAATGACTGAGAACATTCTAAGCATTACTTTGACTACTTTGATGATTATGATCAGATCTGCGGTGAGATGGTATGGTTCACCCACCAACTATACGATTCTCGTATATGAAAGTGCTATATACCAATGAATGACTTTGGACATAATGATAGTACGAAAGTGTAAAAGAAGTAGACAGACTCGCGGGTCCTCGCCAAGAACATGGAAAAGAAACAATGAAAGAATGCATTTCTATGCATAGGTGCAGCACCAACATGCAGTTTGTGCAATCCGTTATCGAGAGGAGTGAAACATCAAAAACAGAGGATCACAAAAGGCTAAGCCCAGCTCAAGGTTCCTCTTCCTCGGCGATCTCATCATCGCCAGTCTCGCTGGCCAATTCGCTAGGCCTTTCACTTGTCTCACTGGCAGCTTTGTCCGATTTCTTGGACTTCCGGCTGAAAAACCCCAGACTGCTTCTAGTCGATCTGTCTGCAGACGGAGCGCTGGAGACAGTGCTGTCAATACTTTTGGCAAGTTGCGCCTCGCTACTTGCATCCTCGTCGATGTCACCCTGGGACGAATCGCCCTTCTTCGAGAACAAGCCGGAGCGTTCCTTCCAAGAACCGAATTTGCTCGAGCTGCCCTTTCGAGTGATCTTTCGAATAAACGACTCCTTCGAGTTGCTGTTGTCCGCAGAAGTGGCCGACGGCATGCGCTCCAGCGACTCGTACGAATCACCAGTGAAGATGGACAAGGACCGGGAACGCGAATCCCTCGAGATGCGCGGCTCCGACGGAGAGCCCTCCTCCATGTGAAAATCAAAAGGCACATCGGATTCTTTCTCCTTTCCTTTCTCTTTATCCTTATCCTTGTCGGACTTTCTGCTGAAGATGGTCTTGAACGTGGGTGCTGCCGGATTCAATTTTGGAGTTACTGGGCGATGGGAGGACGAAGGTCGTGTACCAATCGGGGCTTGCAATGGCCGACCTTGGCGTTCAAAAGACTCCTGAGGAAAATCAGGCTCACCAGTCAGCCCAAGGGGCAAGTGACCAGAGGACCCGTACGTAATAGATGGCCGACGAGATTGAGCTCTGGACCAGCTGGACGGGGAGGCCCAATCGAATCCAAGAAGACTGCGATGGTTAGGCTTTTCAGCAGACGGCCACCCGAAAGGACGATTATCCGTCGAGGGATGAGGAAGCTGATTATCGAAGGAAAAGGTTGACGAAGGTCTCGGGGACAGGGAACCTCGTCGGACAGTACCTAGAATCGATGCTGGATCGATTGGATCGTGACGAGGACTGAACTGATTGTAACCAGTGCTGAGATCAGAGGGCTCGCTCGACTTCAGCAGACTGCTACTGCCACCGCCGAAACCGAATCGGCTGGGGGAGAAGATACTGGTGAATCCTGCTCGTCGCGACGGCAGGTGGTCAGAAGAGCTGTCTGCGGTGACAGCGGCAGTATTACTCCTGGGAAGCAACGATATCGGGTTGGCCCAGTTGCCTGTATGACTCAATCTCCGACGCCTTGAACCGATGGGGTCCATTTCGTCCAGATTCCTGGGGAAAGATTGGCTCTGTCCGGGTTTCAGGGTGCCCAGCAAAGGCGGCTCATCCGCCAGTGTTTTACCACGAGGACGATGGAAGCCAAATAATCCCGACAGCCTTCTCGTCGCGCTTTTAGGAGCATCCCTAGATTCATCAACATGTGTAGATTGAGGCTCGGTCTCTTTGCGATCCTCATTGGGGCTGGCGAAAATGCTAGCTGGTTTGCTTCCCACTGCAGACTCAGGAGACGACGGGCCGCGCGAATAGCTTTCCCGCTGCGATTCGGACAATTCCAGGTTTGAGAAACGAGGTCGAACTATTGGACGTGGGGGTTCTGGAGATTCTTCATCCCCTAAAAGATCAGACGGGAGCAGGGCATCAGCCCGTGGGCTCATTTGAGGATTACCGAAGGAAAGATCGAGATCCCCCGCATCGGATCTTGCTGGTCAGAGAGACCCGGAAGGGTCATGCCATTGTTGATATTGAAGAAGGCAGGAGCGGGAGCAAATGTAGGCGAGTTGGTGGAAGGTGGATTGAAGTTGACACCGCCAGGGAACGATGGTTCCAAGCCGGGAAAATTCATCGGGGAGGAGACGTTGCTGTTGAGAGAGCTGCGATGGCGGCGCGGACGGATAGTCGCAGTATTTGACATGTCCAGGTCGAGAGCTGGCAGAGTGAACGGTCCACTGCTGCCTGAACGCTGGGTAGTCAACCACTTGAGGCGCTCCTGGGCCTCTTGGTACTGTTGCTGAGCCTTCTTCTAAGTTAGTAACCCTCAATCTGAAAACGCCAGTGCGTTGTCTGGGTACCCACCTGTGCGTGAAGATTCACTAAAGCAGCATATCGCGCATTGAGATTGCTCAACTTGACCTCCCACTGCCTTGCTCGCTCGTTGTCGATGCGGTCCAACTCCTTCCCATCCTCGCTGTCTCCCCCTGCTGACGCTTTCGCTCCTCCTCAAGCTTCTTGACACGCCCACCTTTGTCCTGAATCTCTTCATCGAGAACTTTCATCTCGGCCTGCTCCTTGGCAATCTTCTCTCGAACCTCGTCTGCACTTCTTTTCCCTTCCTCTTCCATGCGAGCCTTCTCCTCGTTGATCTGCGCAACCTCAGTAGTCATCCGCTCCATCTCCTCGCGCCAACGGATAATCTCCTTCTTGCGCTTCTTTCGTTCAGTCTCTTTCTGCTGCAGAAGCCTCTCGCGCTTGGCCTTTTCATTTTGGACGGTTCGATTGACGCTCTCGAGCTTGTTGACGTGCTTCTTCAAATCGCCACTGGCCTCGTCCTTCTCCTTCACACGCTTTCTCAGCTGGTCACGCTGTCTCTCAAGCTCTTTCAAAAGCGCGATATGCTCCTCCTCTTCCTCCGCTGCCTGCTTCTCCACATTTTCATTCTCATGCTGCAAAGTTTTCAGCCTGTCGGCCAACCGTTCCAAGGTCTCACTGCTATCACTATGCGCTGCGTGTTTCTGAGTATCCTCTGGATGACCATGCGGGAGGTCGACACCGCTAGCCGCGGGAGATTGTTTCCGTCCGGCGGAGGAACGTTTTCCTTGCAGTTGTCCTCCACTAAGCTCGCGAGCCATCAAAGGGGCGGAAGGAGCGACCAACCCAGCAGTGGGTCGTGGGATTGAGGCCCGAATTGTCGGGCTACCAACCGGGGCATTTTGCTGAGATTGCGACAAAGGAAGAGGCTTCGTCCGAACATGAATAACCGCGCTGGGTGTCTGAAAATTTGCCGCACTGACGGAAAAGACGCAAATGTGATATATACTTCCTGGCACCAAGTTTGAGATTTCCACCGCAGTCTCCGCTCGTTTCGATTCACCAACTATTGAGGTGGTTAGTGTCGATGTAACTTGCAAAATTAGTACGCAAAAATAAGCTACCTTTGGAGCCGTTGACTTGAATAATGTGCTTGTGGATAGAATTGTGAAAGTCGGGCAGTTTCCAGGCGATGCGAACTTCACGGGCGGTAATCTCCTCTAGAGTAACCTCTGGTGGCGGAGGGATGTCCAACCCGAGCTTTTCGACCAGTACTTCGTTCGGAGTCTGACAAACTTGCCATGCACGATATAGTAACCTTCATGAATATTAGATAGAAGATCGCCAAAGGCAAAACAAATATTCGAACTCACCATATAAGTGCCCATAGAATCGCGACAGCTAGGAAGAGAGCCATGACGCCTCGTACCCTCACTGGAGGAACCACGCTGGGGTAGGCGTAAAAGGAAAGATATAACGGCTCATACATCACAGCATTGGGCACCCATGGAGGTGGCCGTAATGAAAGGGGAAAAAGAGGGGTAAAGAAGGAATTGACAGGCGAGAAAATCCTCAGCCTCTTCTTTCGCCCTCTTGTGAACCTTTCTAACTATCCACCACCGTTGTTAAATGCGAGTCTTTCGGTAGATCAGTTGAGAGGAACATGGCACTAACCAGATAAGGGAGGTCATGTGATGTCAGCTGACTGATCTTCAGCTTAGTCAACAAGGCTTTTTGTTTTTGCGAATGAGAAGTCTTGGCACGAAGATCGCAGAGTTGCATCCAAATCAGGCTTAGTGCTGCCCAGCCGGCCCTTCTCCGGAAGACCTAAACCGAGGAAGTTTCCATCTGAGCGAACTGCTGCAGCCTTAGGAATCCATTTCCATTCGGTCCGTGACATGTGACTTGGCCCTCGTTGGGCGGTTGAGAGCGCCCTGCAGTAATCATCATTGAAAGGTGCTCCCCAACAGCCAACACTCTATCATCAGAATCCTTTATCCGGGTACTACTATCTGCATTTTGCAATCTCTTGCTCTTTTCCTCTTTGTCTCTCTTGTCGCTTTGTTTAGAGGTCTATTTGTTGTCCAAATATAGATCTCTTTGGTTCCTTGTATTTTAGCCCAATCTTGTTTCAGACGGCATTCCGCTCGTTTTCCCCAACTGGGTATGTCGCAGCTGGAGCGCTCTCTCGGGCATTGTCACATGGGTCATATGTAGGCGGCAATTCCTGCCAACTTCCCGACTGCTGACATAGTCTCAAACCTTTACTACACATACCTTTCCTGCCTTTACCTATCTCAATCGTCGGTCTTCACTGTCTCTACTCGCTTCCCTGGTTCATCCGAATTAAATTGAAGGCGCATCCGACGGCGCCATCTCGTGATGCAGTACGTCCGAAGTATCAGCGGTTCGGTGTCGAAGACATGGAATTCCATCAATCCAGCCACCTTGAGCGGGGCCATTGATGTCATTGTCATTGAGCAGGAAGATGGTAGCTCTTCATACATATTGGTGTCTATGACCCTTTTTTGCTAATGCTTGTTGATAGGAACACTCGCCTGTTCACCGTTTCATGTTCGATTTGGCAAGTTCTCTTTGCTTCGTCCATATGAGAAGAAGGTACCGATATGCTGTCCCGGAGAATTTTTTTTTGGACCTGACTGAGCTTGGGTTTTTTTTTTTTTTTTTTCCAGGTGGAATTTCAAGTCAATGGAGTCAAGCAGGACTATGCGATGAAGCTCGGGGAGGGCGGAGAGGCCTTTTTCGTCTTTGAAACATCAGACGAGATCCCCGCTTCATTGCAGACGTCACCGCTAGTATCGCCGGCGGCTAGTCCGAGAACGCGGAGCGAGGAAGATCTTCCATCTTCTCTTCAGGAACCGGAGTTTCTGGACCTCGAAAAATCCTCCGCCGCTACTCATTTGCAGGATGCGAAAGCAGGCTCGGACATACCTCTGCTTTCGCGAGGGGCGAGGGCATCTAGTGATTTGGGTACGGTGGCGCTTTCCTTGGTCAGGATCTGAGGCTCTAGCTCATATGGATATAGGTGCCATGACTCCTCTGTCGCAATCCCCGGAAGAGACCAGTGTTGGCCGACTCCGCCGCGGCTCCTTGGGTAACGCACCAGGTTTTGACCGGGCATCGTCTGAGCCTGTAATAATAGCGAAGAAAAATACCGGCACTTCCAACGAGGGTGGTTTTGCAGTTGGATCGCAGCCTCCCAGTCCCACAACCAGCGACGGCCACAATCTCACCGATCGCCCTCGGAGTCCTCCTTTACTCACGCCGCAGGAAGCCGTTTCGCGCGCACTTTCTCTGTCAAAGAAACTGTCGTCATCCAACATTCCAACTCGCGTCAATGAGACGGGCGATCTCATGCTCGACATGACCGGTTACAAAAGCAACGAGGAGGACGCTCTGCGTGCCGAACTCATTGCCCGTAAGATATTGGCCGAGGAACTGGAGGGAAGCTATGACATTGGAGGCCTTATCGGAGCGGACGAGCATGGAAACTTGTGGATCTACAGTAGCGAGGAGGCAAAGGAGGCAGCCAACCGCCGAGCGACTTTTAATTCGATGCGACCACACTCGGCCATGAGTGAAAATGCTATTTCTGACCCTGGGTACCACAGCGACACCGATCACCCTGTGTCCGAGTCGCCGTATCCGACTCGGCATCACCGTGCCAAATCCGATGTGCAGCCAGGCCCTCCTACCCCTCCACAGTCACCTACTCAAGACTCGACTCCAGGAGAACAAACCCGGAATTATGCCAAGACTCTTCGCTTGACGAGTGACCAGCTCAAGGCACTGAATCTAAAGCCTGGTGCCAATCCAATGTCGTTCAGTGTGAACAGAGCTACCTGTACTGCGACCATGTACCTCTGGAATAGTACCACGCCCATTGTCATTTCCGATATCGATGGGACGATCACCAAGTTAGTTTTCATGCCGTGGATTATATGTCAAGGTACTGACGATGTGCAGGTCCGATGCTTTGGGCCATGTGTTGAATATGATCGGTCGGGATTGGACTCATGCTGGTGTGGCGAAGCTCTACACCGACATAGTCAATAACGGCTACAATATCATGTATCTCACAAGTCGATCTGTAGGTCAGGCGGATACCACCCGTACGTACCTTTACGGAGTCTGCCAAGATGGCTACAGATTACCCAAGGGTCCTGTCATTATGAGCCCTGACCGGACGATTGCGGCGCTCAGGCGGGAAATCTACCTGAGGAAACCGGAGGTGTTCAAGATGGCTTGCTTGCGGGACATTTTGGGTCTTTTCAACGGAAAGGAGAATCCGTTCTACGCTGGCTTCGGCAACCGTCTGACAGACGCGCTGAGTTACCGGTCGGTCAACATTCCGTCCACCAGGATCTTTACCATCAACTCGAACGCAGAGGTATCCTTGGATCTTCTGAGCCTGAATAAGTACAAGAGCAGTTACGTGACCATGCAGGAACTGCTGGATCATTTCTTCCCACCTGTCAGCCTGCTGGTCCAGCCTGGGGGTGAAAATTGTACCGATTTCACCTACTGGAGAGATGCTCCTCAGGATGTGGAGATATTCTCGGATACGGATAGTGATGAAGAAGACGAAGAGGACGAAGATGAGCTAGACGAGGAGATAGAAGATGAGGAAGAGGAGGAGTATGACGGCGAGTTGACCGAAGAAGAAGGCAGTGAAATTGATGAGGAGGCTGACGAACTTGGAGAGAGTTACATCTCACAAGAGTCGATGGACGGACTTCGGTTGTCTGACTCCAACGCCTCTTTGGCCGCAGACGGTTCAACCCGGGTCGAGGAAGACGAAGACGAAGACGAAGACGAAGATGCGGATGATATGGCCGCAGAGGCCAAGCTGCTAAATTCGAGGCTTCCCCCAACTTCGGAAACCCTTCGATCTGCTTGAGCAAACCGAGACAGAGCGTGAAAAGTATTAGATCACGACGTCTTTTTTGGATATAACTGAAGCTATTTCGCATGGCTTTGCAACGTTCAATGATACCCAACCCTCGCATCAATTGTTGTGACAGCGTCGGCCCACATTATCAGAGCCTCTCTGACATCTTGATTCCTTTGCATAAGCGGCGTTGAGTAATTGCATACTGATTGTTGCCTTGTTCTTGTTTCTGTTGTGAGCATTGTTGGACCACCTGGCGCTATAGAGATTCTCAGCGAGTTGCATGGTTTGATTCAGAGTTGTCTCTTGAAGTATTCGCACCTGGATAGAGTGTTAGAATACAAGTACATATTGTTATATAATCGAGTTGTTTCTGTCTTGTCGAATGGCTCGTCGCTGGTGGGCTGTTCTAAGCATCGAATTAGAGCCGATGAGATGACTGCCGAATATGGCATAGCGCCGCATGGAATCGAAGAAATCCAGCTCCTCGATCAACTGCGACAGACTGTAAAACCTCAGTTCAATAATAGCACAACCACGCTCTGTCGTTAAATCGCCGTCTTTTTGTTCTCAAATTCATGCTATGCTTGCTATGATCTAGCTGTGGATGCTTCTCTGAGACCGTGGGACCGATATCTGAACTCTCCGATACTTTCTATCATACCTCTCTCCGACCGCACCTCACCTCACCTCACTTCTTACCATCCACCTATCCAACCATCAAGCACATACAATGGCATCGCCAGCTCAAGCGCAGGCTCCGGCCTCGACATCGAATCAACCTCTCACACCGCCAGCCGAACCCTCATCAACAAATAACACAGCCAACACCACCGCCTCCTCGCAACCACCTCACCCTACAGGAACCTCCACCACCACCGCACCCAACACAGCGATGCCCTCCGCAACTCCCCAGCCCACTCAGATCCCATCAACGTCACTCACAGACAGCGGCAAATCACGGCGCCCACGCGATGTCCGCCTAATCCACATGCTTCTCGCCTCGCTCGGCGTAACCGCATACCAGGAACGGGTCCCGCTGCAACTCCTCGATTTCGCGTACCGCTACACCTCAGGCGTTCTCCAAGACGCGGTCCACCTCGTGACGGAGGGCTACGCAGGCGCCACAGACGCAGGGCCCAGCAGCAGTCGCGGCCCGGTAGAAGTCAACAGCGTGACGCTCCCTGCGCTGCGGCTGAGCATCGCGTCGCGCCTCCATTACCAGTTCCAGACGGGGCTGCCGAAGGAGTTTCTGATGGATGTTGCGTCGGAGCGGAATCGCGTGGCTTTGCCCGGTGCCTCGAGGGGGTTTGACACTGCGGCCCAGGCGAAGAGTACGTCCGCGGCCAATCAGAGTGTTATCATGGGGGGGATGCGGTTGCCGCCGGAGCGGTTCTGTCTGACTGGCACGGGGTGGAATATGAAGGATGAGTGGGACAGTGAAGGGGAGGAGGAGGTTGATGATGCGGCGGCGCAGGCGGGCGTCGGTCAGGATCAGGATAGGAACGCTGGTGGTGGGATGGCAGGTGTCAAGGAGGAAGGGGATGAGGATATGGGCGAGGATGATGAGGATGGCAAGATGGAGGATATATTTGGGGAAGATACGGCCATGGGGGACGGTGAGGGAGATGAGGACAAGGCTATGACGGATGTTTAGTTCCCTTTAGACGGAGTTGGGCGCATAGGTTAGTGTGGAGATTCCATGATCTTGCATTGGTCAAGGTTTGATGCCGGCGCTGGTCAAACAAGCAAAGCAAAGCAAAGCGTATTGTACATGTACATAATGAAATGACTGTCTTCCCCAATCAATCATGCAAAACAATCAACGCCACCCTATGTACGCCAGACGACTGTCGAGAGTCGAGAGTCGAGAACTCTCAAGATGATTTCTTCCTCCGCGCCTCATCCTCCCTCATCATCCGAATCACCTCCTCCCTCCTTTTCTCCACTCTCGCCAACTCCTCCTCCCTCGCCCGCCGTCTCTCCTCATGCGTCGCGAACCACTCCTCCCGCGCCCGGTCCTCCTCCTCCGGCTTCGCATGCGCAACCATACACGAGTTCATCGCCAGCCGCTGAGCCCGACATACCCAGGTAGCCGTTACCGTTCGATTGACGGCACATTCCGCGAATGCTGTAGTCGTTAGCGCCTTCTTCTCTTCCTCTTTCTCGACCGCTTGGGGAACGGGCGCAGAGCAGACACACCTTTGATCTCCGGGGCGCAATGCGCTCGTACGCGTTTGTAGTAGAGCTGCTTGACTTCGGCTTCCTGGGCGGCGGATAGAGGGAGGGGATTGTGGAGGTTGTATTTTCGGGTGCTTTGGGGTTGTGGTGTGGGTGACGATGTTGAGCTTTGTGCTGCTGCTGTTGTTGATGCTGATGTTGAGGCCATGATGCTGATGCTGGCTGATGCCGATGCCTCGGAGGCAGGCCTTGACCGGTTGGTTTGTTGATGGACAGTGGTGTCAATGACTGGTTTGAGAAATTCCCGACGGCGTAGAACAAGCCCAATTGAGCAAGCCCTGGTGTGAATTGATGAGTGAAACGCAGGTGCCGAGTCGTAGTCGTAGTTGTGGTCGTAGTCGTAGCCTGCATAAGACGTTCTGTCCGATGAGGTTTACGGTTTACCGCCAAGCCGAATTTTTCCAAACTCCGCAGTTCATCTCCAAGACACCAACGCTTCTTCAACTTCAACCATTTCTATCCCTCACCTTTTGATCTGTTTAATATCATATAACCAGAAGAAAGGAAATCCCTACAAAATGTCGTCCATGCGCAACGCCGTCCAAAGACGGCAACACCGCGAAAGAGGCCAACTTGACGGCCGCGAAAAATGGGGTATCCTCGAGAAGCACAAAGTACACTCACCTTCTTCCCCATCCCCTTCGCCCTCAAATAACTGTACTGGAAAGAAACAGAGGTACTAACAATAGATGACAGGACTACTCCCTCCGCGCCAAAGACTACAACGCCAAACAAGCCAAACTCAAGCGCCTCCAGGAACTCGCCGCCAGCCGCAACCCAGATGAATTCGCCTTCGGGATGATGTCCGCGCACTCGCAGAAAAAAGGCAAGCACGGTGCCGCGGCGCGCGACTCAGCCGCGAAGCGGGGACTGAGCCATGAGGCAATCAAGTTGCTGAAGACGCAGGATGCGGCGTACCTGCGGACGACTGGGGAGCGGCTACGGCGGGAGATCGAGAAGGTGGAGCAGGAGGTGAGGTTACAGGAGGGGATTCAGGAGGCTCTTGGGGAGAAGAAAGATGAGAGCGAATCCGAGACAGAGGATGACGATGATGACTTTGATTTCGATTTCGGGCCGAAGGAGAAGCACGGGCAAAAGAAGGCGAGGAAGTTGGTCTTTGCGGATGATCGGCGGGAGCAGCGGGCGTTGAAGAAACGGAAACTTCAAGAAGATCCTGAGGAAGAGGATGAGGAGGAAGAGCAACAGTCGTTTGGTGATTTGCAGAAGAAGCAGCAGAAAAAGTCGCAGAAACAGCTCGAGGCGGAGAGGCAGGCTCTCGTCGAGGCTCGTCGAGTCCGCAAGATGAAGAAGAGAGCTGCCGAGGCTCGTGAGAACAAGCTCAAGGCGCTTCGGAAGCAGTACGCCGATATCACTGCCGCCGAGCGTGAGCTGGACTGGCAGCGAGGGCGGATGGATAATTCGGTTGGGGGAACGAACAAGGATGGCATCAAATGGAAGATCCGCGAGCGCAAGAAGTGATCTGGGACTGGTCTTTCTCACTGCAGCTCATGTCTATGATACCTTTTTCCCTTTTTTTCTTTCTTGCATTGGGCTGGAGGTCAAGCAAAAGTTCTTTTAGCTGGTTTATAACAGAGGCTTGAGGAGTTCAGGCGCATATAATGTGAATACCATTCATCTTATGTATTGGAACTCATTAACGAGGAAAACTAGAAATTTCATTCCGTCAAGCTCATGTCTAATTGAATACAATAACTGCATCTCGTCGTAAAGTCCGAAAAACTAAAGGGTCATCACGCCTGATTCTTCTTCATCGCCGCGACTCTGATGCTCACGGCCCGCTTGTGCGCGTCCAATCCCTCAACGGCAGCCAACTGCTCCACCGTGCGAGACAATCCCAGCAATCCCTCTGCCGTCAAGTTCGAGCTGGTGATGTGCTTGAGGAACGAGCCCAGGTTGACTCCAGAGTACTGCTTGGCGTAGCCGTAGGTTGCTGGTGATGTTAGCTTGATTCCTGCAACGGGAAGTGATGAAACTTACGCAAAGAGTGGTTGACACCCGCAGAATAATCACCAACGCTCTCAGGGGTCCACTGTCCGATGAAAACACTGCCGGCGTTGACGACCTTCTCCACCACCGACTCTGCGTTCTGGACCTGCAGAATCAGATGCTCCGGCGCGTATTCGTTGCTGAGCGCCATGGCCTCATCAATGTCACGCACCACGAAGGTCACCGAGTGGGCCAGAGATCCTCGCACAATGTCCATCCGGGGCAGGGCCCGGGCTTGAGCATCGACCTCGTCCTCGATGGCCTGGAGTTGGCTCTCGTTCAGGTCGACAGCGATCAGAATCACCTGCGAATCAACGCCGTGCTCAGCTTGGCTCAGCAGATCTGAAGCGACAAAGGCCGGGTTGGCGTCCTTGTCTGCGATGACCAACACCTCGCTAGGTCCGGCGGGCATATCGATGCTGACACCGGCCGAGGTGTCGTTGGAAACCAGCATCTTGGCTGCCGTCACGAACTGGTTACCGGGACCCAAGATCTTGTCCACTTTGCTGATACTCTCCGTTCCGTAAGCCATGGCGGCCACGGCCTGCGCACCACCGGCGAGGACAATGCTCTCGGCTCCCACTTTGTGGGCGACGTAGACAATCTCGGGAGAGATGCTGCCGTCGGCCCGGGGAGGAGAAGCCAAGACAATCTTCTGGCAACCGGCAACCATGGCGGGAACACCAAGCATCATGGCGGTGGACGGCAGTACGGCGGTGCCACCGGGGACGTACAGACCAACACGCTCGATGGGACGAGAAAAGCGGGAGCAGACGACACCGGGCATCGTCTCCACCTGGAGGACGTCATTGGTATCCTTCTGGGCGGAGTGGAATTTTTTGATATTGGCGATGCTGACATCGATAGCTTCCTGGGTCTCAGGCGACAGCTTCATCAGTTCCGGGGGGAAAGGGGCGCGGATTACGGGAGACGTCAGGGAAGTCGCCTTTTCAAACTTGTGGGTATACTTGAGCACAGCTGCATCGCCGCCCTCCCGCACATCCTGGATGATGGGTCGAACGAGACCCACGATGGCCTCGTTGGACTTTTGAGAAGGACGCTTGAGGTACTCCTTGACCTTGTCCATAGGGGTGGATGCGGTGACCACACGCGTCATCTCCATGCGAGAGTCATCCTTCTCGGCTTCTTCCTTAGCTGGAGCTGCTGGAGCGGCGGGCTTCGTTTCGGCTGCGGCAGGAGTCAGACCAGCCTTCTCTGCCCACGGACCCTTGGCATCGCCCTTTCTTCTCTTGACCTTGAGACTCTTCAGATCCAGGTTACGTTCGATATCTTCCAAGCTGACACCCGCAGCCACGCAGCGAGTCAGGGCAAAGTAGAGTAGATCGGCAGCCTCAAAAGCGATCTCTTCCTTGGTGGTGGCGCGGCACAGCTCGTCAGCCTCCTCCATGATCTTTGCCTGGGTCAGCTTGGGTTCATTGAACAGTCTGGCGGTGTAGGAACCGGCCGGCGCATCGGCTTTGCGGGCTTGAAGCGTCTTTTGCAGACGCGCAAGGCCATTGTAAGGGCCGAAGCAGCTGGCGGTACCCAGGTGACAGAAGCCGCGGCCAATCTGCTTGACAACAAAGACCAGGCAGTCGCTGTCGCAGTCAAAGCCCAGGCGGATCAGCTCCTGCACGTCACCGCTGGACTGACCCTTGTACCACAGACCCCGCTTCCGGCTCTGGTAGACACCGGTGCCAGTGCGGAGAGCCTCGGCGATACTTTCATCGCTGCTCCAGACAAGGCCCAGACATACTCCCCGCTCATCAGTCACCGAAGTCGCGTACAGACCGTTGCTCTGGTCAGCAACAGCACGAGCGGCAACCAGTGCGCCGGCGGCGATCTTGCCGTTGGGATTCTTGTGATCGAGGGTGAGGGCGTCGGCAGAGACAATGCTGACGGCACCCTGCTTCAATGTTTCCTTCACGGCGTCCTCGGTGACTGTGCTGGCGGTGTAGGTGCGGTAGAGGTTCTGAGCCTCAAGATTCAAGCCCAATTTGTCGGCCAGAGTCTTGACGTCGGCAGACTCGGTGCAGATTCCGGCTTCATTTCTTTCAGCGTCCTCACCAACCCACGACTGAAAGGCATGCACCTGATTGTCGGAGGAGGTATACACGACGAGTCGCGACGAAGGAACGGATTGCTCTTGGGACAGCGAGGTCAATTGATCGAGGGAAATGAATACTTTGGCGGCACCACCGTTCAGGATATCGACAATGTCACCGGAGGAAGCGATGTCGGTAGCATCGACGTAGACATCGAGGAGACGGAAATTCTGACGCAGGAACTCCTCAGCTTGAGCCAGAGAGGAGACCTTGATGAGGACGCGGCCGAAGTAGGCGATCTGGGAGAGGGAGAGACCGGAGGAGGACGAGGTGGGGTTGTAGGAGATGAGGATTGGGGTAGCCATTTTGACTGAGGAACAATTGATGGGCAATTATAAGATGAAAGATCAATCAGATCTGATGAAAAAGATGATGATGATGATGAAGTCGTCAAACCCCAAGTCCCTAGCCTGGGGAAGAGAAGGTGAGAGGGAGAGGAGGATGACGAGGGGAGAAATGATTCATCGCGAGAATTTCTTTTTGGGACGGGGAGAGAATTTTGGCCCGCATCGGAGTCAGCGAGTGAGAAGAGGAGTGCAAGTTACACAGACAAGGGTAGACACTGTGAACCTTGTAATTGATATCAAAATTAACCGTCTACTGAAGATGGGATTGACCGAATATATTACAGCAGGTCTTTGAGTGTTAGTTGTTGTGGTCTCTATGGACTGATCTGAAATGGCGCCGATGAGCGGAGTCTACAACCAGATGTTCTTGTCCAGGGCTGTCTCGCATCAGCTCTGGCATGATTGGCATCGTATTCGGAAGAGGGGAAGAATCAAGGTTAATATCAAGGTTATAGAAGGATTCTTTTCTCCGTAGTCGGCCCGTTTCCCATGGCGTTTCCTTCTTCACATGTTCCTGGTGGCTGCCCAGTGTATGCAGTAGGGTCATCTGCTTCCATGAGGGCCATGACGACGAGAAGTCAGCTGTGATTTGACTTGAATCTGACCTTGGCAGCTGACCATTCAGGAGAAGAAGTGATATTAGGTAGCATTGCTACGGACCAAGATGTTACATTCTGTTCAAGCTAGAGAACTATTATCACCAGGGTATTATAGCCAGTATAGAAGAGTATCTCCTCTGTACCTCGCTCTGGTTGGTCATAACTAGTTAATGCAGAGGAATAGCTGACTCATAGTCCCAGTCCTATTTGAGTGAGTGATGCATAATGACAGTACTGTCTTGACTGTGTACAGACTGTACCAATAATACCATGGATTTACCCCTGCATAATCCACGTTCATCACATCCCAAAACGGAAAGCACAACAAGTAAACAGCATCCTCAGGCAGCTTATACCAGAATATATCTGTATGCCATCATAAAAGGGCGTAGATTCAGAATAGACTGATAGAACTGACAGAATCATAGCAAATAAGTCAGAAACTAACTAAGGCACAGAATAACCCTCTGGAGTTCAAATGATCCCTGTAATTAACTAGTTTAGCGTTGTCGAGTCCAAGCTCAAGTGACGGGGATAGGGTTGGGTTGGATACCTAATTCAGCCACTCTCTAGGCCCCTATCTAGACTCCAGGAGACACTAGACTAATGTATCTTTCCAATAGTCCATCTGATCTAGTCCATGATCCTACATAAATGGAGATGATGATCGTCGCATCGGCCAGTGATGGCTGTAATGCAGGTTCAACTTGCAGAATGCCATCCATTCATGCGATGATCCCTCATCCTGTCCGTCATTCCAGCTCAACACGCGACTCCTCTTTTCAAGTCGCCTCTTCTTCCTGGCGCCCCCTTCTCCCCTCTTTTCATCCTTCGACCTGGATGACTCCAATCAAGTCTGTCTTCGTCCGCTGCTCTTAGTCTTAGACTAAAAAGTGTCATATAACTATCCGCCTGTTCCCTCAGGCTGTCACTCGTTTGCTGTTGAATGTCTTAGGAGGACCACTACTTCTCCGTGTCTATCTTTCTCTCGTCTCGGGATTCTGTATTTTTCGTTGGTTGGTTTGTATCATGCATTTGCCCTCTCTGTCCGTGGCTCTGGCCCTGGTGAGCTCGTCTCTGGCGTTGCCTCAGACGGTTCTGCCCGAGAACGATGTCTCATCACGCGCGGCGGCCGTCAAAGAGGCCTTTTCCCATGCCTGGGATGGGTATATGAAATACGCTTTTCCTCATGATGAGCTGCTCCCTATTTCCAATAGCTATGGCGATTCAAGGTAGGCAATCAGCAAACTTTTCCTCACTCCAAGGTGCATCCTGACCCGGTGATCTATGTAGAAATGGTTGGGGCGCATCTGCGGTCGATGCTCTGTCCACCGCAATTGTGATGCGCAACGCGACGATCGTCAATCAGATTCTGGACCATATCGCCAAAATCGACTACTCCAAGACTTCCGACACGGTCAGTCTGTTTGAGACCACCATTCGGTACCTGGGCGGCATGCTGTCTGGATACGACCTGCTCAAAGGACCCGCCGCCAACCTTGTCAAGGACAGCACTAAGGTGGACATGCTCCTTCAGCAATCCAAAAACCTTGGAGACGTGCTCAAGTTCGCCTTTGACACGCCGTCGGGTGTTCCGTACAATAATATCAACATCACTTCGCATGGCAATGACGGCGCCACGACCAATGGGCTAGCGGTTACGGGGACATTGGTCCTGGAATGGACTCGCCTGTCCGATCTGACGGGAGACCAGGAGTATGCGAAACTCAGCCAAAGGGCCGAGTCCTATCTACTCGCGCCCCAGCCTAGCTCCGGTGAGCCGTTCCCTGGCCTCGTCGGCAGTGAAATCAGCATCCAAACAGGTCAATTCACCAACGGCTTCGTTAGCTGGAACGGCGGTTCCGATTCTTTTTACGAGTATCTCATGAAGATGTACGTGTATGATCCCAAGCGCTTTGCAACGTACAAGGACCGCTGGGTGGCCGCCGCGGAGTCGAGCATCGGCCGTTTGGCGTCCAATCCCGCATCCCGGCCGGATCTCACGTTCCTGGCCACGTACAACAAAGGCTCGCTCGGACTGAGCTCGCAGCACCTGGCCTGCTTTGATGGAGGGAGCTACCTGCTTGGCGGCACCGTGCTGGACCGGACCGACTTGATCGATTTCGGACTGAAGCTGGTCGATGGATGCGCCGACACGTACCACCAGACGCTGACCGGGATCGGACCGGAGAGTTTCGGTTGGGATGAAAAGTCGGTGCCTGCCGACCAGAAGGAGTTCTACGAGCGCGCCGGCTTTTACGTCCAAAGTGGCGCATACATTCTGCGACCCGAAGTGATTGAGAGCTTCTACTATGCGTACCGCGTCACCGGCAAGAAGCAGGTATGTTCTGACTTTTGCAGGAGGGTTTGTGACTGTGGACTGACGTGGTTAGTACCGTGACTGGGTGTGGAAGGCCTTTGAAAATATCAACAAGTACTGCCGCACGGGGTCCGGATTCGCCGGGTTGACCGACGTCAACGCTGTAAATGGCGGAAATCGATATGACAACCAGGAGAGTTTCCTGTTTGCCGAGGTGATGAAGTACGCGTACTTGACGCATGCACCAGGTATGAGTCCGATATCGATTGTTGATGAAGATAAAGCTAACGAAGAGCAGAGGATGAATGGCAGGTTCAACGGGGAGTGGCAATAAGTTTGTGTTCAACACTGAGGCTCACCCTGTCCGAGTTCAGCATACGTGATGTACATATCCTGGCTGGTATAATTAGTAATTTATATATGAAGAAGATCATTCTTATAATATACAGACTTTATTCGTTGATTACCAGGATATGTCATGTATGTCTTCGGCTGCGGAGGAGTCGAGTAGAGGACAAAGTAGGTACCTTGGGGTATGGCAACTGTAGTACTCATCTATATAAGTAACTAGCTAGTAAGTTAGTAATTATTTATCTAGTCAACTGACCAAGAATTAGATGAAACTAGGAAATCCGGAGTACTACATTCTCCCGACCCACATGTGAGCAGATTTGAGCACCCTTGGGGTCCATCCGGGCAGATATTCCCTCAATCCTGCTCAACTCCCATACCTTGGTGGAAGCCTATAAATACAGCACAACAGGTAGACAAGTAGACATGTAGCACTCTGTTAATTCTCTCTGTCCATACACATACATATCCTTTTTGTACAAATAGCAAATTACAATGTGCGGAGGAAACAACCCCCGTCCTACTTCCAACGGCCGCATCGCAGTCATGTTCCCCTCCGCATCGACCAAGAGTATGAATACGTACTCGCTGTTTTTCCATGAGGGTCAGACAGCGTCTCACACGCGAGCGGTATTTCGGCTTGAAGATCCCAGTACGAGAGATGCATTCGGGAAGTGCAAGAGTATCGATTTGAGGATCGAGTATGACCCCTCCCTCTTTCTAACTGTATCTGGTGGTTAGGAGGGTTATACAATGCTAACAGGGGCTTGCAGACGGTATGGGGATCTCACATCGGCGTTGACTGCGCCACCGCTGCATCGGTTCCGGCTACGGCCTAACCCTAAATCGGTGCGAAAAGGGATGGAGATGGAGTTTGTGTTGCCGGAAAGGTTGGATCTGGGGGTTTCGGAGAGGGGGATTGTAGGGAGGCAGGTTACTGTTGTTGCCGAGGGGGCAGCAGCGAGGTGTTGGGGATGGGGATGGGGATTGTTGGGTATGATTGATTGCATGTATTGCATGTATTGCATGTATTGCATCCATTGTATTGATATTAGCATGGAGTTATGGATTGGATTAGGATTGGCATTAAGATTCATTTGGTCTTGCTGTGTCTTGCATCGATGAAAGACTACAAGTCTACAGTCTACTGAGCTATAGCTTCATGAACGGGTGTCCACCCTTGTCACCGGCTATGTAACGATTCTCCGCTTCAGCCCAGTTGATCACGTTCCAGATGCCCTTGGCATACGAGGCCTTGTCGTTCAAGTACTAGTGATTTTTCATTAGCAACAAAGCATGGAAGACGGAAGAAGACGGAGAGGATGGAGAAGTAAGTACCTGAAGGTAGTAAGCATGCTCCCACATATCCACCCCAAAGACGGGCGCCGCCCCCGTCACCGGATCCTGATCGTGGGTCGTGGTAATGTCCAGCTTTCCCTTGGGTCCGTCGGTCACCAACCAACCCCATCCGCTGCCCTGAATGCCCAGCAGGGTCGTGTTGAACGCATCCTTGAACTTATCGAAGGATCCCCAGCGCTGCTCGATGGCCGCCTTGAGGACCGGTGCCTGATCGATCTTGCCCCCTCCGGATTTCTCCGGGGCCAGATTCTTCCAGAAGAGGGAGTGGTTGATGTGGCCACCGCCGTTGAATTTGATCGCCTGCTGCACGGAGACGAGCTTGGGGACGTCGTTGGTTTCCGCGGCTTTCTTCTGCGCCTCGAGCGCGGCGTTCAGGCCATTGACGTAGGTTTGATGGTGCTTTTTGTGGTGCAGCTCCATGATCTGTTGGGAGATGTAGGGTTCGAGGGCCTGGCATTGTTAGTCTGTTGTCACTTTTTGGAGGTGTAGAGACTTACCTCGTAGGCGTAGGGGAGGGGTGGGAGCGTGTATTGGTGTGCCATGGTGTTGGTGATGCGAGTCTGGATCTGAAACTGGGGTGTGTGTGAATCTGTGAGTGCTGTGAATGCTGAGCGCAGAGAGGTGGGAGAAGAGACGAGAAGACGAGGATGGAGGGGTAAAGTATTTGATATCAAGGTACCTCGCTGTCATGAACAGAGCTGTCGGGGGGACCTTGGGATCCAGAGCAAAAATGAGCACATTACGAGCACATTATGACCAATCCAGCTCTGTGACTGGTCCTGCACTCTGCTTTCATCATCATCAATCCATCATCTTGCAGGAGTAACCAGGCATTGTGGTATATATCCAGAGGTAGAGAGATAGACTGATTGTCTATGTTGTTGTGGCTGGTGGTGATATCATCTAAGGCTGATGGTTGATGCCTGAGGATGACCTCTCGCTGCCTCAACCCAGACAGTCTGTCAGTAATCTGCTAATATCCATCAACAGCCTCAATGTCCTCAATTCATTTTCATTCATCTTCAATTCATTGAATTCATTCAATTCATTTTGTTTACTCTTGAAGTTACTTCACACAGTCTCTACCAATCATGTCCCTCCCCCTGATCAAATAATCCTTCCTCTGCCGAACGGTCCGAACCTCGGCCAGTCGGTCCAAAGACTCCAAACGTGGGGAAGTTGGGGTCACTGCTATAAACATGGAGAGCTCTTGTCTCAATACATTTACTACTGATCCAAGCATCACTATCTATCTATTACCCGTCTAAATCAAGATGTCCGCCGAAGAACAAGTCCGTCTCGATAACTTTGACTCTATCTTCTCCCTCGATGGCAAAGTCGCTGTTGTCACCGGCGGTTCAAGAGGCCTCGGTCTCCATGCGGCCAGTGGGTATGTCTACCTGATTCAAAACCATTGAGATGCATCTGACAGCGTCAAGCCTCCTCCAAGCGGGCTGCTCAAAGGTCTACATCACCTCCCGTAAAGCCAAAGCCTGCGACGAGGCCGTTGCCGCACTGAATGCCCTCCCCAATAAACGCCCCGGCGCGGTAGCCATTGCTGTCCCCGCCGACAACGCGCGCATGGACGACCTGGACCGACTTGTCGCCGAGGTCAAGAAGACAACCGATCATGTTGATATTCTCTTTGCAAACGCGGGCGCTACCTGGGGCGAGCGGTTCGAAAAGTATCCCGAGCCTGCCTTTTCCAAGGTGATGGATCTGAACGTGAAGAGTGTGTTTTATTTGGTGCAGAAGTAGGTTCCCCCTTTTTGGGTATATAATTGTCAACTTAAACTGAGCCATGGATAGGTTTGCCCCCTACTCACGGTCAAAGCAACTCGCGACTCGCCCTCGCGCGTCATCGTCACCGGCTCCGTCGCCGGCATCGGGGTCGGTTCCCTCGGCGAGAATGCCACCTTTGCCTACTCTGCCTCCAAAGCGGCTGTGATTCATCTGGCCAAGAACCTGGCGGTTGAGCTGGGTCCCCGGGGCATCCTGTGCAATGCGATAGCCCCTGGCTTCTACCCGTCCAAGATGGCCAATGGGTTGATTGAGATGCAGGGAGGCATCAAGCAGATGGAGGAGCACTCGCCCAACCGGCGACTAGGCAGACCGGAGGATATTGCTGGACTGGTGGTGTTCTTGTCCAGCCGTGCAGCCAGTCATTTGAATGGGGCTGTCATTGTGACTGATGGAGGAGCCGTACTGAAGGGACGACTATAAAACTTGTCTGTAGATTATGATTATATACAAACTACATCGCTACAGCTTGGCAACTGTCTTGTGCTCCTCTGCCCGCACCGCTCGGTCAATAATCTCCATGGCCCGGTAGAGTTCGTAGTCGTGCTGCTTGGGCGTTACGACCTGAATGCTCAGGGGAGAGTCGAGGTATACTCGTCGATCCACCGTTTTCTCGTTCCCTAGATATAAGATCAGTGAAAAATTCTCGGGGCAAGAAGAAGGTGGACTTACACAGCAGCCGATTCGCCTTGTCCCAGCTCCCCAGCACCGGCGCCGTCATCTCCTTGCCCAGCTCCAGGTCCGCCTCGCGGAACTTCCGCACGGGGATGACACCCGCCGGGTAATCCAGCAGCACAAACGACGACATATATCCCACGGCATTATACCGATCAATCTCCGGGACGGGATGCGGCGCAACCGGGAGGATGATGGCGTCGACCTGCCGGCCCGCCAGCCTGTCGCCGTCGCCATCGCCACCGCCATCGCGCATCCACATCCCCAACAGCTCCTTTTCAACCGCAGACCGCTGCGCCTGCAGCTGCGCCAGCTGCACCACACTCAGCGCCTTGCCGCGCTTCACCCGGCCCTGCAGCCACGGAATCAACGGCTCCCCCGTGCTCTCCAGCAAATCCAGCATCGTCGACCCATCGTCCACACCCATCAGCCGGCCCGCGAGACCCTGGCACTTGGACAGCGCCGGCAGAACGGGGATCTCAACCACCTCGACGCCCTGCGTCCGGCGCAGCATCTGCGCCACCTCATCCAGCACCCTGGCCACAGGCGGAAGCGGCTGCACGACCCCATCAGACCTCAACACCCCGATTGTCACCTTCCTCCTCAGCCCAGAACGGGGGAACTCCCCACCCCACAGACCCGGAATACAATCCTCCCCGAACAACTCCGCCCTCGGCACAATCTCCGCCATCACAGCCCCCAGATCACTGACCGACCGCGCAATCGGGCCCGCAACAGCCTGCAGCGCGATCCGCCCCTTACCAGGAACCTGCCCGCCCTCCTGCCCGCCAAAGGGCACCCGCCCCACACTCGGCTTGAAGCCGTACACACCCGTACACATCGCCGGGACACGGATACTCCCGCCGATATCCGTGCCGAAACCAACCATGCACCCGCGCATCGCGACCAGCACGCCCTCGCCGCCGGAGGAGCCGCCAGCCGAGAGCGCGCGGTTCAGCGGGTTCAGCGTGCGGCCGAAGACGAAGTTGGCGCTGTCGAGGGCGCCCATTGTTTGCGGGACGTTGGTTTTGGTCAGGACGATGGCGCCCAGGGCGGTGAGGAGTTGGATCAGGGGTGCGTCTTCCGCTGCGGGGCGGGCGACGAGTGCTGCGATGCCGATGCTCGAGTCGATGTCTTTGATGTGGAAGCTGTCCTTGACGGAGACGGGGAGGCCGTGTAAGGGCCCGATGGGGCGGCCGGTGCGGTGGAGGTAGGCGTCGAGCTCGCGCGCGCGCTGGACGGCGCGGTCGAAGAGAGGCTCGGTGATGCAGCGGGTGAGTTGGTGCGCAATGGCTGCTCTCTAAGACTAACGTTAAGTCTCGTGTCTAAAAAGAGAGAGAGAGAGAGAGAGAGGGACGTGCATACCTTGCAGAAAGCGGTGGTGACCTGCTCGGCTGAGAGGCGTTTGTCGGCCATGGCGCGCAGCAATTTGCGGACGTCATAGTTTTCCGTGATTTCGAGCTCGCGAGCAGAGAGTAGCCCGCAGGTTCGAGGGATGTCCATCACGTTGACCCGGCCGTATTGCTTGACGTTGGTGATGGATTCCGCGGGCGAGAGCATCCCGGGGGGGATCTGCGAGTCGGATAGTCTCCATTCGGAGGGGATTTTGGCGTCTAATTCGGCCAGTTTACGCTGGGAGATGGTTGCGTAGGCCATTTTTGGTCATACAATTTTATATAGTTAAGTGTAGTTGTCAAGCATCTGAAGTTGTTGTGTGGATCTTTTCTTTTGTATTTAGTGTTAGTGCGGTGCGGAGAATGCGGGGAGAGATTTTGCCTCGGCTGGACGGCTTTAAGTCTTTGATAGAGAGAGACCGGAAAAGTAGTATGACAAGGGTGACAAGTCTAAATACTAGCTAGATCAATATCTAGATACATCCCGTCCAAACAAATTGTTCAACAACCACCGAAACGCCACCCGCAGCCGATTCCGCCAGCTAATACTCATCGTCAGATACGCCGAGTTCCACACCAGCCACGCCATGCGCCCTGTCAATCCATGCGGGAGATACTTGTATCGCTTGCCGTCCTCGTGCGGCAGCTGCATCAGCGCCCTCGCATCGCCAATATACGCCAGAGTGCCCATGTTACGGAACGAGAACGGCGGTGCCTGCTCGATATCGTCCGCGTTCAACCGCGCCGCCAGCCACTTGGCTTCCTGAAAGGTCGCCTGCGCCGTCGCCGGGGGCGCCCCGGTCTCAGGCATGGCGTTGTCGCCGAGTGCGAAGACGTCGCGGAGGATGGCTGTCTGTCCGTTGTTGTCACTGGCCAGCTGCACGCGTAGCCGGCCGTCGACGAGCAGGGCGCCGTTGGGGCCTTTCTTGACCTTCCAGGAGGAATTCTCTTCCTGGATCTTCCCGCCCTTGGCCACCGCCGAGGCAGAGGGAAAGACATCCACCTCCTCCAACGAGTTGCGAATGAACTCGTTCATCTTATTCCCCGTCGCCCACACGCACATGCCCACGCCCACCTCCCCCTCCTCCTTGGTAGTCAGCGTCAGACACCGCTTGGGGTCCATCTCGTACGGCGGTTTTGCGCCTGGCTCCCCCACCGCAACCCCGCCACATGATGTGACGTCTTGATCGTGATCCCCTCCTTCTTCATCGTCTCCATCGCATACGCCGCCAGCCGCTCATCAAACATCGACAACACCGTCGGCGCAACATCGTACAGCGTGATGCGCGGGATCCCCGCCAGGTTGGGATACAGCCGCATAAGATCGCGATAGATGAAATCCCGCAGCGACGCCGCCAGCTCCGTCCCCGTCGGCCCGGCCCCAACAATCGCAAAATGCAGCAGCCATTTCCTCATCTCCGGCGCCGTCGTCGGCAGCACCGCCAGCTCGAAGCACTCGCGCACCCGCCGCCTTACCCGCCGCGCGTCCCCGATATCCTTGAAGAAGAGCGCGTTCTCGCGCACCCCCGGGGTATTAAACGTCTTGGTGACCGTCCCCACCGCGATGACCAGCTTGTCGTAGGGGAGTGTGAACGTCTCGCCCGCCTCCCACCGTCGTTTGGCCATCGTGCTGACGACACCTCCCGCCTCGTCCGTCCGCGGCGACTCCGTCACCCCGCTCTTGACGACCGTCGCCTCGCAGAGGATTGTCTTCCGGTCGAAGTCCACCGCGCGCGCCGCCGCCTGGATGAAATCCACCCGCGCCCTGCAATCCCGGACCGGCTCGACGATATTCGAGAAATCGAGCGAGCCCCCGGCTGCATCGGTAAGCAGCGGCGTGAAGACAAAGTACGACCGCGGGGAGATGATCAGCGGTGCGAATTTGCTCGGCGAGAGCCGCCGCGAGAGACTGTAGCCCCCCCAGCCGGAGCCCAGGATGACGACCCGCTCTTTGCCTTGGTGTCTTTGTTTGTCGTCAGGGAAGGCCGTCGAGTGTTCGACTTGTGTTGCTAGCCTCCTAGCTCCTATTGATTTCCTTCGCTGTAGCACTAGCATCCATGGTGTATGTCGTCTGCTCCCCTGCAGAACGGAAGATGGCGCGGGCTTCATACTGCTGGACAAACAATTGCAATTCTAGCTAGCATTATTATGACTGCCTGGATTCTTTGTCATTTTATTTATGCAAGTAGCTTTTATTTACGCAGTCGACTCCCACGGTGAAAATCCGGGTCTGAACAAATGATGACCTCACATGCCCACGCCAAATTCATTGGAACGTGGAAGAACGCGGATCCTTGAGTCAAGCCAAATTCCAGTATATCCCCGTGAAAATCGATGAGATAGACCTCTTTTCTCTCACCGAGCAACACTCACTGTAACTGTATTGATGCGCTGCAGCGGAGGTCTCAGTCACAGTGCGCAGTCCGCACCTCCACAGAGCGGCAGTAGGTGCCGGTTCCACCCGTGCCGACACTGCGCATCGGAGGATCCAGGCTAGTATTTCTGGTGAGGATCACAAGAACGATATTTCATCTATTAATATATCGGATAAAGAGAATCTTTTTGAGAGTAGGGGTTCCTCTGTGGATAGTCCGAGGTGCTGCGGAAGAGGACGGAGATCTGATTCTCTTCAGTCGTCGTAAGCACATGGAATTCGTCGGACTCAGATTCATCTCTGCGGTGTCTGACTGAGTGCTAGACTATTAGATTGACCAAGGACGAAGGGAAAGGACAGATTCTCATGTGAATTCGTCGCGCGTATTCTCTAGCGGCATATCCCAATGATCGTAGGGAAAATGCAGTAATTATTAATCTATCAGATAGATAGTAAGTATAGTCATATCTCATAATCATTAGTCGTGCCAATAGTTAATTGGAATCAAGCTGGACGACTCCCCCGAGTCGAAACAGGCAAAAGACTCCCTGCATAGCGCGTGTCCATGCTCCGGCGCGACTTGCTCATGCTGATAATCTTCTCCATCTCGATGGTGGCCTCGTCCAGCTCATTGTCTCGGTTCTGCCGATGCGACATCCACCGTCGCATGTGTCGCATCGCTTCCTGGAAGACATCGCCGATATCGTCGACCGACAGCGCCAGCAGAATCAACGGGATGGAGATACCAAAGCCTATGCCAAACGTATACTTGGCCACATAAGACAGATGCAGCTCCTCGACGCCGTCCGGGCCCTTGGGGAACTCCTTGATGTTGATGGTGAAAATGGACGTGATGAACGACAGCGGGAGGAAGATGATGGTGACAATCGTAAACACCATGATCGTCTTCCCCTGGCGGGCGGTGCCCGCCGCCTGGTCGCGCGCGAACCGGGCCTCAAACGCGTTGGCGTGTTTCTGCTTCAGGTCGAGCAGGTCGGTAATGGACGAGTAGATGCGCTCGGCCTGCTTGTCCATCCGCTCGATGTCCTTGAGGTGCATGTCGATCGTGCGCTGCTGCTCCTTGAACCGCTTCTTGACCTCGTACTGCGACCGGTGCTGGCCGTGGTAGATCTCGCAGATCACCTCCTGGAAGTCATCCAGAATGTGCTGCTGGTGCTGCAGCACCGTGCGGATCATGTTGAGCTCGTCGCGGATGTCCTTGGCTTCCGCCAGGAGATCCGTCTCCTGCCCGATGTCGAGAAGGTTGTCCACGAACAGCGGCTGCTCGTCTTCCTCCTCCGCGAACTGTTTCCCTTTTGCATCGTCTGCGTTGCGCGCAAATCGGCTCAGCTTGCGGTGGTTCTTGAGCCAGTCCGATGCTTGCGCGGAGGCGCGGTTAAACATGTTGAACAGCAGCGTCTCACGGTCCGTCGCGACCCCGATCGACGCCTCGAACATGTCCAGGAACTGGTATTCCTCGTCTCCCATGCGGTGCCGGTCGAATACCCCCGAGCAGCGGTTGGTGATGATCATCGCCAGGTCGTAGACGGACCGCACCGGTTCCCGTGTCTTGGAGTTGATATCCTCAATAATGCCGTCCAAGACGTTGAGCGGGTCGTTCTTCGGCTGGTCCCACCGCTGCGCAAAGCTCGTGACAATGAGGTTCGTCCCCAGGATCCACATCCACAGCTGGTCTACCATGAAAATCTTGGGATCCGACCGGAACCGGTCGCGGCCCTGCCCTTTGGTCTGGTAGCGGTAGATCACCTGGTCCTGATCGCGACCCTGCGTATCGATGTTCGGATAGAAGAATTGGTCCAGAGTTCTTCGCACATGGAGCGACGTCGTCGACGAGGCCAGATGCGCGCTGATGAGCATTTCGTCCCTCGTAGACGATCGCGAGATCCCCGGGCTTTGGAAGCTGAGTGTTTCGGCTCGTTGGATAGCCTCTTGCATCTTCTGCTGGCGCTCGGCTGTCTCAAAATGCAAATAAGGCATGAACACGCACACATTGCAGGCCGGGACAAGGGAGTGGTCTTTGCAGAGTGACAGGGGCGCTCGACGCTTTTCATCCTGGGCCGATGAATGCTTACTACCCTTCGTGTCGCTCTTATTAGGCGAGGACCCAGACTTGCCCCGTTTAGCTGTCCCTTTGCCCTTTTTGCCCTGCGAGCTGCTGAACCCATCATCAAGCGAATCCGTCCGCTCAAGCTTCATCCCCTGGACCTTTGACTTCCTGGTCTTTGAATGGTCGTCGTTTCCATTGACAACGATTGTGGGCAATTCCGACTCTACACTTTCCTTGGGCCGCTCATCCTCGCGGAAAGGTCGTGCTCGTTGACTCTGCAAGCATAGGGGGCGCATAAAATTGGAGTGCGTCGTCCGCTGGCCACGGTGCTGGTAATTGAACGACCGCTCCAGCCCCTTGAAGCTCTCCACGTCGTGAGCCCCTTCTTCAATAAACGACTTGGTGAGCAACGCCTCCACCCAGGCCATGTTGTTCGCGGGCAGATGGATCCAGCGAAAATCCGTCGCTTTGCTGTCCGCTGGGATAGTTCGGAACGCTTGCTTGCGTGGATTTTCTGCGTCCCGCCCATACAACAGGTTAAACACGGACGTCTTCTGGACCCTATTCTCGTTGTGAAAGTTACCAAAGTCAACCACCGTCGCGTCAAAGGCCTCGCATGCACCCCGCGCGTCCGCCGATAGCGCATCAATATTGTTGAATGGCGCCAGGAGCAGCACGATGTCCTTCCGCTTGAACTGCGCCGCCCGGAGGAACGGGGTGCTCCCGAAGTTGTCCCTAACACGGCGTTTCAGGTCCGGTCGCTCGAGCAGGCACTCAACGACCTCGCGGTGACCGGCCTGCGCGGCCAGATGCAGCGGCGTGACCCCGTTCAACAACTGCGCGTTGATCTTGGCCCCAGCCTGCAGTAGCAATCGCACGATCACCACCGTGCCCTTGTCGCAGGCATTGTGCAGCGGCGTCCAACCACCATCGCTCCGCGCTTCAATGTCCGCTCCGTGCTTGAGCAGCAGCTGCACGATATCCTCCCTGTCATGCGCCGCCGCAATATGCAGCGACGTCTTGTTCCTCAGCTCGACGGCATTCACATCCGCGATCGGGCCCCGCCGTCGTGTCAGCAGCAGCTCCGCGATGCGCAGTTTACCCGTCGCACACGCCCAGTGCAGCGGCGTCCGGCCCAGCTCATCCCTCCCATCCGCCCCGTCAAGCGCACACCCCGTCCCCAGCAGAAGCTCAATCACATCTTCGCCCCAATCGCACTGCTTATCCGCCGCCAGATTATGCAAGACATTCCTCTTCCGCAGATCCCTCGCATTGACGTCCGCCCCGCGCGATATCAACACCTGCAAGACATGCCAGTGGTTCCTCCACGCAGCCGTCATCAGCGCCGTCCGCCCTTTCTTATCCGCCGTCTCCGTCGACGCCCCGTAATCCAGTAACAGCTGCACGATCCGGACATGGTTGTGCTCGACGGCGCGCAGCAGCGGCGCGACACGGTTGCTCGGGACCTCGGTCTTCGCGCCGAGACTGAGTAGGTACTGCGTCGCGGCGATGGATCCGCGCTCGCAGCTGCGCATGAGGCCCACGCGCAGGAAATTCTCGCTGAACTGCCCATTTTCGCGGGCCAGGTGCACGATCTGCCGGAGCCTTTCTAGGTCGTCGTGCTCGACGGCGCGGAGCAGGCGGGGTTCGAGCCGGTCGTGGCTGTCGCTAGCGATGCTGGAGCGCGACCGTGACATGGTGCTGTCTCAATTCCTTTCCTAGCTCATCATAAATCGATCAATCTGCGTATCGTAACCAGTCACTTGATGACAAGCTTTGTATGGAGTATTTAGTAGCTGTACGGAGTAATCCAGCCCGGTCGAACGGGAAGAAAAAAAGAGCTCGCGGAGGAAACAGGTGAAAAATTTTGGAATCAGAGCACACCAGGGGCTGAAACGAGATTAAAATCCGAACTCAGCCCCAAGTCCGCGCGGTACGAGGTCGATAAATTAAAGAATCGCCGGACACATTTTAGCTGCAGCTGGTCGGGTCATGATCAGCCGCGGGCTGCGACCAGTGCAGCCACACGGGTCTGGACTCTTGATACCTGTTATCGTGATTATCTGATCGACAAGAGTAGGTCAGTAGATTAAGGAGATGCAAGATAGACCAGACGTTGCAGGAGAAATAGGAATAGTAAGGACGATAGGATAAAATGGGATGGCTTGTCGGTGATTTCGACTGCTGATTTGAGTTACTGATCTGAGTTACTGATCATTTGTGCTCTGAGCATATCTCGGGGTTCAAGCTGTGTTTCAGTAATTGTACGATGGAGAAGAGATCTGAACACCGGTATTTAAGACCTGATTCAATAAAATAGAAAGCGAGCAAGTTCCGATTGTTGATGGTCTGAAATATAGGAGATGTCGGGGCAACGATAGCAGGTAGATCAAATCTCCGCACAAGACCAAAGGTTGCTCAATTACATTATTGCCCATCAGGGCATATTATCTCTATCCGTCTCTTCTTAAATAACATCAAACCAGGTGGTCGGCCCCGGTCGCTCTAGAAAGTGATTTCCACAAGTTGACAAGTTGGAAAAGAAAAAATAGAGGACCCGAAAGAGGACGCAAAAACCGAGGACAAGTATAGGACCAGTATAAGAGACCGGGCCAAACCTATCAACCCCCATTCAATTGTTTATGATATTAGGCATTCTTCTTCTTGAGCGAAGTTCGCGTCGAAATTTGGTTGAATTCCCAGTCTTATATTGCGCCGGCCCATCCCTTTGGTCCTTGTAAAATGTGTGCACTCCATGAATGATTAATGAACAATAATAAAGAGACAAAACAGAAATGGAATAAAGCAGTAAATGAAGGGGGAATGCGGACTGGACAAGGTGATATGGGAATCGGACAAGTAGTAATGCAGATCAGATGAAGTGAATAATTCAATGCTCCAGAAACAGAAACAATGGCATAGGAGGCGTTCTCTCCTGGACTCTGTACACGGATTATTAGGGTTCTCATTTCTTCGCTCTTTGGTTGGGAACCTGCTTCAGAATATCGTCGAAGCTCATGTTGGGGTTGAACCGGCTGATGGGCCTCGCTGGTGGATCAACGGGCGCAACTCCAGCGGGCAATGGGAGGGCCTCGAGACCCGGATAAATGGAATGGCGGTGCTCGGTTCGAGCTCGCGCAGCGGGTGAGCTGGCGCGAGGAATCACCGGAGGCGGTGGTGGAGTGAGACCGTTGGGAGTCAGGAGTTGTGCCGGTTGCTGGGGTTGCTCAGTGGACGAACCGCCCGACGATGGCTGTCCCGGGTAGGGGGAAGACAGCGAGGATTCGTTGTCATAGGGGTCATCGATGGTCGGAGGTCCCAAAATGGCGTCCTTCTCTGCCCATTGCTCCGCCACCTGCCAGCAATGACTGCGGCGGTAGATACCCTCGACGCCGTTGACCACGACGTCCGAAGGCAGGCTGACAACCCCAGCTCCGCCAGCAACACCAAACCAGCTACGTGCTGTCTTGCCATCGTTGTGGATCCAGGGTGCACCACCGCGGGGTGCGATGCACAGAAGATACTCCACGCCTTCGGTGTACTTGACATCCTGTACATCCACGACGAGCAACGGTAGAGCTTGGATCACACAGTAGAGGAAGATCCACTGACCGCAGCGGAGATCGATGAGATCTTCAACATTCTTGCCGTGCGCACAGCGCCGTTCGAATTGCATAAACGCTTCGATGAAGGGGGTTGGCCGCATACTCTCCCGCGTGTACGAGCCCATGAGCACGGCATTGATGTCCGAGTCTTTCAATTTCTTGGCCCTTCGCTTGGCCTCCTTCTTGGGGTCCACAGCCTTCAGCTGCAGCGAGTCCAATGACGGGAACTGGGGAACGTCGAATGGGATGGGTGGCTGAACCGGCGGCGTGGCGCGGTCGTACTCACTCAACACCTGGCGGAGGGCACGGATCATGACTTCCTGCGCGTCTTCGGACCCGGCCGTCTCCAGGGCCGCCATATCCACGGTTCGGGTGGTCAGGGCTGTCCGATCGACCAGCATGTCGTACAGATTGGCAAAGTCGTCGTACAGGTCCTTCAAGACCTGGCGGTTGAGGCCGCTCTCTTCGAATTGATTCTTCTTCGACCGGGCCTTTGGTGGCCATGAGCCGTACTTTTGTCGGTAGTAGTGCATGGTAAACCGTCTGAACTCCATAAATGCCGCCTTCCACAGCTTGAATCGAACGACCTTGCTTTCCGCGGACGTGGTCGAGTTGGCCACACCGGAGAACACCGAAGGGAAATCAAACTCGTTCAACTTGCTATGCAAGACTCGAAGGCGCGTATCCAGGTCGATAAAGCCACGTTCCATCCGTTTTTGTGTGACGGGGCTGATGAGGCTGAACTTGGGGCTCCGCAGCTGCTTCAGCTCGTCCAGCTTACCGACACCGTGGACGAAGCCCTCGAGATACAGGGGAAAGAAGCGCAGACGTTCTCCCAGAACGATGGCCTCAATGGTCTTTTCTCGGCTTTTCCGGACATCGTCAAGTTGCAGTTCGTCGCAGTAGTTGCTGAAGCTGCTGGTGGCCGTTTCGCCGAAATTCGTTCCGTCAAAGTTGCTGAACTCGAAGCGAGACAGTAGACTGGCCACATCCATGAAGATCGAGAAGAGCGTGGGTGACCGGGGAGTAGCGATCAGGGATTGGCCAAGGAGGAAGGCGAAGAGATTGCGGAATAAAACGAGTGTCTCAGTGTCCTCTGGCGAGATTCGACTGTCGGGACTGGACACATCGCAGTTTAGCGGTATTGGAAGGTATAGATGAAGCTCTTGGAACTCGTCCAATCCCTCATCATCCACAAAGGCCATCCGCCTACTGCCGGTACTGTCATTATCATTGTCGGCGTATCCGTCCTGAGGAGTCAGGGGAGGTGAGGCGGGACTGGTCATAGGACTACTCAATGACATGGAGCGCGCTTGTTGCTCCAAGGCGTTCACTCTGTTCAGGTCTGTGCCCCGGGCAAGGAATGTGAGGGACGGTGATTCAGCGAAAATGGTTGAATGGACTTTGAACGAGGGTGACCGTCCAGTGTTTTGCGGGAACAGGTAGACGTAAGTGTCACCGTTTTCATTCCACAATTCCGGAACCTATGGTAGCACGTAGAAATTAGTGGACTTGAGCCCAAAATCTCGGTGGACGAAGAGTAGGAACAGACAAGCGGCATACCTGTTCGCCCCGGATCAAAGGGCCCATATCATATAGGATCTTCTGATCCAACCCGGCGATCCAAGCACTCGGCATATGAGTATTTGTATTCTGAGGTCTCGCATCTACAGAGCTCGCTCGCGCTCGTCCCGGGATCCAGCTCCGTCGTTTTGAAGGGGTCCCCGGGCGCGAATCTGGTCCAGTTCCGGGAACGAATAATCCCCCAGCGCTGGAGGGTCTGCCTCTGCTCTGCGGTCTGCCATCGGGGGAATTGTTGGCACTATTGGCAAGATCCTGGTTCACGGCCAGGAGTGACGGAGGCGGAGGCAGAGGCTCATCCAAGTCGAATTGATCGATGGGAGCTGTCGTTCTGATGCTCCGGGTATCTGAATAGTCGGACTGAGGATTGGATACTAATCGCGCGGGGCGGGAGCTGCTCCGTGGTCGTTGCTGTACATCCTGCGGGTATTGGTCGGGAGAGTGCTTCGGGAAGCTCGGAGAGTTTGGTGATGAGGAGAGAGAACCATCTTTGTTTGACCCCAATGAAAAGAGCGACGATATGCGCTTGGCCGATCTTACAGGAGCTGACAACATCTTAGGGGTTCGCTGTACAAAATAAAGCAATTGGTAAGTTGGAGAGTCGACAGCAGCGGGCGAGTGGATGTACTTCGAAAGATAATCACAAAAAAAGAGAAGGCAAGACACAACAGAAAGATGAGGTAAGACTCGATCGCGAACTATGCGAAGAGAATGGACTAAACCATACAAAAAGACGGTTTAGGAAAGTGGAAGAAACGAGGGACGAGTCAGGTAGAGGAGGAGAGCGACAGAGAGAGTGGTTGTCTCTGGCGCGTGTGTCTTGGGGAATGTGATCGGCAGGAGGGGATCAGAGGAGGAATGATCAGTACTTAGACTTACCTGTTACTACTTGCCAACTCTGCCTGGCCAAGGCTCTGATTGATCCAAGTAGTACCTTGGTTCTGCTCAAGGTTTTCGGAAGTCCAAGGAGTGATATGACGAATGTATGGCACTAAGCTGGTATAGAGTGGAGTATGGAGAGCATTGATAATTGACTTGACTCTCGCGAAGTTGTACAGCAGCAGCGAGTGAGTAAGTTGAGAGGAGCGATGAGAGGAGGGGAGAGGAAACAATTTTGATTTCTCATTCTTTTTTGAGACCCTTGAGCTTCGGATTTAAAGATTTCATCATTGTTTTATGCTGTCAAAAAATACTATTTTCTTTTTCTTTTATCTACTTCATTTTTTTCTACTTAATAATCTTCTCTTTGATGGATCATGGCTGTACTGGACTACTGCAGGTCTCTAGCTCTAGTTAGCTAGTGACTGCGGGTGGGGAATCTCTTGGTTTCTCGGCTCTACGGGGATTATGATTGACTAACATGTCTAGTATTGGATAGTTTTGATGGAGATCAGGAGAGGCTGTGTCTGAAAACAGTGAGTTATCGACAACGACCATTATTTAAGCAGTCAATGTGATTTATGTTGGTGCCCCCGCCTCCTGATGAGCTGTTCCGGGTACACTGTACAGCCCTCAGTATCACCAGACGACTCCGATCTCGTCTCATCTGATCCCGTTTGTCTTCTGAAATACTCGAGCATGGCTGAGAATATCTCCAGCATTGATTTCCACATGGTCAGTAAAGCTGTTCATTTTCTTTCTATTTGTTTGACAGGAGCATGCTCTGTGCTATTGGTCTATACGAGCACTGTGGAAAATGGAAAATGCACAATGTGCCGTTTCTAACGCAAATATGAACCATACAGCCACCTACGCGGTCGACGATGATGCCATCCGCCAGGGGTAAACTGTTTGCAATTTATTTAGCATTTTGACGCGGATAGATGCTGATTATCAGATTTCTCCTGGAGAAAAAAAAAATGTCAGTACTAGAAACAAACCCACATAATCAAGTAAATCGACATTTTTGGCTGGAATGCCAATGTGTGGTTAGGACTCCGCCTCGTATGATTCTACCCAAGCCTACAGAGTACACTCGTCACTGAGGCGTTTACACCTTGCCTCCACGAGTTATTGATAATGACCAATGGTATTCGCATAGTTTCCCACATTTACGTATTCTCTGCTCACCTTCTCAGTGATGCTGGGATACAATATGGTAGCCTTGGTGACTCGGTGAGGCTCAGGGGCAGTCGACGCTAGATATCTGCCTAGAAGCAGCAAGGAAGCCGGGAATCCTCATGGAGTATTAAGGTACCTGTTCTACTAAGAATAGAAACATCACCTGCCGGCCTGTTTTTGATTGGTTTGTTGGCGCTTGGCTTTGGAAGGATCCGTAGGGTACCTCACTTGCGGGAATTTGCTGGCGCCAGTGGCCATTGCCAGTGAACTGTACGGACCACATACAGTTGTGTTTGTAGGATTGTAGGTACCTTAGTTGATCTTGTTTGTTTGGTTTGATTTGATATGTTCCATCATCCATCATAATTAGTTAACGGAGCATTCTTACACTGATGCTCAGCCATGGCTGGTATCCGCAGTGCCAGAAAAATGTTTACCTTAGGATCCCCGACCGGAATCGGAAACAGTTTGTCGGCCGTGGTTACAGTACGGTAATCCCCACGCCCAAACTCTGCAAGTTTTTCGGATGTTATTTTTCTGTGGTGTTTCAACTGTCAATCCACCACAATAACAGGAGTAGACTAAATGTAGATAAATCCTCACTAGTCTCATGGTTGCTCAGATTGAACGTACTTGTTCGTAAGCTATCCAAGTTAGGAGAGACACCTGAGGAAAGAAGAAAAGAAGGATTGCGTATTCCTCTGTCTCAGACACTCGGTCATTTCAAATGGCGGCGGCCAACGTCACCGGACTGACGTGTCCTTGTCCTTCCACACTGAAATTTTCAACGACGGTCATCGACTGAAACCGAGTCATCACCACCACATAGTTACATGGTTAAAGTTATCTACTCCGTACACATACTGGCAAGTGGCAAGTGAGCAACTGTCGACATGGGCTTTGTTCCCCCCGAAGAGCCGATCGATCTCTTCAGAGGCTGGCCTAACCCTGCCCTGCTGCCCACCACCGCCTTGGCTCAAGCATCCGCCACCGTCCTGTCCACGCCGTCCATCTGGACCCCAGCCCTGCTGTACGGTCCTGATGATGGCTATCTGCCCCTGCGAAAGAGCGTTGCTGAATGGCTGACCCACTTTTACAAACCACGCGATCCGGTTTGTTTCGATCGGATCTGCATTACTGGCGGTGCCAGCCAGAATCTGGCATGTATCTTCCAGGTCTTCACTGACCCTAGTTACACCAGACATGTCTGGATGGTAGCGCCTGCGTATCACCTGGCGTCTCGGATGGTGGACGATGCCGGCTTCGCGGGTCGTATCAGAGCCGTCCCGCAGGATGACGCGGGGCTCGATCTTGAATATCTCCGTCGGGAGATGGTGGCCGCCGAGCGGAAAGCTAATGAAGAGCAGAGATTCGAACCGGTACGGTAGACACTGACTGTATATCAGATCTCTCTCTCTCTCTCTTCCACCCACCAACTGATCTGTAAAGAAACATAAACCTCCAAGACCATGGGGAAAAATCTACAAACACGTCATCTATGCCACGCCGACATTCTCTAATCCCACCACGCGGACCATGTCCCTGTCCGATCGGGAGAAACTGGTCCAGCTTGCGCGCGACTTCGACGCCTTGATTGTGACAGATGACGTCTACGATTTCCTTCAGTGGTCTGCGGATCCAGACCGCCCCCTTGCTGCGCCCGACAAGACACGCGTGCCTCGGCTGGTAGACGTTGATCGCTACCTGAACGGAGGGCCTCAGGACGAATGGGGGAACGTCGTCAGTAACGGGAGCTTCAGCAAGCTGATCGGCCCTGGCATGCGGACCGGATGGGCCGAAGGCACGGCCAAGTTTGCCTACGGACTTTCTCAAGCGTATTTCCTCGTAAACTAGACTTTGACCGGAACTGTATGAGCTGATGACTGGCAGAGGTTCATCGCGGTCTGGAGGGTCCCCGTCCCAAATGGCCTCCACGATAATTGCTCAGTTGCTCGCCGATGGGGCCTTCCAGTCTCATCTAACTGGGGTCTTACAGCCCGCTTATGCGCGCAGGTACCATGTCATGATGTCGGCTATCCGCAAACACCTGCTCCCTCTGGGCGTAGTACTGCCCTACTCCTCCGAGGTCGTCGGCGGATACTTTATCTGGGTGCGTCTTCCGAGTCCGTTACGCGCAAGTGATATCGTGCAACTGGCTCTGGAGAAGCAGAAACTCAGGGTGGCTGCTGGTGAGATTTTCCAGGTCCCCGGGGACTCGGTGGACCGAGGCAACGACTTTCATGATTTCCTGCGACTTTGTTTCGCCTGGTCTGAGGAGGATCAACTCGCTGAAGGAGTGCGACGACTAGGATGCGTCATTCATGATGCTTTAGTTGGACCCGCAGCCATTTCTACGTAGTTTTGAGTGGTTGCAGTGCCACTGTACCTTACTTCTCTGGTAGTGACCATGGTTCAAAGCGGATCGGCCCGCCTGCATACCTATCCTTCTCTGGTCCTAGACAATCCTTGTTAACTGTTCACCTTCCACCTTCCACCTTCCTTCCACTCTTAGAACCTCTAGCCATTAACACAATCATCTATGCTGCAGAGATTCATGGTCAACACCTTGTCTCATCATCGCCCTTTCTATCTTCACCTTACCGCCCTGTCTACTAGCATTGCCAAGCAATCATCGACAATATGATTTAATTGCAGTACGGGGAAGTGAAAGTTACCAATCTACTGAATTGTTGAAGGCATTATCTCATATATGTAATAATGTAAATGAACTGTCGTAGCTCGTCTGTCGGCCGCCGCTCCCCAAACATGGTTGCATCAGCCGCGGCATTGCCTCGGTGGACAACTGACCGTCTAGTCTTTCACCATGAAGGACAAGTACAAGTCGAAATCTCATAATACATTGGTTCCCCCATATTTTGGCAACTGTACCAAAGCCACTAAGTTAAAAAGGCGATCATTCTAGCTAGCCGCGGTCTTGCAGCCTTCTGCGGCATATATCCCTGGTCCAAACTCATTCTCGTGAGCGTTGGGATTGATGACTGGTATAAAGGAGCTCATGGATAATATAAGCCCAACCATGCTCAGGCCCCGAAACCAAATTGTGTCTCCGTCAATGTTGAAGGTTCCGCCGAGTTTCCTCCTGACTTGACCTATTGCCTTGTGAAGGTTTGGGGGCGGGTAAACGGGTACATGTTCGCAATGCGATATTGGGATGGTTCTGAGGTAACTGCGTCGGGGATCTGAAAAGCTGGTTCAACAATAGAACGACTGAGGAAGACGTACCCCATCGTATAATTTTTGAATAAGCAACGGCATCCTGTCCTGCTTGGAATAGTAATTCATCAAAACTCCCATGGGATTGATGTTGCGAGGGACAGGGACTATCTCATCTTCCAGAAGATAGGCTGGATCATCGATGACTTTGACCAATTCTTTGTGGCTGAACAGCCAGAAGATGCTCCTGATGGAGCCAACCATCGAGTAAAGGTCTTTTTATCACCGCCAGAACTACCACTATAGGGTAAAACACCAGATACGGCAAGGCAAGGTAGTACTTACAAGCACAGTCGGACGCTAAATACTCGTCGATTTCGGGAGGTAGCGTTCCAGGGTACCCAACTCCTTCAACTAGATAGGGTCAAGCCAATTTTCTTCCAGAAGGTTGGGGTCCTTTATTTCACGGCTGTAGATCACCGACACCTCGTCTCAATCCAGACCTTCGTCTTCAGATGAATGACCCTCATGCTCGGCATCGGTAAGTGAAAGGCTCCCCAGCTTGTCTGTAAGAGTACTTTCAGAAGTTGTTGCAGATCGAAAAATAACGGTGTCTGATTTGCGGGTTTCTGGGGAACGGGGGACGCTGTGGCTGCTAAAGACCCATTCGGATTGGCGTTACTTGCGGGTTTAACCCCCACAGCCTGTAGATCGAGATGGTCAGTACTAAGGGTATTAGTTCCACCACGAACAAGTCCCGGAATACTTACATTGTTCAAAACACTGTCGTGGCAGTATGTTTGGACCTGAACTGAGCTTCTAGCGGAGAGAAGACCTTGAGAAGAGCTGTAATCTTTGCGTGTGTATGTTCGTCACATGACGACCTTACTGGAGACATTCACTGCGCTACGGCGTAATGTCGACAGGGATTACCCTCCCAACGCCGAACGCCGAAACTACTGCTGGACTGCACAACCAGGAAGAGGGCTTAAGTTGAAATGATGCATCATTCAGGGATCCCCGAGGGAAGACGAGTCCTCTGTCGAGCCAAAGCACTCGGACAAGGAAGTAGACACCTGCTGTTATGTGAGTTGCACATTTTCGATACAAGGAATACCATCATTGACCATAGCAGGTCCTCACGCCGCCGGAATGGAAAGCCCGCCTCCTGCGAGCCATGTCGCAAAGACAAAGTCCGGTGTGATCATGCGCATCCTGTCTGTTCCCGGTGCCTGCAGCGCGGCAGCACCAGTCGGTGCTTTTATCATCCTGCGCCTTTGACACGAGCTACGAGGCGGAGTCGGGGGTTCATTGAGGATCAGCATGCTTCTACAACGTCCCAATCCGAATTCCATGGGTCACCTGAGGCTTTGTCGTCTTCAGGCTCGAGGTCAGACCACTTGCTGTCAGCCGGATACTTGGGACCGACCAGTTTTGTTTCTGTCCTGGGCGAAGGAGACGGTGCGAATGAGCTAGTCACTGCTGCTGATGAAAGTTCTGCGGCGTCGTCTGTTCCAGCGTGGTGGGTGAAAAGAGCTACCGAGATCGTCGGCCATCTCGTGGAATTCCCTACTCTCAAGCAACTAATACTGGAATTCTACGGTGTCAGTCAGGCTGCCGTGATTGCAGCACCTTTCGTCCTGAATGCACTGTCCCAGATGCAGGATACCTACCATGCCTACCAGCTGGATCAAGGGGAGACAGAAATTCCGGCCTTGGTTGCAACCGTCCTTGACAACACGAGGCGGAAATTTAGTGTCCCGCCTACGGTGGACGGAGTACACTTCCACAGGCTCTACACAGGGTCTTGCCTGCGTTTGGAGATACTTGGCGTTGTTTATGCTCTGGCTGGTCGAGCGAGTCAATTCGGACTGGGGCGACCGAAGAACAAGCTCCTGTCCTCACGCTTTGCGCGCAGGATGCTCGCGGCGAGTGACACCGCACTTGAAACGTGCAAATATCTATCGCCTGTGAATGACCTTACGCTCTGGCTACTTCACGAAAATCTTCTCTTGTCCACGTTAGTCCTCGGTCACTCGAGTGAGTTGTACATGTCATGCGTGAAGAAGGCAGAAGACTGACGAGGTGAAAGGCTCAGCGACCTGGCATCGGTTAGGCGAACTCGCGACATGCATTTTCGAGCTTGGTTTGCACCGGGATTCGGATGAACGCACTGATCTTCCAGACTTCCTGCTGGAGTCCAGACGCAGGCTATTCGCCGCTGTCTATCAATTGGACAAGAGTATTGCGACCTTCTTGGGCCGACCGCCCCGGATCTCGTGGAGGCATTCTGATTGCCGTCTGCCTCTTGATATCAGCGATGAGGCTCTCACTGGGAGTAGAGCGCTTGCGCAAAGATCAGTGACGGCGGAAGGGTGGAGTTGTCATGCTGTCTACCAGCGTTCAGCCTGGATCCGACTGCGCTTCCTCATCAGCACGTTCCGGGAGGAAATCCTAGAGCTGTCCTTGACAAATTCCAGCGAGAATCGAGATGGGCAATTGAGGTGAGCTTGATTCCTCCTGACATGTTGACCCTGAAGGTTAACGGCGGAACAAAGAGACGTCTCCCGCCGTAGCCGCCAGGCCTGGGATTCAGTACCTAGTCATCTTCACTATACAGAGGACTGCTGGAACACTCATCAACCGATCAGTGTCAAGGTCATGCTCATTGTCTCATACCTGGCATTTCTCTACAATGAGTTTCTAGTGCAGCGGCTGTTGGCTCTCAACAACACAGAATATAGCGCTGCATTGGTCGATGTGAGTTCGACCATCCTCTCGACGGTCTTGACCTTTGGCAGACAGCAGGAATGTGCTGTTGATATCCATCGCGACTTTATCTGGACAGTAGGCGATCCATTCACCTAGGAAGTATCTTGCACGAAGACGCGACTGACCAGTCGCAGCTTCTCCTCTACGGCTTTCCCAGCGCGAGTGTTTTACTTAGAGCCCTTCAATTGCACGCCAGCACAAACCAGTTACCGAACCTCTATCCTCGCGGCATTCTCATTCGGCACCTCAGTGTCTTCATCTCACATCTAGAATCAATGGCCGGGCCAGGCACCGCCAACAATGCATTTTTCAGCCGAGCGACTCGAGTATTCTCTCGCATCATGGACGAAATCCTCGCGCCCGAAGCGGTGACTACAACTGAAACCTCTGCTGTAAATTCTGTTGATGATCTAGACGTCTCCATGTTTTCTGATTTTGAGGGAGTCGGCCTCTTGGATACGATGGATTTCGCATCCGTCCTTGATCAAGTTTTGTATTAGTGACTACTATTTAGGGTGTATGCCGGCCTCGCTGCTCGCATTTAGCAGCTATCTCACTATTCCCATATCGTTCGTTGCAGAGTTGCCAAGGGAGCACGGCAGACATACTTTGCCCCTGGCCTGGATAATACGGCGGACCCACGTGCGCCGTAAATGCCGTTGGTTCTAGGTAGCCTGTAGTCCCGTGTTTTATCCGCATATGCAGTGCCGATATTTTTCTTACAAGATGGCAGCCGGACTGTGAAGAAACCGACTCAACCATGATAGCGTGATGAAACTTTTCCTGTTGCTGACCGTATTATGAATCCCCGTCTCAAGGAACGACGTAACTACATAGGTGCCAGTCCCGCGGCAAGAATGTCAAGTCAAGTACCTAGTTGATCCTCCTGACGACCAAGTGGATCTCTGGGCCGTTGGATCTGCGCGTCGAGACCGCACCGCACGCGCCATTGGTCTCGACTGCTATGTGAGGATTCCTGTCATTCTCCGTGCAGATGCCAGGTACGCGAATCATCGAGCTGATCGTTGAGTCCTCAGCGACAAAACAGGAAATATGTCGAGCATGGAATGTCCACGCGCTTCTATCTCAGGCGCTGTCGGCCTAACAATTCCAGGCCAAGACCGTTGCGAGGTTGCCGCATGGACAGGTGAGACTGTAGTCCAGAACCGGGGATGAAAGGAATTTGAGTCTTCAGTTTATGCGTAGACAGTACGTATGTGGGTTGTGTCGTCCTGGACGATTTCGAGGTATGTTGTCTAGGCCCTAGGATTTGCGTACGGTATATAGGCTACTGGACGGATCTATTGCTTTTGCTCTAGGAGCTTTCTTCTTCTTCTTCTTCTTCCTCTTCTGCCTCTTTCTCATCTTGTGCTTGCAAGTACCTATCTCCCTGCTCCCTTTCTCGCGAGTCGAGACCTCTCCTTTCCAAGACTACCTTCACTCCCTTGCAAGTTGCAACTCCTTCGAATCGCCAAGTTTACCTAATTCGAGGTTAGTACCTCCAATTTCCCGATCATGGAAAGAGGCCATCAAGGCTTGTTCTTCCTTTAATTTCATCAAATGGAGCGCTAATATTTATAGACCAGGAGAACTATCCTCAAAGAGTTTATCATTCAGTCCATCACCGATTTCTGCTGCTTGAAGCGTTTCATCGGCCCGTCTGAGTGTTTCACGCTCAACCAGGACGGCCACCGTTTCTTAATCTGATTGGCTGCCGGCAGTGGATTTCTGCCCAAGGGCTACCGCTGATTGGCTGTTATTCACTCCTCAACTATAAGAGGTAATTTCGAAACAATACGAGATTTGCTCCCTCATTTAATGACTCTTATTGGTTTTAATGCTGTATTGTGACGGTATTTGTTTGAGAAGTGACAATCGCTATACAATTCACTCGGGCTTCATCGTTGTTTGGCCTGAGGAACTATTCTGATCTAGTCCCTTTTTCTACCTAATTATTAACACTTCTTCGTCTCTCTCTCACCTGTTTCTATCTCTTCTGTCTGCTGTCTTCTCTCCTTTCCTTCACTTCTGGTGGTGTGGTGCTGTGTTTGTCCCTCCTTCCTTTTTCATCTGTACTTTATTCCCTACATTCTTTGTTATTCCCTTGATACGCCCTCCATTCGTTTCTCTTCTACGCGCCAAAGAACAAGGCGTGGGAAGACTCTCAGTACTGGTTACTGACCCAAATATTGTTTGCTACTTGCATCGATCATTGCTGGCTCAGTGATCATATCAGCAGTCAATTGAAAATGGCCTTTCTTCGCACTCCAATCGTGCTCTTGCTGGCGCAGATACTGCTTTTCCTGGGCCTTGTCAGTGCAGTTCCTACCCCGGATTCTCTCGATTTGCATGCAAATCTAGCTAGAGATACCGCGTCGAGCTTCTGGGTAGCCAATATCAAGCGTCAAGGCGCCGTGGCTTTTGGCCAGAGCTCGGGTTATCAGGTTTACCGCAATGTAAAGGACTTTGGCGCCAAAGGTAGTCTCCTTTTCACTGAGACCACGCTACTTTGCTAACCAACAATGTAGGCGACGGAGTAACCGATGATACTGCGGCGATCAACCAGGCCATGTCTTCCGGTAACCGGTGCGGAAAAGGCTGCGATTCCTCTACCACCACTCCTGCTCTGGTTTACTTTCCTCCCGGTACATACGTTGTCTCGAAGCCCATCATCCAGTACTACTACACTCAGATCGTCGGTGATGCCGTTAATCTTCCTGTGATCAAAGCATCCGCCGACTTTACAGGCATGGCGGTGATTGACGCCGACCCGTACGAGAATGACGGCTCCAACTGGTATACCAACCAGAACAACTTCTTCCGCGCCATTCGCAACCTTGTCATCGACCTTAGGGCCATGCCTATGAGCTCCGGTGCTGGTATCCACTGGCAAGTGGGTCAGGCAACCAGCTTGCAGAACATCCGCTTCGAGATGATCAGGGGAGGAGGCGACGCCAACAAGCAGCAAGGTATCTTCATGGACAACGGCTCCGGTGGTTTCATGTCCGACCTGACCTTCAACGGTGGCAACTACGGCATGTTCGTTGGCAACCAGCAGTTCACAACCCGCAACCTGAGCTTCAACGACTGCAACACGGCTGTTTTCATGAACTGGAACTGGGCCTGGACGTTCAAGTCCATCTCCATCAACAACTGCCAGGTCGGTCTCAACATGTCCAACGCCCCTCAGAACCAGACAGTTGGCTCCGTTCTCCTGCTCGACAGCTCCGTTACCAACACTCCCACTGGCGTTGTCACCGCGTTCACTCAGGACAGTATTCCCGTCGGCGGCGGGGTGTTGATCCTTGAGAATGTCGATTTTACCGGCTCCAATGTGGCCGTTGCCGGTATCAGTGGGAACACGATCCTCAAAGGCGGATCTGTTGTGGCTAGCTGGATCCAGGGTAACACCTACAGTCCAACAAACTCTCTCAACAAGCGCGCCACTCAGGCCAAGGTTCGCGTGGTGACAGAGACGATTGTCGAGACCGTCATTGCTTGCCCTGCGCAGTACAGTGAGACCCTAGAATCTGCCCCGGCAAGAACAGCGCCTGCGACAACATCGACAGAGACGCGCCAATCCAACGCAGATACCTACGAGTCGACTCAGGTAGCAGGCCAGCTCAGTGCAGCCAGAACTAGCCCTGTGGTGTATCCCACTCTATCTGGCGGCCTTTCCAAGCCTGGTTTTGGTTCTGGTTCGACCATCGGCTCTCAAGTGTCATGGAGTCAAAACCCGCCTGCCCCGCCTGCGGAAACTGTCGCTGCCGGAAAGCCTTCAGCAGCTCCATCTGGTGGCGGCTCCGCCGGAGAGACGCCTGTCGTCGTTCCAAATGCTCCCCACACCACGAGCACCAGGCCAGATATTCCCACGGGGCAGGTCTCCGCCTCCTCGGCCACAGTCGCTTCGATAGCCGTGGCCCACAGTGCCGCTGCATGCGCGAGCAAGGCAATCACCAAGACCCGTGTTCAGACCGTCATGCCTCAAGCGACCAAGCCAAGCTCTTTATTGAATGGCCCGAAGGTGTTTGAGCGATCCAAGCCACTGTACACTGAATACGCCGCTTCGTCCTTTGTGAGCGTCAAGTCGGCTGGTGCCAAGGGTGATGGCCAAACCGATGACACCGCCGCCATCCAGAAAGTGCTGAACAGCGTGACCGAAGACCAGATTGTCTACTTCGACCACGGTGCCTACATCATCACCGACACTATCAAAGTGCCCAAGAACATCAAGATCACCGGTGAAGTCTGGCCCCTTCTCATGGCTCACGGCGACAAATTTGCCGACGAAAAGAACCCAATTCCCCTACTTCAGATTGGTCAGCCCGGCGAAAAGGGCTCTGTGGAGATCAGCGACCTCGCCATCCAGACCAAGGGCCCGCGCCCGGCGCAATTCTGATGGAATGGAATGTTGCCGAAGCCAGCCAGGGATCTGTGGGTATGTGGGATGTGCACTTCCGCATTGGCGGCTCCGCGGGCACGGAACTGCAAAGCGACAAGTGCTCCAAGACGCCCAAGATGACCACAACCCCCAACCCGGAGTGCATCGGCGCATTCCTGTTGCTGCACATCACCGAGCAGGCAAGTGCCTACATCGAGAACTCTTGGTTCTGGACGGCGGACCATGAGCTCGATCTGGCCGACCACAACCAGATCAACATCTACAACGGCCGTGGTGTCCTGGTTGAGAGCAATGGACCCGTCTGGTTGTATGGTACGGCCTCGGAGCACCACCAGCTGTACAACTACCAGGTTGCAAACGCGCAGAACGTGTTCATGGCCTTGATCCAGACCGAGACGCCATACTACCAGTCCAACCCGACGCACTGACACCCTTCACGCCCCAGACTACATGGAAAGATCCCACCTTCTCCCACTGCACGACCGCCTCGTGCCGCAAGGCCTGGGGTCTGCGCGTGATAAACACCTCGGATCTGTTCGTGTACGGGGCGGGTCTGTACAGCTTCTTCGAGAACTATGGCCAGACATGCTTGGACACCGAGTCGTGCCAGGAAAACATGGTGGAGGTTGACTGCTCGAATGTCCATCTGTACGGGCTGAGCACCAAGGCCAGCGTCAACATGATCACGTCGTCGAGCGGCGCGGGTATTGTCCCGCAGGACGAGAACGAGAGCAACTTTTGCTCTACTATTGCTCTCTTTGAACAATCGTGATCATTTTCGTTGACTGTTGCGTGCGCTGATGATGGTCATGGCTCTCTTTCTTGTTCTTTGTTTTTCTTGGGTTTATTTCACAGGACACCCGGATGTTTTTCTTGCTCTGGCGAGCCAGGGTTGCAGGTATCTAGAGGCCAGTGGGTGGTTGCAGATAAGATATGACATGTGGATACACCTTAGACAAATACAATGATTCCCAATATTAGCAATTTGACTGACTCCAACCCGTACAAATATCCCATAATAGCATTATAGCAAATGTAGATTCAGGTGTAGCGACTATAGCTCCTTCTTCAAGAAATGCTCCGGCTTGTGAGTCGTCTCATAGTCGACATGGACATAAGCCCGCTCCACATCAGGCAACGACTCGAGCTTCATCTGCAGCTCCTCGGCGACGTCGTGGGTCGCACGCAGGGACTCCTCGGGGTCCATGACGATGTCGACTTCGACGAGCAGCCGGGGGCCGGAGGTATACGCGCGGACGGTATCGATGGCGGTGATGTAGGGGGAATGAGTCATAGCTGAGATCAATTAGCTTCTCCTTTTCTTTTTATCTGGAGATGGTACATACAGATATAAGTGATGAGCTGCTGCATCTTCGTATCGGCGGTGACACCGATAAGCAGCTGGAACTCATGGTAGGCGGTATGCAGCCAGAGGACGCTGATAAGGACGGAAAGGATAACGGCGCCCATGGGATCGATCCACCAGCGGAGTTTACTGCCGCCGACGGAGGTGAGGATACCGAAGCCGTTGATGAGGAGATCGTTGCGGTGGTCTTCCCAGAGGATTCTGATCTGGGAGACCTGGTTGCGGAGGGCCCAGCAATACAGGAAGAGGGCGAGTTTGGTGCAGAAGGCGACGACGACGGCGATGACGGAGGGGAGGAAGAAGGAGCCCGTTGCGGCGTCGGAGCCCTCCACCAGCTCGCGGATGGAGAAGGCGATGAGGATGAAGGAGACGGCCGTCATGAGGAAGCAGAAGCAGATGTTGCCAGCTGTTTCGATGCGGGCTTTGCCTGCTGGGAACTTGCGGGGGTCGACGCGGTTGACGGCCTTGTTGCAGAGGAGGAGGGTGAGGTTGGAGCAGGGGTCGAAGATGGCGTCGGCCATGGTGGTGAAGAGGGAGAGGGAGCCGGACGAGATGGCGCCGTAGAGCTGGAGGACGGAGAGGACGACGTTGGCGGCGAAGGAGCCGTAGACGGCGATGCGGTAGCGGAGGGCGTTGTTGCTGTTGAGTTCGCGCGCGGCGCGGACGTGCTCCTCGACGGGTTTGAGCATGCGCTCGATGTTCTCGTTTTGCGTCTTGTAGAAGCCTTGCAGTTGGCGCGAGGCGAGCGTGTCGGAGATGGCATTGCGGCTCCGGAGTTTGATTCCTACGGCTGCGGTGGTGGTGGACGCAGAGGAGGCATCGCGCTTGCGCGAGGTGTTGGCTACTGGTTGGATCTGGCGGATCTCCTCGGCGGTTTTCAGCTTCGAGGCGAGCTGGAAGGGATCGTTTTCCGGCGTGTACCGGGGCGGCGGCTGGCCTTCTTCATCGCTACTTGGGTTCGTGCGGTGCTGGGAGATATGCGGTGATGTTTGGTCAGAGGGATCGAGTGCTGTGCTGGTGGCTGCGTTCAAGGACAAGGCTGATGAGGCTCGGTCTCGGGGATGTGCGAGTGTAGGGTGTGTGGATTGAAGGGTGAAGGGTGGTGAGATGCGCTGTGTCGAAAGTGGCTGTCCTCCATGGTAAAGCAGTTGATTATACGGAGTAAATCAATTTATGATGGATGGCGAGAAGACGGGGGGAAAATGCATGGGTTTTGATCATTGAGGGCAGGAAAAGTGAGAGGTTATCCGGGTTTCCCCAATACGGAAAGATCCCGCCTTGGCAGTGGCTGAGCCTATCTTATCTGATCAACGGATGTGTAAGGAATGACCAACACTACTTATGCATTATGCCTATTTCCCTAGTGCCGCAGACTTATGCAGACAGGCAATTCTATTTCTATCACTAGTTACACACATTGCACCCTCCAGATGGTACCTCGGTTTCTTCACTCCTAAGCAATATACTGCAGCAGACTCTTCAGAACAGAAGCAACGTAGCTAAGCTGCTCCTCAGTAGTGCCGCTGGTGGGGAAAGACGCGGACGAACTAGCGTCACTACCGGTGCCAGCGGCCGCGGTGGCAGTCGGTCTCACGCTGGTGACCATGGTGGTAGGCGTGGAGACAACGTTGTTTCCGGTGCTGGGAGTGGTGACAGCAACGCTGGGAGTAGTGGTTGCAGCCGAAGAGCCAGAGCTGGAGCCAGAGCCAGAGCTGGAAGAGCCGGAGCCGCCAACAGTGAAGTCAATGCAGGACTCGTAGGTCTGGTCGATCGACTCGGCAAACCAGTACCACTGGATGACACAAGCACCTGCCTCGGAGCACTTGCTGCCAAGGTTGTCGGGGATGGTGATGCTGAAGTTGGTCTCGTCCTGGGAGACACCGGTGGCGGTCGAGGCATAGTCGGTCCAGGACTTGAGAGTATTGCCAATCACAGTGTTGGTGGCGGTATCGACGACGGAGACGTTGGCCACACCGGTGTGAGGGGCACGGATGTCGACCACGAAGTCGACGGTCTGGCCGGCGGTGTACGAGTAGACGTTGTCCTTGTTGTCGTCGAACTTGTAACCCTTGCAGAGCCAGATGTCACACTCCCCGGCGCTGTAGTCGCTCTGGCTCTTGGCGACCTGAAGCTCACCCTGGATGTTGCCGTAGTTGTCGGACTGCTGGTTGACCTCCACCTGGTTACCGCAGGCAGCCTTCATGGCCGGACCGGGCATACGAGGCTTGGGGGAGGTAACAAAACCGTGACCGTGGACCATGGAGACCAGGCCGGCAAGGGCAACAAGAGTTCCGGTTTGCTTCATTGTGTCGGTTGTGAGGTGGTTGAGAATCGAAATGTGGAAAGTATGAGGTTCAGAAAATGGAACAGGTATACCAGTATACCGAACGTGGATCGATCAAGGAGAGACTTGGACTGAAGCGAAAGGAAGAGAAAGAATGAAATGGTCACAGACCTAACAATCTCAGAAGAAAGAATGTGGATTGAAGCAAGCCTGCGTGCTGAGAGAAGGAGAAGAGAGGAGCAGAGAGCAAGGCAGCCCCGTCCAACTCTATATACAACGACCGACACGACCAGTCCAGGAGTGACGTCCACTCTGAGACACGGCTCTAGACTCAAACAGGGATTCAGGGACAGACTTCATCCCGAAATTTCACCAGTTGCGCCAGCTTACTCCACCGGAAAAGAGCTTTTTGTGATCTGTCTCGGTTTAGGAACCGGACATAGCTCAGGGTTGGCACTAGCTTAGCCGTTAGCTGTCTCCTGAGCTGCTACAAACGAGTCAGAGGGCATCGGAACGCAACCGACCGACTCACTGGGCATGGAAAACGTCTAAACAGGCCGGAGCGCCGAAGTGGTTTTGGATAAATTGGCATGAAACAAATGGAGACGGCGGTGGATTTGCTTAGGAGCAGCTCCGGCATGCTTGGCGCTCTGCGAGTTTCATCTTCATTAACCACCACAGCCCATGACAGACAAACCTCATATCGTGCGACGCCTAGCCTTCAATGGCGAATCGGCCTGCTTCCCTGGGTAAGATATCGAGCCAGAGTTTGTCCTGCTGTAATATCCGCGGGAGGTTCACGAGTCGTAGCGTCGTAAACATCAATCTATATGTTTGACGCCTTTCACATGCGCTCATAACCGACGACCCACTGGATAACTATGTAAACGTCAAAAACAGGCATCAGGTCCGTACAGTAGTCTCCACAACTCATAATGATTTTATGTTCAAATTCCTCAATCCTTGATCAATCAATCCACGAATTATATCACACGCAAAAGGGGGTGTAATGCCACAAGTAATCGAAACGCAGGGGGGAATATCCAATGCTCATGATCCGCAAAAGTGGTATCGCATCAATTACATCCATCATAATGAAAGCGGCTAGATTGAACCGAAAAGCAAAGCGGTTCAAGAACGCCCAATCGTCTGAAATTGTCCATATTTGAAACAAGTCAACCGGAAATGGCCGACCTCCAGTAAATCACCACGATCTCAAAGCGGGTGCTGCGTAGGACGTTGGTATGATCCTGCCTGTTGTTGGTTCTCTGTGGCACCTAGACTGTTGTTGTTGGTTGTGCTGTAGTCGTCCGCAAATGGATTCTGTACCTGAAAGTCCTCCGATCGGTACTCGTACCGAGCCGCATTATTACTCGCCGGAGCTGCTGTCGGAGGCGCCGCTGACAAATGAGCCACGGTTGCAGTGCTCTGCTGCTGCTGCTGCTGCTGCGGTGGTGGTGAGAAGACCGAGGGCGAGGCGCTTTGCTCTTCTCGCTGCGGCACTGGGAGAGCAGGGAGTGGACGATTGGCCCCAGTCTCAGGGGCTCCATTCGACGGAACGGGTGACTGGCTCGCCGAGTTGCCAGTTGCTTTGCGGGCGCTGAGGAACGCATGCTGGTACTTGGACAACGCGACCGACAGCTCGTCATTTGTCTCGATTAAGGTCTGAAGCGTGTTTTCGTCGGGTGCGGGATTCGTCGAATGTATATAGTTCTGAATGGCGCGGGATGCCGTCTGGCAACGGGTACAGAATTCCTTGATGAGCTCGTTTCCGTTGAACTCTGCAGGGGGCGTCGATTGAACGAACTGCAGGAGTAACTTGGCCGACGTTTTGGCTTCCGTCACGCGAGCAGCGAGTTCATCTGGCGGCGGTAATGTCGAGGCAGGCCGGGCAGAGTTCTGCATGTATGCGTATGCCTGCTGCTGCTGTTGCTGGTGCTGCGACCGTGAGGATCTCCAGGTGCTCTGCCCAAACCGCGAACCGTTAGCAATGCATTCCATTACTTCACCATGACTTGACAAGCGTACCCCACTGTTCTGTCTGCTCAGCTTACTCTTCTCCTTCCTCCACATTTGCATCAGCGGCGCTAGATCCTCGTCCCACTGTCGCTGCGATTCGATGGCACCCAGCGTTTCCCGCAGGAAGTGTTGCACATTGAGGTCCCACCCATCACGCAGGAGATCCTTTATCGTAGCGACGAACTTGGCATCGATGTTGCGCGTAAACGTGTGGCCCGGATTGTCGATGAGTATGCGCATTAGCATAATCGCATTGTATTGGATCTGGGCTGGAGTCGAGGCCGGATCGGACAGGTATTTGCGAAGCCGCTGCGCAGCCTCTCTGGCAGCATTGGGGCTGGACTCTGCGTTTTCAACTATGGCGGGCAGGTGAACGAATTCATTTCCTTGCTATGCGACCAGGATATTAGCATTGTTATGCAACGACGGCGCAGTTGGTGAGCCAAATGAGTCAACGTACTCGGTTGTCTTGCTGTCCCCCGCTCTCGCAGAAGTCTTTCTGTAAACCTCAGTGGTCGCATTAGTGACTATCCGATATTTTGACGTCCCTTGAACGGTATTTCCGAAGGTCGCACATACCACTGCTTTCAGAATCGTTCCCTCGGGCGAGTCATCCGGGTACTCGGAAGGGCTGTTGAGCGATGGGCCTATTTCTAATGAGCGTCCCGGGGGTAAACAAGGGTCCATAGAAGGGGGCGGATGGAGACTCACTCGAGCGCCTGCTGAGAGAACCAAATATGCGCTTCATTATATAGAACACGTGGAACCGAGATATACAACAAGAACTCCTCGCAGAATATAGTGGTAAGACAAGAGGAGAGGGAAAATAGACAGACCGGCTAGATAAACACCAGCGCACCTGACAACCGCAACTAGGTACAAGTAGCTTAAGTACGGAGAAGTTTAGGCAGTACCTCTGCACGGAAGGCTGACACACAAAATCCCCGCTGTGCCTGGAGCATAATCTGAACCATAACCATAATTATAACCACGAGCCACAAACCATAGTCTGAATTATATGGTCGTATAGGCCCGTGGCAGTGGCAATATGCGTCGAGGACACGCAAGCCAGCTTTCTGTTATCTGGACGATGAGTATTCAATATCAGTCATCGGTCCATCGGTCGCAAGGGAGTTATTCTTCCACACTGTCGTCTGAGCAGGTGATGCAAGCGAGTACACTAGATACGTATGCATATCGAAATTAAGAGTCTTACTCCATCAGCACGCGACAATTTATTTGTTGAACCACTTTAAGCTGCGCATCGAATGCTGTGGTCTGGTTGGAAAAGACAAGCAGAGCAGCACCGCCACGCTTGGCTTCTCAAGGCATCAACGATATGTTGCAGAAGCTGACGAATGTCGCCTTCCTTTGGTCAAGCACTATGGCTGGTGATCCGTTTTGAGTTCACTTTTATGTTTAACCTTTGGACTACAAGAGATAAGCGAAAGTTTCGTGTTGTTACAGTGTAGAGTCTAATGGTCTGGATCCGAGTAGTCTCGAAACATCAAGGAAAGATTTGGTAGGTATCAAGGAAAAGATGAATCCGTATCCCGGTCATGAAATAACGCTCGACATTATCTCGAAATATATGAGAAGAGTCCGGGCTGGTTGTACCAAGACAAGAAACCGATCATCAACCGATTGCCAGATGAGAACCTCAGTCACTCAATCCCAGCCTCGAAACGGTCGGACGAAGAAAGAACCCAAAAGGAATCAGACCTGTCAAAGGTCAATGCTGATGGACCCTCCACGAGATGCCCCTAGCCTATATCTTTTGTCTCATGCTCATCGCCCGTTTGGTTTCGAATTTTTTCGTTTTATTCAGAAGATAGAATAATGGAAATTCTTTTGCATTCCTTTCCGTGACCAGGTATTTGTTCCGTACAACAGCAAACTCCGGCTTCCCATTCATTTTCGACTACCCTAACCCCCGACATCTACAGCCCGCTTATGCCTCAATGAGGGCACGGCGGATCTGAGTACCACGCTGGCGGGAGCTGAGGTGGACACCCTCCTTCTTGACGACCTGGGAAGCCTTCTGGACGGTCTCCTCACCCTCGGTAAGGATGAGCTCGATGTGGCAGGGGTTGGTCATGTAGGGGTTGATCTAGATGCCGAATTAGTCTTTAGTTGATTCCCAGCGGTGAAACGTAGGTCAACGTACACGACCGTGAGCACGGTAGGTGCGTCTCCGGCCCTTGGGAGCCTGGTTGACCTGGATGTGCTTAACAATGAGGTTGCCGGTGTCGAGACCCTTGGTGTCGGCGTTGGCCTCAGCGTTCTTCAGAAGGTCGAGGAGGAACTGAGCGGACTTGACGGGCCAGCGAGCCTTGCTGACACCCCACTGCTTGCCTGTAATATAGTCAGCATTTGAATTCAATATGTTCCCCCAATGGTCATCAATCCGTGTTCCATGTACAAAGCATTCTCGCCACCTCTTTGCAAAAACCACAAGACTGTCCCATAAACCACCACCGATATCTCGAATTCAAGGGATAAGAAAAATTGTCGACACTCACCCTGAGCGGTGCGACCAATGCTGCCAGCGTACCGCCGGAAGGGAACGACCTCGGTCTTGGTCTTGACGTTCTCGAGGAAGGTAAGGGCGCGCTGCAGCTTCATGCCGTTGATGGCCTGGGCGGTCTCACGGGTGTTCTTGAAGCTGACACGCAGGTAAGAGCCCCGGGCGCGGGCGCTCTTTGCGGCCGGAATGTCCTGAGCAGCGTAACGGACCTGATGCAAACAAAGACCCAACATCAGCAAAAACCATGTCCTATTCCCAATTTCTTCACGATGCATAAGACGGAGCGGAAACGATGGCGTCGGTATGATTCAAATTGTCGAAATTTCTTCTTTCGTGAACAGGCCACAGCCAGAAACGACACAGATAGAAGTCGAACATCGCCGGTGCGGGAAACGTCCTCAGAGCGTATTTCCTCAAACTCTTGCCGTCGGCTTTTTCTTTCCTTTTTCGATCCGTTCCTTCGCCATCGTTTCCGTCGTCTTGAATAATGTCAAAAACACTCACCATCTTGATGCGGTTGCCGAGCGGGGTGGTCCTCGATGTCGGATGAGAAGTTTTGTCGCTTTGCTTTGGTCGGCCGCTGGAATCTTGAGATCGCGAAGCTCGCTCGTTGTGGTGCGCTTTTCGCTCTTGGCGCCCGCACGCCCTAAGCGAGCCCTAACACTAGACCGTGTCGGGTAGCCAGCCTGCTCACCGCCCGGCAGATCAGAACATCAAAGTTACTCCTAAGCTCTCTTATCTCACTCATTGCTCATTATTACTATGGTTGTTGGTAGGGAAATGGTCGTCTATGAAATGTGCATTGCTCTATTTAGAAGAAAATAAGGTCTATTGAATCATCAGTTACTTTCCGTCCTGCCCATTGAAGATATCCTTCTGCTCCGGCACCAATGTGATCATCTCGCCCTTCTCCACCGCCGAGCGCAAGTTGTTCAAGACCAACAGCTCCATTTCCTTCTGAGTCTCATAGGTCGCGGTTCCAATATGCGGTAACAGCATCACGCGGGTGTTATTTACAAGTCCAGGTTCGATCTCGGGCTCGTTCTCATATACGTCCAAACCAGCCGACATGACCTATCGCATTACGTTACTACCATAGCTGAGGAAAGTAGGATAGGATGGAGCTTACCTTGCCCGAATCCAAAGCGGCGACCAGAGCCTTTTCGTCAATCAAAGCACCACGAGCCGTGTTCACAATGACCACACCGTCTTTCATTTTCTGGAACTCCTTCTCACCAATGATATGGCGAGTTTTGGCATTGAGGGCGAGGTTCAAGCTGAGGACATCCGCGTTCGCCAACAACTCATCAAACGAGACATACTGCGCATCCCCCTCAAGCTCTGGCGAGAGTCTCGATCTGTTGTGGTATTGTATCTTCATTCCGAAAGCTCGTGCGCGATTGGCCATTTCCTATTGCGACGAAATCAGCTGCCGGATCCTGTGATTGGAAAGTACAGGGCTTACCCTTCCGATTCCTCCCATCCCGAGAATACCAAGCACCTTGCCCCGAGGGTCATGCCCGAGCGTAGTCTTTCCCTGCCATTGGCCTATGGACATTGTCAATTGTTTTTTCGGGTTTTGTAGAATTGAACGGCGAATTACTAACCAGCGCGGAGAGCAGATAAGGGCACATAAGCCTGGCGCAAAGCGCCAATCATCAGGAAGATGCCTACGTCGGCAGTTGCGTGGTTCACGGCGACTGGGGTACTGGAGACAGCAATTCCTGTAGTTTATCAGCTTTTCTGATTCTGCATCAAAGAGTCATAGATGATCGCACCCTTCTCTGAACAGGCCGGGATGTCAATGTTGTCGTAGCCAGCTCCATTGTGGCAGATATACTTTAATGACTTGGGAAGGACGGAGAGCAACTCGGCGTCGAATGGACCGGTGAACTGAACCCAATCAGTAACTAGACCTTTATCGCCGTTCCACTGCCACGCTTACCTTGGTAGACGCATTGGATCGGTAAATCACTACCACATCATCGTACTGGCCGTCTTTGCAGTTCCGGATGAACTCGTCTCTGGTGCCTTCGGGGAATTCCTTCAAACGCTACATTAGAGTCGACACTCCACCAGACCACAATCGCGAACTCACCTTTAGCATCAGAATGGACGAGAGATCCTCCCATTCCTTTCTGGCGTGGGTGATGGCGCCGATGAGTAGAGCTGAAGGCATGATGTCAGAGTTGGAGAGCGGGGTGAAAGCTCTTATCGCGGTGTAAGAAGAATCCGATGTTCAAGAACAACGCAGAGGGGGACGGAGCAGTTGGGATGAGAAGGGAAGAAGAATAGGAGATATCAAGGAGCTAATTGAAAGGATTCACCTGACCAGTATCTGGACCTCTGATTATGTTTGTTTGATATTGTTTCTCAACTGCATCTTGGTTATCATTTCCCGGAAATTCCTCCATATTGCGTGGGGTTACCAGGAATTACAGTGCGGTATTACAGGAAGATACTCCAATACATCAATACAAACTTACGATACACCAAGACTCCGATGTTATTTGTGCCAGATGCAGAAGAAGTGAGGAATAATTATGCTAACATTCAGGTAGACCGATATAGACTGAGGTAGCTATCCATAAGTCACTGAATGCAGAAGAACTGTCTTTAAATTCAGGATACTTCCGACTGTGTTGTTCTTAAGTACAACATATTATGTTGGTAATCTTCACAGTCGGCTATTGAAAAGCGGTTCAATTCCCGCTGCGGAGCAAATCCGGTATGACCCCACGTTCTTCAATGGCCGACGAGGGGAAGAGAAGATGAAGGAATGACGGATGATGCTTCGGAATCACCCATAATAATTCTTCGGCCATGAGAGCAATGAGAATAAAAGCTTTTCTCTTCCAAGGTACCCCTTGATCTTCTCGACAAGGACATTTCAACAAGCATCATGGCCACCACAACAGCACTCGTCCTCCACGGAGCCAAAGATCTCCGCCTGGTACGTAACAACTTTTTCGCCCTCATACAAACAGCTCGAACTTAACAAAGCATCAGGAATCACGACCAATCTCCCCTCCCACCGGCTCCGAAGTCCAGGTCGCCATCCGCGCAACCGGTCTCTGCGGCTCAGACCTTCACTACTACAACCACGGCCGCAATGGTGATTTCGTCGTACGCGAGCCCATGTGCCTGGGCCACGAATCCTCCGGCACCGTCACAGCCGTCGGACCAGACGTGACAACCCTGCAGGTCGGCGACCGCGTCGCCCTCGAAGTCGGCCTCCCCTGCCGCACCTGCACCCTCTGCCGCACCGGCCGCTACAACATCTGCCCGGACATGAAGTTCCGCAGCAGCGCCAAGCTCTTCCCCCATCTCGACGGCACCCTCATGGAACTCACCAACCACCCGGCCGACCTCTGCCACAAGCTTCCTGAGAGCGTCTCCTACGCCGGCGGCGCCCTCGTTGAGCCCCTCGCCGTCTGCCTGCACGCCATCCGCCGCTCGCACCCGCCCAGTCCCGCCGAAGTGGAACTGGCCACCGCACAAGGCGACCCGACCGCCGCGCTGATCTTCGGCGCAGGAGCCATCGGCCTCCTCCTCGCCGCGGCACTAGCCACCTCCCAGCCCTTCACCTCCATCGTCGTGGCGGACATCGACCCCGCGCGTCTCGAGATCGCAAACTCCCTCAACCTAGGCCTGAAGACCCATCTCCTCCCCAAGGGTGGCGATGCCGCCAACCCGCCTCCTGCGCCGGACGCCCCGGCCGCAGAGCACACCGCGTACGCCATGCAGAATGCCCAGCGGACAGCGGCGGCGCTGAAAGAAGCGAATGGGGTTGCGTCTGGGTTTGTGCGCGTGTACGAGTGTACGGGCGTGCCGGCGTGTGTGCAGGCGGGGATCTACGCTGCGGGCCCCGGCGCCGTTCTCGTGCAGATCGGGATGGGGAATCCGATCCAAACGCTGCCGGTGAGCGCGGCGGCGCTCCGGGAGGTGGATATCGTTGGCACGTTCCGGTACGATGGCCATGCGTACCCGGCTGCGATTGAGTTGATGGCTAGTGGGAAGCTTGACCATGTCGAGAAGCAGGTTGTTACCCATCGGGTTAAACTTGAGGATGGGAGTCGGGCGTTTGCTCTGGCGGGGAAGGGAGTGGATGAGACGGGCAGGCCGGTGGTCAAGGTTGTCATTGAAAGCTAGATTTCATTTCTTATTTTTTTTTTTGTGTTCGTCTGGCAACGTATACCCTGTTTGTGTAAATGATGGCTCGATATTGGTGGCACGAGAGAGCAAGCGTACCCTTACGCGCTACACATGTGGTTAACACCACCTTTGCATAAGTTTTAAAACGACATGTACTAGCCTGATATATTTAAAAGTATTCACAAGTGCATCTACTTTAAACCACCCGCCAGCAGCAAACTCTGGCCAGTCATGTAGCCCGTCGTTACAAGCATGCTCACAACATTAGCCACTTCGTCAGGGGTACCCAGTCGACCAAGTGGTATTCCCGCTGCAACGTCAGGGATGGCCTGCGCGCTGGGAATCATGCCAGTGTCGCCGATCATGGCCGGCGCCACATCATTGACGCTGATATTATATTCAGCCAGACGAGTCGCGAGATTCTTCATCATGCCGGTCATACCGCCTTTCGAAGCAGCATAATCTATTGATAAGGGGTTAGATATCGAGGTTCTTGTCAAGGACGGATGGTTTGGACACTGGCACTTACGACATCCGTTGATCCCACCGCCGTACCCAGCAATCGACGACATAAAGACGATCCGACCCCATCGCTGCTCCCTCATATGGTCGACAACCCCTTTCACGAGGATAAAGGAGGCCCGCAGATTCACGTTGATGGTATAGTCAAACTCTTCCAGGGAGATATCCCAGACCTGTGGGATGCGTTTGCCGTAGCCTGCGTTGGAGACAAGAATGTCCGGTCGCTGTCCGTGCTCCTTGTCAATCTGCTCGAACATGGACTGGATCTGCTCTGCAGATGCAACGTCAACCTGATGGATCGAGATGCGAAGTGCATTGGCGCCATCTGCTGTCGGTTGACTGGATCTAAGCTCTTTTGCAAGCGCATTCGTTGCGTCGAGGTTGGTAGAGTACGTCAAGGCGAGATGGACTCCCTTCTGGGCCAGTTGACGAGCACATGCTGCTCCAATTCTAGCGAAAGCGTCAGCACCAGAACAGCTACAAGTGTAAATAGGAAGATGCTCACCCTCCAGATGCCCCTGTGATGAGAGCCAATCGGCCACGTACCTCATTCAACTGCGCCATTGGTAAATAGTATTACAGTGACAGTATGATCTGCACCGTTGAGAACGAGAGCCAGACTATAAAACAACCTTCTGATACTCGGGGAGAAGATGATGATCAATGCATCACCCATCGGGTATCGGCTTGACAGCTGTTTGCTCCCTCGGAGCAAACGCCGAGGGAGCGCGTATCGTTTGCCCCGCAGCCCCGCATCAACAGTGTGGGGGTAGCAATGTCTCGGAGGTTGAGCTGAAAATCACACGGAAAAGGATTTGAAGTAGGCAACCCACGCCAGAAAACCTTAAGACTAGCGTCTGCTGACTCTTAAAGTCTGGACCGGTACGAAGTATGTGAAGCAATGAGTAACACTCCCGAAGCATGCTTTTAAAACAAAAGGTTGCCCGCCATGTCACCGACCCAGGCTGACATCTGCCACGGCTGAGAACGGTCCGGTCCTGATTGATACAAATCAGGCTCCTGTTGAAATGCATCAAACGCTAGAGTACCCGTTCCTGGCATTTGGTCTCCAGACACAAAGTCTCCGACTGCTTCAAGATCCAGCCATGAAAAGTCATTGGCAGGACTGAAATGCACATGATGACTGTGCTCCGGCAGGCGATTGAGGGTATTCTGCATCAAGAGATCGCTGCTTCGGTGGGTTGTCGTAGGGGAGAGAGCAGGCGCAGGTTTAGACTGCCACAAGAGCTCCAGAAGCCGTGCATATCGAGCGCCAATATCATCTGGCCCGGCACTTGCTCGCTTCAGGACTTCGGTGGTGCGAGTGACCAGTTCTCGCACCTTCATCTCCTCCGAGTTCAGCATGACACCGAACGAACGTGCCTGCTAAGGGTCAGTTCATACTCGAATCATTTTAAACACGACCGTCCCACCTTATATAAGAAGACCGCTGCATAGATTCCATACAGGTAAAACCTCAGAGGCATAAAATGCAAGTGCTTTTCCGGATGCACTTCGTCAACAAGGATAGTCAGGTACGCCTTCGCAGCATCGACAGACTCGTAGATGAAGCGCGCATCCTGCATTGATGCCACATTGTTGAAAGTCGTGCGCAAATGCTCCCTTTGCGACTGATTGTTGTTTGTATGCTTAGAGACGAGTGACTGGGAGATGGCAGCTTGAAATGCAAATGCATTCGTATAGAGCCTCAGATACTCGTACGACAACTGCAACGTGGCTCGCATCGGTGTGGAACCTGCAAATGCGTAAGTGACTGACAACGCAAGCATATAGGGTCAAAAAGGCCATACAAGGAAGCGAGCCCCAGCGGGACTTCCAACGGAGAATAGCAAGGCGGAAATCGTCCACGTATTTCACGTAGTCGCCCATGAGCATCATTTGATTGCTGGTCCGCATTCCGGAGTAGAGGACATCGTGAACGTTGTTATAGAGTTGTGTAAGATCCAGTGTCGCTTGGAAGATCTTTGCATAATCTTCTTCATCGCTCTTGACAGGTTGTAGAGACGGGAAATCCTGGCTGACAAGTCCCGTCATTGGTCCTGGACCTCGTGACCAGAAAGCACGCCCGATACGGACGGAAATCAGCCGGTCGGAGATGTAGCAGCAGGTCCACGCCAGTCGTCTGCGGGCTTCTGTTTCCGTATCTCCCGATGTATCACCCCGAAAAGACGTGCGGTCCAACCCGAGGAAATAGCCCGATCGCAAAGCAAGCCCGACATGCATCCAGGCGGCTCGGTCCTCCTCGCCACGCCCAACTCGCTCGATCCGCGGCCGAAGACCCTGAGGTTCCCACTCGGCAAGAAGCAGTAGTGCCTCAACAGCCTCCACGTCGCAATCGGCACCAGCTGCAATGCCGGAGATGAGCTCGTGCATGTACTTGGAGCAACATTCGTGGATCTCCGGCCGTTCAACCAGGTCTTTGGAGGCGATGGTCAGCACCGCGGTCAACAAGTGTTTCTCGTTAGTGGCAAAAGCGTCGAGTGCGTTGCGATCAAAGTATTTTCGCGGCACCAGCGGAAGATAGGGATGAAAATTCTCGGCGTAACGAGCCACAAGCTGCCATACTGTTCCTGGGTCCAGAGACCTCGTCTGTACCAGCCTGTAGGCTCTGATGCCACTGGTCGGATGAAACTCCGTAGCTGCGCCGTTCTGAAATGTCGAGAATGATGAGAAACCGTTCGGACCGTGGCGCGCAGATTCGGTGTGGGTTTCCGAACTCAAGTCATCGGCGCTTCTTTTTGCTATGCCTGTCAGGCATTGCCAGGCATCCGACGGATTTCGCGGTACAGAACCGATGGAAGCCGAATCTTCGTCATCCTCTGAAATGGCAACTGCCGCAGGAGGGTTCGGCTCCACAAAGACAACCGGGTTGGAGTATGAAGTAGATGCATTCGGACGGCTGTCTGTGGTGGACGGGCTGGTTGTGTCCATCAGTGGTTCTATTCTGGTGGACAAGTCAGTGCCGGGTGTGAAATTTTTCATCTTGTTTTTTCGAATACGGCGGCCCCCTCGGTTTGAACCTCCAAGGACACATTCGCGGTTGTCTCGAATACACCGCTGACATGGTGGTACCCCGGGACTGCCACTGCTGTCCCTGTTCACTTGTTAGCGCAGTGCACCAGAATACGTGAAACAGACGAAAGACCCCTGTTCGATGTGGCATGCGGATGCTGGAAACATACAGATCACACTTGGATTTACGTTGTCGGCAGTGCAAACAGGCTCTTGATACGCGCTTCGCTGAAGAGTCGGAGCGAGATTTACGCCTCAACCCTGAGGTGTCTGCCAGCTGAGGAGACTGTTCGTCCTGTTCCATTGCTGCAAAGTCCACAGATTCAGCTCAGAATGTGAAAATTTGGTAGCAGTAAGCACATGAGCCTCATTTTTCTGATCATTGACGTGGTGCTGGCGAGGCTTGGCATTCGAACGCGTCCATTAGTGAGATAGATGTGGTTCAATGGACTGGTTCCAGATGAGGAAAGGGACGTCGCCTTTGGGCCCTGAATTTGATGTACCTTCAAACCGTCGACAGAAACCAATACAGGTTGGATGAAAATGCAGCACAGGTTGATGTTTCCAGGACGCAGGTCAACGGCCCATATTATCCTGGAAGGTCTGGCCGTCAAGGCACGAGCGCCTTGACCCACAATATGGGATTTAGACTTCAATAACTTTGATGGGAGCAACAGGAGCAGATTCCCTGCGTCCTTTGAGCCTTGTTCACGAATGATCTGGATGTATTTGAAGGGCGAAATGAAATCTGGGGAAGATGATTCGTGGTCCCTATACGGTCCAGGTTGGAGCGGCAACTTCAATACCAAGGTTGTGAACCTAAGTTTGGGGGTCCTTGTATGAAAGGGTAATACGAGATCCGGGTACCTACCTTTAAGGACCGTCTCCGACTCCATGACCTTCTGGCAAAGACATCCATGATATAGCATTCTGGGGATTGTCATACATCACCGAACAGACTCGTGAAGGCATCAGAGTCTTATGTCTATAGTGGCCCTGGTAGATATCTACCTAGGAGTCGTTCACTGAGAATTTGTTGCGGAGATTACGTGCGTCGTCCCTTCTCCACGGTTGAGGCTCAGTATTCGCCAAAGGATATCGTGGTATCCAATGTTCTTTTCTACTGATCCCTCCCAGACGCTCACATAAGTTAGATAAGTTAGACACGTAGAGACCTCCTCAATCTTGAGTCCCATCGAAGGCGTGGAAAGTGACTTGGTTACATTGTTCAATGGCGATTATACCCCGGATTCAGGTATTGTCAGCGTACAGTAACAATACAAGCCACGTGCTCCGTATCTAGCTGTTCAGGGCAGGTTCAATAGCCGACGGAGGACCGGCAGCGACTGACGGCAACGGCTGTATCCCTTTCGGGCAACAGGTGGGATGGCCCCCGCATGTGGGGGACAGGAATGAGCAACGCAGTTACACAGCAGGCTGATATTTATGGTCATGGAGCGTCATTAGGTTGCGATGGTGAAGTCTCATAAAGAATCTTTCCGAAATAAGCGGCTGCTGTCGTTTGACCATATTCCTCACGACCTTCGTCCAACCAGTCCTCATAGGTGCATTGACAACAAAGAATATATCGTCGCATCGATTCTACAGCATCTCCTCATCAACATAGATTTGCAAAAAAAACTGGAAACTTCAATCTACCCAATTCTCTTACATTAAACCAATACAATCGTCAGGATGTCAGCAACTGTTCCTTCATTATTTTCTTTGAGCGGAAAGACCGCCATTGTGACGGGCGGCACGAGGGGTATCGGTCAGGCTATGGCTATTGCCCTTGCTGAAGCTGGTGCGGATATTGTACTGATCCAGGTACGAGGACTAGACTTAACTTTGCTTTTAGCTCGGCCAAGGCTGCACTACATGTGGCAGGGAGTACTGATCGGTATCATGTAGAGAGACGAATCAAGCACACAAACCCGCGATGAAATTGTCAACCGAGTCGGTCGAAAAGCTTGGATTCATGTGGCAGAGTTGTCGAAACGAGAAGACGTCAAAAAAATCATTCCCACAGTCACAAGTCAAGGACTGAAGCCCCAGATTCTCCTCAACTGCGCTGGCATTCAAAGGAGACACCCTAGTGAGAAGTTCCCTGACGAGGATTGGGACGAGGTGTGTCAAGACCTTCCCCTGGTTTTTGATCCCTCAGAAGCTGATTGCGTCTACGAAATGCCTTAGGTTATTGAAGTAAACTTGACCTCTGTGTTTACACTATGCCGTGAATTTGGAGCCTACCTATTGGCTCGGGATGCGTCTGAATTTCCTTCCGGCCGCCGTGGTTCCATCATCAACGTCGCATCGCTTCTTTCCTTCCAGGGTGGCATCACCGTTCCGGCATATGCAGCCTCGAAGGGCGGCATTGCACAACTAACCAAGGCCCTGTCCAACGAGTGGGCCAGCAAGGGTATCAACGTGAACGCCATCGCCCCTGGGTACATTGACACGGACATGAACGTCGCCTTGATCAATGATGCCAATCGGAATGCTGGCATCATGGCCAGAATCCCAGCTGGCCGGTGGGGGAAGCCGGAAGATTTCAAGGGTGTTATTGTGTTCTTGGCGAGTCAAGCAAGCAACTATGTTTCAGGTGAAGTGGTCTGTGTTGACGGAGGTTGGATGGGCCGGTAAAGGGTGTCGCTAGCACATAGTACGTACTCTTCCTGAATGTCACTGTGTTAATAATAGATAACACATGGAAATACTCGGACTATCCTATCACTCCATAGTTAGCTCACTAAGAGCTCTGACTCGGGGAAGCTGGTCAGGTCACCTTTGCTCTAGCGTGTTATACCACACCCGGCCGGCTTTTGGCGATGGTCTTGAATAGATTTAGTGTCCCATAGCCGGTGTCTGGGCGCTTCGGAGAAGTTCCAAATGAAGATGCCTGGACTGGAGACTGTATCCATTGCAATTTAGCCGGGTCTGCGCCGTTGACTTGTCATATTGAAGCGGACCCCTTGTCTTGGAATCGAGACCGTCGACAAGAGACTGTCGAACTTGGCAACACTGCCCGTAGCTGGATTATCTGCATAGACACATGATCTCTAGTCTAATAGAAGGGGAAAGGGAATGACTCGAATGAGACATGCCATGAGGAATAGATTAAACTATTGCCTCTAGTGCGATACCCATGTCTCACGTGACTCCATCGGGAAAGACTCGGCTCTTTTGAGAGGTGCTTTCTTCTGGTAAGCAAGAGAAGTAGATATCTACTGCAGCCACTCGTGTTAAGTTGTTTCATCTCGAGGAGAAAAGAAGCTGAAGAGAATAGGCGAAGGGTTATCTTCCTGGTCCGAGCTCCTGTCAGCTTAGCTGTCCGAGAATATTACTGGTGGTGTCCCTACTCAGCCATTAGCCAACAGTCCAATATGAGCGGAGATTTCAATGTGGGCTCCGAGATATGAAACAGCTCTATGGCCACCCTATGACCAATCTGGTAATTATTATATGCTCTTGACTTGGCACATATCCACTCCATGTGGCCAATTCCAATTCAGCGAGTCTACTGGTGAATGACCAGTGCACAAGCTGTGAATTGCTGCTGAAGAGGGGCTGGGCGCGTCCAGCTCAGCGCCTCGCCTCCTACAGATTGATTGACTGATTGATCAATTGTATGGCCAGCGATGCGCTGTCGGTCGGCCATCCTCTGCAAGGGCGCTTCTTGTCCTCATCGTTATCGCCCATCAGCGACGTAAATCCCGGGTTTTCCGGATCAAAGGGAGCCCAAGTAACTCGGGAATCAGGGCAGACACGACGATTCGCCTGTTTCTCTCGAAAAATTGGCTTGGGTTGGATAGGAACTGCTTTCCCAAGACCACGCCATATTTGCCTTGATATGGGGCTCACCTATCCCTTTTAGTACTTGCGTTTCAGAATGACAGCTCTGGCTGCTTTCTTGCTTTGGTTTTCCTGACTTTTTTCTTCTTTTGCAGACTGCCTTGTGGATCTTCTTCTTGAGATCAGGGTAGCTTTTCCCCTCGAGTTCTTTTTTTTTTTTTTATCTTTCCCTCTTGTGTTTCCTGTTGAGTCAGGTCGTCTTCGTTTATTAGCATTCGATATTCACTGTTCCCGCTTCAGCTGGCTCTGATCGTCGCATCAGGAGGAGATCTGCAGTTCACTTCAACTCAATACCATTTCTATTCATTATCGAACCTCTTGGCAGGTTCTTTCTTCCCTCAGAGACACCCTTTTGGTTGAGACTTCTGTTGTCTCTTTTCGTTCCTTATTTGTCGATCACTACCTGTCTCAGACTCATCGCTTTGCATCTGCAAAACTGCAAAACAAGGGTCTGCAATCTGTTGTAGAATCGACGTCACCGATCGTTGAATATTTGATGACGCTGAGCGTCTTCTAAGCTCTGCTGAATACTACTGCGGACGATCATGCACTTGGGAGGTGAGTGTCACTGGAATCTCGAAGGCTGGCATGTCATCGATGTCTTTGACGGCATAGTCAGAGACCGTCATGTCTCTGATTCTGTGATGCTTGCCGCCTGTGAGACGTCGAGTTTAGATGTCATTGCTGGGGTGTTGACATTCTTTGGCTTTGTTAGGCACAATTGTCCTTGAGGATCTTCTTTGTCCGCTCTCCAGTTGAAACAATTGCTATTGTTCGAGCTGTGCCATTTTATCGCCAGAGCACAGTGCTTTACCCTGAGAAGAGCCAACCCAGGACGTCGTTCTTTTTAACCCCCCCAAGTATTCTTGTTCTTGTCGGTGCACTCGCTCGCTGGGTCTTTGTCGTTCGTCAGCTTCGATCGTCTAGATCATCATCATAGTCGGCCTGGTCTCCGCATTCCTATCGTTTCCCAGCCATCAGAAGCATTTACATCATTGGACCGCATTTTCACTGCGTAAAAGCTGCATTGCCTGCTCTCGGCTCTTCCTGGCTGAAGAGTCTTTTCACATCAACACTCTTTTTCTGTTTGACTTTATTTCAGCTCCTTGTCGCCGGACTACACGACCACCCTCGACTCCGGCTTATCCAGTCCTTCCCATGGATGACCTTCATCAACACATCACTCCCCGCGGTCATGGGATAAACACTACCTACGTTTACGAGTTCTCAAGAGGCCTTGGTGGGGTCAATGTTCCCAGAGATGTCATATTCACGCGCATCATCTACTGGTCTGTTATTATTGGAGCCCTGGTAGTCTTCTGCGGCCGGATTGCTCAGATCAGCCATGCCTATCTACGACATATTACCTCCTTGACGGCCAGTCAAAGACAGCAAACGTTCTGGAGTGTCGAAGACTCACGCTTGTGGGCAAATATCAAGAAGCACATTCTCTACGCACCTCTGGGTCACAAAAGGCACAACCGGGAAATCCAGCTGTCCTCGGCCCTCAATGTGGGTACCCTGCCTTCGAGGTTTCACTCGATCCTGATTCTGCTGTACGTGGCAAGTCAGGTGGCTTATTGCTGCTTTCTGGATTATGCTGTGAACGAGAAAGCGGCTCTCGTAGCCGAGCTTCGTGGCCGGTCGGGCACTCTGGCCGTCCTGAATATGGTGCCTCTGTTCCTCCTCGCGGGTCGCAACAATCCCCTGATCCCACTCTTGCACATCAGTTTCGATACGTACAACCTTTTGCATCGATGGCTGGGCCGTATCGTGGTTCTGGAGAGCGTGGCCCACACAGCGGCTTGGGCGGTCAATGCGTGCGATGAAGAAGACTTCTCTCGCATGCTGGTACGACTCACCGGTGACCCCTTCTTCACCTGGGGCCTGGTTGGAACCGTCGCGATGATCTTCCTGTGCCTCCATTCTCCCTCGCCGATCCGGCATGCTTTCTACGAGACTTTCCTGCATCTGCATCAGCTTGCCGCCTTCCTGGCCTTCCTCGGCGTCTATGTGCATCTGGACCTGGATAAGCTTCCCCAGATCCCCTGGGCCCAGGCCATTGGCGCTATCTGGCTGTTTGAACGATCAGCGCGGCTGTTCCGCTTGCTGTACCTCAACTTCTCACTCAAAAAGGGCACGACGAAACTGGTCGTCGAAGCGCTGCCCGGGGAGGCCTGCAAGGTGACCTTCCACCTGCCGAAGCATGTCCGCATCAACCCCGGCGGTCACGTCTTCGCCTACATCCCGAGCGTCTCCCTGTGGATGTCGCACCCCTTCTCAATCGCTTGGGTCGAACCGAACAGTTGCGTGACTCCTTCAGCCGCGCCCGACAACGTCATGAGCCCCATGACCCCGTCGCTCCTGGAAAAGCAGAACCCCCTGGACCTCGACGACTACATGAGGGGCACTCAACCCACCTCCGTCTCCCTCATCGTCGGCGCCCGCCAAGGCATGACCCGCAAGCTCTACAACAAAGCCCTCGCCGCCCCGCGGCAAACCCTCTACACCACAGGCTACATCGAAGGCCCTTACTCCTCCCACGCCTCCAACATGGGCAGCTACGGCACCGCCGTCCTCTTCTCCGCCGGCGCCGGCATCACACACCACATGCTCTTCGTGCGCGACCTCATCATCCGCGCCTCCGAGGGCCGCGTCGCAACCCAGCAGATCTACCTCATCTGGTCCGTCCGCAACACCGAACACCTCACCTGGGTCCGCGACTGGATGGACCAGATCCTCCGCCTCCCCGGCCGCCGCGAGATCCTCACCGTCAAACTCTTCGTCTCCAAACCCAAGAGCAGCCGGGAGATCGTCTCCCCCAGCGCCACGGTCCAGATGTTCCCGGGCCGCTGCCGCCCCGACGTCGTCTTGAACGAAGTCATCCCCAAACGCGTCGGCGCGACCATCGTCTCCGTGTGTGGGCCGGGCGCCTTTGCAGATGAAGTCCGCGCCGCGGCGCGGAATAACATCGGGAAGGGCGCGGTGGTCGATTTTGTCGAGGAGGCGTTCACATGGTAGATGTCCAGCTCCAGCTTCCAGCTTCCAGCTGCATGTTTTTTGAAGGCGTTGACGCGTAGATGTTCGATGCTCTCCTTGTATGGACTGTCAATTCGTTTCTTTTCTTCCATTTCTTTTCTCACTGTCCAAAGATCTCCTTTACCTTTTTTTACCTATCTATGTACATTAATTTCAGCTTCCTTGTGATTATTCTCTCATTTACTTTGTCCCGGGTTTGATACAAGCTTGTCTGGCGGTATCTTTGCGACCTGGAGCCATCTGATACGCAGTCAGCTTGTTTGTTTGCCTTGAAACAGAGACTCTTGAGGACATACCTACCTATCGATCTACATACGCCAATTTCAGAGCATACTTCAAAAATTTTTCTTATAAATTAGATGATTTGACTTTCTATCTATATACTGTGAGACAGTTATAAGTGTCTGCAGCAAACTAAAATTAAGAATCTGACAAGAAGAAGAGAGCATAGTCAAAGATCCGCAAAGGTATATCCAAAGAAGCAAAGGAGAGTAAAAGTGTATGTGCATGTGTCTAACCGAGTACACGCGAGCAAACCGTGACACGGCGTCTAAAGTCTAGAGAACAACATTTGTGCAAGAATTAGGAGGCACATATGCCATATGTCCGCAGAAATAGGGGGAAAAGAGCCAAATTAATATCCAAGAAGTTAGAAGGGAAGGAGGGCAGGGCTTTTTTTTTTTTTTTTATTTTCACGTCGAACCCTTGGATCTCTTGCCCTTGGGCACGCGAGCAAGCCAGTAAATGAAAACGGCGGCGAAGATGTTGAAGATGATGTAAGCCCACATGATACCAAAGTTACGCCAGGCGTCCTTGTACTGGCTGCTGACGCCGGCGAGGAAGGTATCTGTGCTGGAGATGGTGCAGAAGGCGCAGTCGCTGGTTGCGGATGGGTTCTCCAGATAGCCGCCCCTTGTGGACATGTAGTCGGCCATGTAATCCTTACAGGTCAAGTTGCTTGGCGGGTCGAAGTGCAGGAACTCGACAGCCTCGCAGACGGCGGTTGTGCCTGAGACGCCGGTCGACAGCATGGCCGATACAAGGTATGTGAACGGTGAGACGCGGTACATGAAGATCCAGAAGCCGGGCAGGGATTGAGGCGGGGCGAGGACACCGCAGAAAATCAGGCAGAGGGAGAAAAGGAGGTTGGCAAGGTTACCTCCGGTCTCGGCGAGTTCGATACCGGCGATCATCATGTGTGCAAAGGTGGAGGTGAAGAGAAGGAATGACCAGATAAGGAGGAACATGAGTGCTCCGCGCTCGTGGACGGCGTCTGTCGGTTCGGCGTTCCGGTACAGCCCAATCGGGTAGTACCAGCAGACGAAGATCAGGAAGGCCATGAGTGTATTCCATGGAAGCTCAACAATGATGTTGGCGGCCATGAATGCCTTCCAGGAGTAGGTCTTTGAAGGTCTTTCACGGACTTCATACAAAGACCGTTGAGTGCAGAAGTTGGGCATGATCTGTTGGACCAGGTTACCGAAGATAGTCATCAGCATGAAAATACTGAACATCTGGTTCTGGAGACCCTGGGCACTGTTCTGGGCGTTGAAGAAGGAGAATCCGATATATAGAGCGGTGAGGACGCAGAGTGCGGCCTTGGAGTAGATGTACACTGGCGTCCGCCAGTATTGCGAGAAGACACGAAGCAGACATTCCCACAACTGAACGGTGAAGGGGCAGCGAACTCATCGTAACTGCCAGGATCGGCCTTGGACGCGTCAATGGGCTTCTGCGAGAGGGTCGCTTTCAATTCATCAAGGTGCTCATGCACCGCTTTGCGCTCGGGGCTGTCCCGCCAGACAGCAGGCCAGTCGATGTCGCTATGCGAACCAGGAGCGGCACCAATCACTTCAAGCATCCATTCGGCAGGGTTTGCGTCGGCAGGAAGCTTAGGAGCGCCATTTCTCTCAAAGTAGCTGGCAAGAGTAGATGACTTCTCCCCGATGTCACCAAAGTAGACAGTCTTGCCTCCTTTGGCAAGAAATAGCAGGCGGTCGAATCGTTGGAACAGCATTGCCGATGGCTGGTGAATAGTACACAGAATAGCTTGGCCGTGCTTGGTAAGAGTGTCAATCAGATCGAGAATGGACCAAGAAGTTTGACTGTCGAGGCCAGACGTAGGTTCATCCAGGAAAAGGAGGAGTTGAGGCTTCGCTGCGAGTTCCACTCCGATTGTAAGACGTTTCCGTTGTTCGACATTGAGACCTGGTCCGTGTCAGCGGGTTTACAAAATCAGTAGACAGGATGGGAAAGGCACACACCTTCTCCAGGAACACCAACGACTGCATCCGCGTAGGATTCCATGCCAAGCAGCTTGATAACCTCCTCAACATAGTCAATTTTCTCCTGGCGGGGAACATGGGCGGGCTGGCGAAGCAAAGCACTGAAGCGTAGCGCTTCTCTGACAGTCGTGGTATGGAGATGAAGATCCTGTTGCTGGACATAGCCCGTCTTACGCTGGAAAGACTGATCGCGTGGGCGTCCATCAACCAACATTTCACCAGTAACGACACCCATGGTCACACGGGTCGCGAGCACATCCAAAAGTGTCGTCTTACCAGCACCGGAGACACCCTGGTTGACAAGATTAGCTATGAGCACTTTTTGGGGCCGCGCTTGTAGTGATGGTCAGAGCTACATACCATGAGAGCAGTACAAGTACCAGGCTTGACCCAGCCGTCGACGTGATCAAGAATACGCCGTGGTTCGCCCTTGATCTTGATATCGTAGCACACATCCTTCCATTGAAAGATTGCCTCCTGTCTCTGAATCGCCCCGGTAGCCTCTTTGCCACTGGCCTCGTCCGTCTTCGCAGCGGAAGACACCTCAGGGCTCTTCTCGACGTCATGGGAACCGGTGGGCTTTGCGTGGCCTCGCCGGAACAGTAGCACTTCACCCTTCGACTTCGATTCCGAAATGTACTCGGTGGCAGTCAAGTAGGTGAACATGAAGAAAAACATGAATGCAATCATGATACCCAGGTTCCTCCACTCGTGGCTCTTATAGTACTGGAAGCTCTGGTGGAGGTAGTCGTCGCCTTGGACGTAACGAGAGCCGGACACTGAGCCGACTGTCGAGCAGACCCGATAAGCCAAGGGCTGGCTGTCGTATGCGCCGCTTGACGGGACAAATGCAGAGTCTGGACACAGGAACTGCCGGTTGTGGAATTCGTTAACCATCAAACTCTCAAATCCGTACGCGATGGGATCGATATAGTTCATCCACCGCGACCAGCCGAGCATATTCCGGGTCGGAATCGTGAAGCCGGTATAAATGACAAGACCCAAAATGAGGATAGCGGCGGGCACCAGAGCCTGGGACAGGGTGCGGGACGTAGCAGCCATCGTACGGAAAAGCATGGACATGGTTAATGTGGTGACGAAAGAGAAGAGCAAGAAGACAAAAAAGGCGCCAGGTTCGCGGCGAAGATTTGTCATGAAGTAGAGTGTAAGGTTGAAGATGATGGCGTTGGTGATCTTATAAGGCATGTCACAGAGCATCGAGGCTATAGCTTCGGCGAAGGGGTGATACATTGCGTAGCGAGATTGTTTCTCAACAATGGGACGTTGCGCATATAATGTCAAAATCTGGAGACAATCAGCTTGTTGTGGTAACATCATATTAGCCAACTAGAACTCACCTCGAGGGCACTGGAGAAGGCGTTGAGCAGCACGGCGAAGAAGAGCAAAGCACCACGAGCGTAGAAACTGCTTGTGTCGTCCGGCAGGTTGTAGAAAACACTTCCAATGACCAAGGCCATAATGAAGTTACCAATCAACTGGGACATGGTCAAACTGGAATCACCCTTAAGACGTTGGAAGCCACGGATCATGCACAGCTCGATCTGCTGCCATACGGAAATGGTGTAGGGGGATTTGACTCGCCTGCGGAGAGTTTAGCACATGATACCTGAGTTGAGAACGCTTCTGAACTTACTGGTTCTTCGCCTGCATGGCTCTGCGAGACTCGATGAACTTGTTGAGCGACTCACCACCAATTGGGAACTCCCGGTCGTATTCTTCGATTTCTCTCATCAACTTGGCGTAAGCTTCACTGCTCTTCCAGGCTCTCGCGAATTCGTCAGGGGTCTGGGGACTTTGCCCTCAAACCCGGGCTTCACCACGCGCTCAGCAGGGCTGGTGAGAGAAGTCAAGAAATCAGCGGTTGTCTGACGTTCCGGACATTCAAATCCCATGTTGGTGAAGAATTCCTTGGCTTCGTCGGTGCGTCCAAAGTAAATCTGTCTTCCTTCGTACAACACAGTCACTTTGTCAAATACCTAGTAATCGAATTAGCGCTACAGCAGCGGACATGGGGGGTAGAGGTATGCTACTTACATCGTAAGCACTCTGGGAGGCTTGGTAAATAGCCACGGCAACGGTAGCGCCGGCGTACTTGGTCATCAGGTTCAAAGTCTTGCAGAATTCGAGCGCATTCGCACTGTCCAGACCACGGGTACTGTTATCCCAGCACTGCAGAGGGCTGCCACTGAGTGTTGCCTCAGCGATACTGACACGCTTACGCTCACCACCACTGACACCGCGGACGAAATCGTTGCCGACTCTGGTGTTCATGGTGTGTGTGAGGCCAAGCATGGCCATCACGACATCGCGCATGTGCACGGCATACTGCTCTCTGGAGACACCAGGCAGACGGTTTCGAGGAGCACGGGCAAGCGCGGCGAATTTCAAAGTGTCACCCACGGTCAGTTGCGGGAAATGCACATCCGTTTCGGCAGTGTAGATAGCCTCGCCGCGGAACTGCTTGCGCATCTGCTTGGACGAGATACCCTGATAGTTCAAGTGCGACTTCTCATCCATGTAGATACCGTTCATTTCGCCGGAGATGGTCTTGAGGAAAGTCGAGCATCCGCTTCCAGGACGGCCCAGAACGACCAGCATTTCGCCGCTCTTGACAACGCCATCGAAATCTCGCAGGATTTGGATCTTCTGCTTGTCGGTACCCATGACCCTGCGGACAAGGGTACCAACTTCCAAGACCGAGTTGAACACATCCTTCTGATAATCAGTCGGGCTACCATAACCATGGACACTGAGGTTTTTGAAAGCAACACCAGCCACACGCTTGGGATACCGTTCAGGATCCCGGGACGAAAGAGCGAGCAGATTCTTCATCCAGTTCCTGGCTTTGAAATTGGGACTGAGAGGATTCAGCGTCGAATCCTCTTTGGTTTCGAGAAATGGATTCTCGACATTGCCACTGGTTGAAAATCTGGTCGACTGACGGGTCAATCGGCGTGCCAGGCGGGTGACTTCTTCCACTGCGACATCCTCATCGCCGACTTCCTTTGACCGTTCCAGGACGGTTTCGTCGGTGCTGACACTGGCGGCATTGTTGTGGTGATTGGATTCGACCCTGGCAATTTCTCCTTCCTCCTCCTGAGCTCCGCGACCTGCTACGGTACGCTCTGGGTTCATGTTAGGATTTATCGTCCCTAGAAGAGACATGATGGCTGATTGGGCGAGACACTCAGTCTCGATTCGGGAGTGATTGCGTCACAATGGGCATAAAAATTTGAACACCACCACAGACGGGAACAGGGTATTAGAAGATGATAAAGGATGGAGGGGAGTAATATATAAAGATAGATAAGATGGAGAGATTGACAGAAAGATAGATGAGGGGCAAGATGGAGACACAGAGGTTAATAAACTAAAATAAGATGGACCTGTGGCTGTAAGTACCGAGTACCTAATGTAAGATCTGGAACGACGCCGTCACCATCATTAGATCGTATTTGAATACGCTTTTTCCTCCCCTGTAGGAGTCCGGGCTTCCAGAATAATGATGAACTAGTATTACTATAGCAAGTTTAAGGGACAGGTTTGCCCCCATTTTCTGGACTACCAGATCATCCAATCAGTGGCATGAGATCTTTTCTCTTCTCTTGGATGCGACGAATCGGGTCGTCTAGACAGGACGACTCCGGGCCCAGTACAAGGACGGGAACAACTGGGCGATTGTCTCCGTAAAATTCGAAAACATGTCCATATGAATGCGGCCGGGACCACGGATCTTGCAATAAGCGAACGGTAGCCTAATCGACCCTACGGAGTATCCGTCTAGCATTTGTGATTCGTTTCTGGGTCCCTGACTGCCTAACTCGATGTCTACCATTCTATCAATCAAACTGCGGCTGAGCCGTGGTGAGACGGGTTGTACTGGAGTTAACTTCGGAATTACCGTGAACTGATGCTCTAGATAGCAAGGTACTCTATACGTGGCAGTTATTCGGCTTGTTCTTCTGCCGATAAGGTATGTACACAAGTCTCCTAGGGGATGATTCATGATGAGTGAAATGATAGTGATGAATGCCAAGACATGACTTGGAAGCGCGCAATTTCCTGCGGAGAGACGCAAACAACATGTATTACAGCCACTAAGAATGTACGGAGTATGTTTTCAGATTGAATATTTATATCACAAAATCAAATACTTCACTGCACACTAAGATAGACCAGACCATAGAAGGTATATAGAACAGTTACACCGTACACAACATGACAGCAACTTCCTACTTGAGTATGACACCTGGGAATTGCTAACCCTCCGAATGTGACAACAACGTGGCCAAAATCTCCGCTATCAAAAAAGGAAATGCTGCCCAGAAAGGGGCATTGTACATTGTAGACAACCAAGTGGGGCGGGATCCTACTGATCCGAAGCCCGGCCTGGCCGTTACGATTCTTTTCGTTTCGGATCTGGTCACCTCCGAGCTGATTTTGCATTACTGCATAATTTCAATTAAGTCAGCTATGAATGAATAAAAGTCGTGCTGATCATCGGAGATAAAGTTCGATATCTCCTGCGACACTGAATTATTATCGTCTCGGGAGTTGAGTTCTGATCGACTATGATTGATCATTAGTCGGATCCTCATGCGCAGTCACCTGGAGACTCCCTATTCCGCGACGTGTCTGTGATCACCGCGAAGGAAATCCTGTATATCTCGGAGTCGGAGTGGTCCGTCCTACGAGATCATGTCCAATGAAATCATCTATACGGAGTCTTCAAAGCATAGACTGCCAGGATGACCCTGCCATGTCTGCATACCCAAGGTTGGTAGGTCTAAATAATACCTCAGACTTACGTGGTTGGTCTTCTCCGGGCGGTGCCGCAGTCTGTAAAGGCTACATAAATAGAGTTACCTACGAATCATAAACCTAAATCCATGTCGCACAGCTCGTCGATATTCTTGAGATGATCATAGTCGGGATCGCTCAGTGTGGCGTTGTGGCGACATTAGGTAGCAGTAGCCCTTACAGCCTACAGGGTTACTTCGATGCAATTGGAACAGACGATCTTAGATACATCTGTCATGTGTCATCTATGACGCCCGCGTCGATCGGTATCACGCTGGCGCTCGGGATGGCGTTCGTGCAGGGTTCCGTGCGCCTTGGATACGAGATGCAACTATGCGGAGGAGCAACGAGCATACCGTCGTCCAACTACGAAGGCTTTGGCTTACTCGGTTTATGTCGTAATGGTGTCAATTCAATTTATGCTCAGGTGCAACGTGCCGTGACTCGCATGGTAGAGTTTGACCTTTGGCACTGGATAGAAAATGTATGACGCAAGGCTTAAGATATCAGAATGTCATGCCCAAGGACAATGTAGATAGATATGAATATCGGTGTATCATCATAGAACCATTACGACACCCGCTAGGGGTAATGCGCCTGTCTACCATAATGTCATTATCAACCCCATGTACATCAACAGTAGACCTCCAATGTGCCTAGGATACTTCCTGCTCTTCCTCGTCGCTGTCATCAATTGGTTCCACAAGGAGATTCCCACCGCGACCGATCTTGTCCCGAATCGATCCACCAGCTTCGACTTCATACACCGTCCGCGGCATAGGCGAGACGAGTCGGAAATCGTATTGATGTTCGAACCCGGCGGGCTTTTCCACCCCGGAAGGCTTCCCCTGTGCATCTTGCAGAACTTCGTAGCACTCGACAAAAGCGTAGAGCTCTTCAATGTCGGCCTCGGGAGCGAATTTTCGAATGACACGTTCGCCTGAAGGCAGCCGGATACTGATGCGGATGGCGTCCTTGACCTCGGGCCCAGGCTCGTCCTGAATAGACGCCGCGCGCCATCTCTTCCATTGCGCAATGTCGTGGAGACGTTTCTCCTCAGCCGCTTGCCGCTCGGCCGCCTCTTGCTCCGCCCGCTGCCGAGCTGCTTCAGCTTCCCGTCTCTGTCTAGCGCGCTCGCGGTCGATAGCCAGCGATCGCTCGTAGGCCGAATCCTGCTGCTCCCGAATTGTGCGTGAAGCCTGTTGCTCCGCTCGTGAGGCCCGGATCCTTTCAAGAGCTTCTTTATTCTGTGAAATTGCTGCTCGGAGCTTCTCCACAAACTCTGATGGCGATGTTGTTCCAGAAATCCTACACACGACAGACATGGCAGTTGAAGACACATTGGGCGTGTGAACAATAACAGCCGCAAAAGGAAACTTCGTGCACCGGAGAGAGTTCGAGACTTGATATGCCTCAGAGTCTTGGACATTGCCTCCCCAGACAATCACTTCATTCTGAGGGTCTTTGATGAACTCAACGACTTCCCGCGAGAGTAGTGTGTCTCGGACCCAGGCGTTTGTATCATCATGTTCGGAAGAAAGGAGAACCACTAGGAGGAACTTCAAGTCCCGATGGGCTTTTTCCAGCGCCATATTGTAACCATTTTCCAGGAATCCCACAGCATTAGACCCGTATTCCTCCTCAAACTCCCGGATGAACCTGGCGGCTGTATCCTGAGGTCCAAGAGGCCGACGTCCATAGTTATGGCCTCGGGCACCCTGCAGAGCTGGGTTGGCAGTGGTATTAAGTATGCGAGGCAGGAACGGAAATAAGCTGCTGAAGAGGCGGAACGAGGTGCATAGTAATCGATATATGATGTTGAACGGAGTAAATAATAGCGCCAGTAAGAAAGGCGGTCGGTAAACTGAGTGGTCCTCGGACTGAGTCACAATCCGAGGAGCAGGTTCTGAAGCTCGAGCGGCCGGGGAGAATTGCGCGTTCAGGTCATCGCTCATGAGATTTCGGGTTTCACGGGTAGGCCGGGGCGGAGGCGGATTGTTCAAAGCAGCGCGAGCTTCCTCGACGGGATCGGGTCCTTCCCCATCAAAGAACTTGGAGATTGCAATCTTTGCAGGGGTTGATCAGCACCGTTCTTCATTTTCCAATGCCTCGACGCTTAGGACGTACCTGGACGTTCCATTGTGATCGGCGTAATAAAGGAATAGCTTCAGATGGTTCTTGGCTTGTCACGGCGATATAGGTCTCGAGAGCAGACTTTTCGCTGTCAGATAGCTGCGAGATATCCAGCCCTGAGGAGGACATAGTTAATGAGAGTCGTGATCCATACAATGACGAAGTAATATGAATGTTCTCCAGGGAAGTAGTGGCAGTTGTATGCTATGACGGGGTTTCAAATGGCGGGCGACGGCTATGTTGCATAAACTCTCAAAGTTATCGAGCAATCGGCCTCTGGCAAAATAAGTAGATTGAAACCCAAGATTCGATATCGGTAACTAAGAAACAGCACAGTTGAAAGGAAACTCTTTTTACGCAAGTGGTGGCTAGCTGTCCTCTTTGAAGCTCCATCATCGCCGGGTCCGGGAACTTGGCGCCGGAGACGCGCGCTTCAGGCGGTTGTTGGCCCATGCACCGCCATTACGAGAGGCCGACTTGTCGAGTACTAATCAAGTCTCCCCTCTCCCCGCGGGCGCTCTCTCCCTCCAAGTTACCTTAAACGGCCTGTGCCTTTTACGCGGCCATCCAGGGTGCGACATTGTCTCGATGCCTATCGTCTTTGCATAGTGGGCCATTGCCTAGTATTGCTCGGTTGTATAGTCTCCGATCTGTTGGGGTGGAGAATTCCGCACCGGCAGCGTGCCCTCTGCTTCTCACGAACGTGCTTTGGCGTAATCTCCCTCGACGTTCAAGGAGATTCATCGCGATCGAATATTTCTACCGGAGCATAGAGGAATGCGGTCTCCTCTCGATATATTCTATTGTCCAATTTTTTCATGTTATGATTCAATGGAGATCCCTTTGCGCTGATCCCCGCCAATTTGGATAAAGACATACCATGGCTTCTGCAGGGAAGCCTGCTTTGGACGATTCCCGACGCGGGACGGGGTCGCCTAAGATAAAGGCGAGAGGTCAGTTTTGGCTCGAGAAGGACCTCTGAACAGAGGGTCTCGTACATGGGAGGCCTCGTGGACGTGACAATGGCCAGGTGTTAACTATGCGACGCGAAATTGCTGACATCATATCTCCTCTCATTCTAGAAAATGCAAAAGACACTCTTTGTCGCAATATCACCATATACGGTCGTTGTCGGTATGAAGATAAAGGTGCTGCGCTTGCCCCTCGTCCATTTGCGCGTTCATAGAAACCATGAGCTTCATCTAACCTGGGCGTATCTTCGTGAAGGTTGCGCTTTCAACCATGATCCCCATAAGCTCAATTCGTCATATCAGTCGGACAGGTTGGGATCCCTTACATCAAACCCTCGCTGGCCCTCCTCTTCTGATAAGAGGATCAAATCCACATTTGTAGACTGAGCGATAGCTTACATGGACGTGTTGGTAACAGCAGTAAAAAGCGCTTCAATGTCGACTCCCCCAGCTTCACACCCTCCCTCTTGTCGTCGAATGGATCATCTCCGACGAGCACACCAGCCACAACAAAGAAAATGACTACAATATCTCCAAAAGCTGCAAATGCAGCTCCGTTTCAACCTAGAAGTGTCGTTTCGCGTAAGGCTCAATCAGTTTTCTAGTCACTAGGTGTTCTGCTAATGGGAGAAGGATCCAATGCCAGTACTCCTGGCTTGCGACAAGATACAGTAACTCCTGACTGGACTGTAGCCGAAGTACAGGAGTTTGTTCCCCAGGGTTTTGACAATTCGCACTTGGTAAGTCGTGCCTTCCTTGGTTTAAGTCACAGGAACCAAATCATATTCACCACTTGTCTGTCCGCGCCCACCTATCTTTCTTTGCCTCTCCTGTTCAGTCTCCTTTCCACCTCAATTCTCGCACATAGGGTCGTATTCAAAGAGCAAAAAGCCTTTGTCAATCATCCCCAATATTTTGCGCATTGAGAAGATTGACACAGGGCCTACCACAATTTCCTCAGGATGGGACATCCGTCCGCTGGCATCAGCTTGAATGCTCTTGCCGATGATTTTGACCCTAATCCCCTTCATATTCCTCCTGCTTTTCCCTCGCCTTTCGGACAACGCGCTGGACATTACACCCCCACTGAAGGCAGACCCATCCCATCTGTGGAATCCTCTTGGCCTGGTGCTAGAAGGCGAAAGCGCAGACCTGGTGTACGTTTTCCAATCGCTAATCGCCCGTTTCAGGCTGCTCTTCAAGGAAATGGCAACGGCCCTATCACATCTACGAGCCCGTTTGATCCTTTCGTAACGACATCGACTCCTCTATCCGCAGGTGGAGCTGTTGGCCCCGTTCAGCCAAATCCATATTCTCATGACACTGCAGCAGCACTCGGTGGTGCTGCTTTCTTCCCTGGCGCAGCTGGCTTTCAACAACCTGTGAGTTCCTTTGCCGTATCGAACGATGTCTCGTATCCAATTAACGTCTTGTCGACAGGTCCAATACCATCTGTACGCTCCTATCGGTCCTCATAGCCAGAGCACTCTGGGGTATCAGCGCAATGTCCACGATTTGTTCCTCCCTAATGACTTCCGCGAGGAGCTGCAGAAGAAAGCGGCAGCCACGCTGCAAACACTGCCCAGTATGTTGGCTTGAGTTCTCAAGTAAATCATCATGCTAAACGAGAGCAGACACTCAATTACCAGCTCAGATTGACTACTTCCATTCTCTTGTCCCTCTGGACCTGAACCACCAGAAGAATGCGACTATTTTTGGCTTTCCGAGTTGGGTGTACAAAGCGCAATCCAGCAAAGATGGAAATTTTTACGCGCTCCGGAGATTAGAAGGTATGCATTCCTTCGTCATCCCTCATTTCTCTACCAGAAAGTCAAGGCTAAGTGGCTCTCCAGGCTTTCGGTTGACGAACGAGAAAGCGATTCGATCCGTCCAGGCTTGGAAGCGGGTGTGCAACGGTAGTGTGGTGACAGTCCACGATGCGTTCACCAGTAGAAGTTTTCAGGATAGCTCGCTGATCTTCGTTACCGACTACCATCCTCTTTCAAAGACGCTCGCTGAACAGCACCTTGGCGCCGGCCAACAAAGGTTTCAAGGTCGTCACAATGTGCACATTCCTGAGCAGATTCTGTGGGGCTACATGACCCAGATTGCCAACGCATTGAAGGCCATCCATAGCAATGGTCTTGCAGCCAGAGTCATTGACGCAAGCAAGATTCTACTGACCGGCAAGAATCGCATTCGACTCAACGCCTGTGCTATCATGGATGTGGTCCAGTTCGACAGCCAGCGTACAGTTGCCGATCTTCAGCGTCAGGATCTGGTCAATTTCGGACAACTCATCGTCACGTTGGGTGCCAATTCGCCGACGGTCATGCACAACCCTACGAAAGCTATGGAGCACTTTACACGTGCTTACAGTCCGCAGTTGAAGAACTCGGTATTTTGGTTGCTGAACGGCATGCAGAAAGATCAGGATCGAAATATTGACATTTTCATCACTGGTATATCTTCGCAGCTCATGTCGACTTTTGACTCGGCACTTCACTTGGATGATCAACTTACATCGGACCTGAGCCGAGAACTGGAAAATGGCCGTCTTGTGCGACTGATGACGAAGCTGAACTTCGTAAACGAACGGCCGGAATATGAGCATGACAGACAATGGTCCGAGAATGGAGAGCGTTATTTCTTGAAAATTTTCCGCGATTATGTCTTCCATCAGGTGGATGCGCAGGGCGACCCCGTCGTCGATCTGGGTCACGTGATCTCATGTTTGAACAAGCTGGATGCAGGAACAGAAGAAAAGATAACGCTGATCAGCCGGGACGAGCAGAGCTGCTTCATTGTCAGCTACAAGGAGCTGCAAAAGGCGCTCGAATCTTCCTTCCAGGCGTTGATGAAGCCCGCAAGAAGAATGCATTGAGCAACGCTGCGTTACCATGGACTGCCTTGCGGGAGACTGTTCATTTTGTGTTGACGTCCACGAATATGTTCTCTTTTCAGGCGGCAGATTTTCGTCCTCTGCATGACGCTGTCTCTTGCATTCATTACTTCTCGTCAGAATGCGGCTGTCTGTATGAGTGATTGGATGAGAGGTGGGATGCCACCTTGCTATTCTGAGACTTACTCTCAGCCAATATGTATTGGCAGGATGCGACGATTTCGGATTTACAACCGTCGCTCGCTGCGCTAACAGGAATTCGCTGAGGTCACTGTTGAGGAACTGTCCCCAACCTATTGGCAGCATATGACCATGACGTATTTGGAAGCTATTGGTGTCATTGATATACGAACGAGAATTCAAGTGAAACAGTTAGAAATATATTTGAAGTTACTGGCTATAGAGAATATCCTGCATACTACATCCGCCTCTCTGTGCCTTCGTATAGCAGTCTGGCTTTTAATATCAAGGAAAATAGTTAAAGAACGAGAGGGAGATGCAGCCTGATGCTGCTAAAGGAAGGTATGATCATCAGATCATCGACGACCATTGCTGACAAGAATCGACCGTTAGGCAGTCACTTTGATTTACAGCTCAGCACCATGAGCCAACATGTCATGTATCACTTCGACCTCATCCACGTCCTCGTCTTCTGCCAACCAGTTTCCGAGACGGCTTTTAAGCTCCTCAACAGTCAACTCATCATCATTGCCAGTCCAATCAGGCGCGGAATCATCGACTTTTCGAGGCGGGATCAAAACATGGTCGACAACATGTACAGTGCCGTCCTTGGCCAACGCATCCGCAAAAGCCACCCGCTGGAAGCCATTGATCTTCAGCGATGCATACGGACCAAAGCGGGCGACATCGACCGCCAGCTTCCGCCCGTGCAGGAGGGTCGGCAGATCGAGATGCGTGAAGCCCTTTACACCAAACGGCTTGATCTCCCCTTCAGCCGTGTAGAAGACGTCCGAATATAGAGTCCTGTTCTGGACGATGTGGTACTGTAGCAGGGCGCGCAGGTACTTTTCGCCAATGGGCGAGAACAGGAACGCATTGATCTTGAGGCCGAGGTGCTTGAAGGCTGAGTTGGAGGGGGCGAAGATGGTGCCGCCGTGGTGGTGGGGTGTGCTGGATTCGTTGAGAGCGGTTGCCAGGCCGGTTTTGTAGAGGCCTAGGGTGAAGGTGCTGAATTCGGAGGGGACGATAGTTAGAAGCGTAAGGGTTTCCGGGGGTGGGATGAGGATGGCGTTAATGCCGTGGATGATGCCGTTTGTGGCGCCCTGTATATGTAGGTCAGTTGCGTTCTCTGTTGGTATCCCTGGGGAAGTGAGCTTACAATGTCTGCGGCTACGATGTGGCTGTAGTAGTTCAGCGTCAGGCCCTTCCATCCTACACGGACGGCCAGGCGCTGGGGCAGATCAGGGCCTAGAGTGGACTCGTTCAAGGTGGTTGGCACGGTGTGGCTGTGGAAGATATCTGAGGCCGAATAGCGGCCTAGTGCAACGTGGTAGCGGAATATGGCCCGGATAACCTCCTTCGGGATCTTGTGGTGCTCATGGTCGTCGTCGTGGTCGCGATCACGGCCAGGACAGTGATGCGGGATCTTTGAGAAGGCCTCGTCGGTAGGAGCAAAGAAGGTATGGTTTGCCTCGGTGCTGTTCAAGAACTGGACCAGCTCGTCATCCTCGTCGATGATCTTGGCGAGTATGGTGGTATACTTGCTGGATTTCATCAGTTCGTAGATGGTCTTGTTGAAGGAGGGATGGCGAGGCGGGAAAGGTCGACGCGGGTGCAGGTACTGCGGCAATTGCTCGAAATCTTTGGGAAGATTCTCCGCGTCGGTGGGATGATCGAAGAAATTCGTAATCCAGGAGGCTGCTTCAGAGGCGCCGGACTGCAGCCGTTGGGTGGTAAACGCATCGGAGGCGAGCTCAAGGGCCTCGTCTAGGGCATTTCTGAAGTCGGTCGCGGCGTCCTGGATGGAGGATTCGACCGAGGAGAGGAAGGATGTCGAGTCCTTGTTCACACCGTTTTTGTTTGCATCGAGCTTAGCAATGTTACTTAGGACCTGTTCATCTGGGATAACGATGGCGGCACTGAGCGAGAGCACTGGCCAGAGACGGTAGAGCTTCATGTCGTCAGTCGATAACTTGTCTTTACAAAAAACATATACAAAAAGAAGATAAAATATGATATGAACTCGAAACTATCCTTACCAGCGCCACAGACCATATTTAAGGCAACCCTCAATCACATCATGACATATAGTATGATGACGAAGCCGATGTGGAATCTTCGGAAGCGCTTACAGTGCATAGATCAACTAACCCAATCAAACAATCAAGGGGCGATCGAAAAGATCAGCCGGGCTTTCATTGAACAAGGATAATTCCATGAATTCCCATCAATTCTCATGCCAGTGACAGTCTCGCCCAATCTCACTTCTGACCCCGATGCCATCGTATTCGTACTTGAGCCTGGCCCAGTGGACCTAGATTAGCTTCGGGCTGTGGAGATTCCATGACGACAGCAATATCGGGTCTAGGGGCAAGTAAGGTGATGGTTCTCTGAGCCAATAGGCTCTGGGTTAGTTTCATAATAATAGCAATTTAGCTCTAGATGAATGATCGGGAGTGGTCAATTTAGTCTTATTTCAGTGAGGTGTTGTACTGAGAAGAGTTGTGGTTGACAGTCTGAATCATGCATGCTAAGTGGGTACTCACTATCCTTGAGGCCTGGGTATACTATTGGATGCCTGAGGCTTTTAGTAGTACATGTGGTGAGGATTTCCGATGTCTCCCTCTAACAAGACCACTTCCAGCAATATGCATCCGTTGAAAGATACTTCCAGAAGAATATCTGTATGTTTCTTTCAGTGGCATACTATATGTACTTCGCCGATGCTTGCAGCAATGAAAGCAAAACTATCAGCAGTAGATACTAGAAAGTCATGCCTTTTTTCAAGAATAATACAAGTCGGTAGAGTATAATGAGTCTTAGTAAAGCCTTTCGAAGCGTTCGGTGGCAGAGGTCCATCCAGGGCCTTACCAGACCAGCTTGGGGAACACAAATCAGGTCGGCCGAGATACTACGATTGGTCCATGTCTCTGCCCAGTAGGATAGATATGTTGACGCGTTAATTCATGAGTTCAAAGTATTGTATATCTATTACATGACAATGTATGCTGGATCAAAGGTAGACGCAAGATGCAGCCATCCATAAATCGCATATTTGCATGATGTGGGAATCCCATCCCATCCACCTGACACAAGCACATCTTCATGCTGCAGAAGCCTTCGATGTATATGCGAAAGGGTGAGGACTGGCTGTTCGATTTCTTTCTCTGCCTTGTCAAAGACGAACGACCTTCCAGGACGAGCTCTGGAGGACGACAGACAAAGGAAAGCAGAATCGGAGCCGATAGCGCGGGCGTCGTGTATCACAAGAGGTCCGCACGTTCTTCACGGATAGCCTGACGAGACGACACAAGAAGGATCTTTCACTTTCTTAAGAAACTGATACGTTCGCAGAATCTATTCCTCTTGCTGGACGAAAGGATTGGCGATCTCCTCGCTGCCGTCGGCTGGAGAAATCAACACAATCAGAGTGCCGCGGGCGACGATGAGACCAAGGGAGCGGGTAGTCTCATTCCCCTCGTCATCTAGATAGAAGATGTTAAGACACATCATCCAGCTTTGAGACGCAGTTCTATCACTTACCACGCATGCTTTCCTTGACATCATCCAACACCAGGTTCATGAGCTGATCATAACCCTTGAGCATACCGCTAACTAGAATCGATTTTAGTAGGCAAGAAGCACAATCAGTTGGTGACAAACTCACCCTCTCGTCCTCCATTAAACTTCACCTTCACCTCCTTGTCCATGTACTTGGACAAATCAAGAATGTTCTCCTTCTTGGGCTTCTCCTGCTGTTGTTGCGCACCGCCACCTGCACCGCCACCCCTGTGCTGGGAGGAGTGACCACCGCCACGGCCGCCATACCTGTCGTGACCTCCGCCGCGGCCACGACCACCCCGGAAAGAGCCTCGTTCAGACATGGCTTGGCTAGCCTGGATTGCCTGGTAATCTGATCTAAAGATTTGCTTATTTAATTGGGTGTCGTTTTCTAATGGTTTGATTTTGGTCTGATCTGGCTTAATAATAAAATGTTAAAAAAGGTTAATAGAAGAGAGGGGATGGGGGGGGAGGTGGGACGGAGAGAAGACGTGCGCGGAATAACAAGAATGAGGGGATCTGGGTTTGGTGGATGGATCGAATTGGACGGGATGTGTTGGCAAGATTAGAAAGAGGGGCGTGATCTGACCTTTCTGGGTAGTTCCAAGCTGGCTCCCCTGACTCTGTAAAGTGCAGGATGACCCGAGGGGGTAGAGTAGCACCAGTGAGGGGAGTCACCTGCAACTTACAGGCAAGATAACTGTGATAGGCGGAGGTTGAGTATGAGTAAGGTAGCTGTGAGTATGAGGGATTTTCGAAGAGGGGACGAGGGGTCAACAAAAATGAGTGGTAATAATAATAGGTTCTCTAATGCCGTCCCTACCCTAAGGCTGTGTCCAGATTGTGTAGCCCACATATGGAGTACATAACTAATCACTGGTGGAAGCAAGAAAATTTGGCCTAGTCACTTGACATTTTGCATTCTGGCTGGTACGTATTAGGCTTCTCCCCTCTTGAGTAAGGTACCTAAGATACCCGAAGGAAACCTCCTGTAAGGCGCTGGTAATTTTACCTGATATCCTGCGTCATACAAACCCTTACCATAGGAATACTATTCCGATGCTTTCGCTACCCGTTTCGCTGCAACACAGTGGAGGAGCAGGCAGATGTCCGATGTTTCGTGGGCAACCTTAGAGAACAATCTTACGGGATGAATTTGTATTACTTATACTGTATTGTTACAAGAGACGGGCGGAGCGCAACTTCATTTCCCTTGTTGTCAGTAAGAATCTCCTGCCGTTGAATGATGAAGCCTTAAAGATATGATCAATATATACTGCGCTTCGTGGTCTCTGTTGGCATACAAAGTATTTGATCCGACTTTGCGTGGGATCATTTGAAAGGATGAACCTACCTGTTTAAATGGACGCTGTAGCGATAAATCCCACTTGTCGCGTCATCCCGACAACGTGTCTGGGACTCCCAGGTCCGTTGACCCAGTCCGTCCGCAAGGGGTTCTAGCCAACTCAGGCCACCCGTCGGCTTCAAGAACTGCTAACAGCTTATCTGTACCTATTGACTTCCATGTTACTCCTTCAAGTAAAGATCCAACCGTCTCCTACTTTATACGAATGCTCCATGATCCTGTGTAATCTGGAGGAGTGGAGGAAATTCTGATGCCTACCTTACACATGGAGTTCTGGGCTGTACGGTAATTACCCGTCTTTTCCGATTTTCCGAGCCACAGCGAATGGCCAGCGGAACAGGCCGGCGGGACTCCGCTCCCTGACATTTGCAAAGAATCCAGCTCCCCCATCACAGTCGAATGGAAAGCATCAAGATGAGCCTGGACGACGCGGGAACGTATAGGCTGTTGTCAGACTTCCTTCCCCTTGTGCGTTCTTGCCAGTAGATTGATTCATCAATTAGTGATCATCTTTGCTCTATAAGTCTGCCTACAATACTGTTCCGATCGCACCCATGTTTAGATTGGTGGCCTAAGGCAACAATCGTCTAGAGTGCAGAAGGACTCCTTGGAGGTGTCGAGTTCCGCCATCCGCGCCATCACCACCCCATCTTCGTTTCCCGTCGTCATCAGGTATTTGTGGCCATCGGGATGGTCCAATAATAGCGCCCTTTCATCCTTGTTCGCTCTTTCTGGCTGTCCATCCCATCCGTCCGTCCTTCTTTGTCCAAACCGTGCTTGAGAAATATACTCCGAAGGTCTCCTAAGGTCTCCTATCTATCCATCTACAGATGACAGTACTCAAGGCCGTACTCCGTACCTACCTACCTACTAGTACCTACCTTAGCTGTCTATCTCCCTGTCAGCTTAGATACCCGACAACGAACTAATTGGCCTGTCTCTCTGCCATCCCGTCCGCCTCTCCACCTCCTCTTCGTCTTCCTCTTCTTCCTCTTCCTCCTCCTGTCGTCCTCTCCTCCCTCTCTCTCTCTCTCTGGCCTCTTTTATGTCCTAATCTTTTTTCCCCAAACGCTCATCTTAGCTGCTATCGTTTCATAGTTATTTTCTCCAGTTGTATCTGCTCCATCTCTTTCTGCGTCTTGCATACTCTCCGCCTTCTTTTCGCCCACCCTTACTCCATAATTCATTGTTTGTTGGGGTTCCTTATTACCTAACTCAAAAGGTTTTCTCGCAGCCCAGTGGCTACTTGGGAATCCGCAGCTGGAGCCTTATGCTCCGCCGTCACTCACCATCGATCGCCATTTGACCTTTTTTTCCCTCATCGCCTAATTCCCTCCATCCCCGCAAGCGCTCGATTTTCCGGTGTCGATTTTTCCGCGATAGCCTCAACTCAACTCCTCTCTAACCCCTTTCACCATCTTTCTCATAATTTCACCTATCCTCCTTCCCTGGCTGAATCACTGGACCACACACGTTGCACAGCTTCATGGAGTCCAGACCCCAGCGGCGGCAGAGCCGTCGAACAAACGGCCCAGGTCGCCGTCCGGCGACTACCATCCGATTGCTTCCAAAGTACCTAAGAGCCATTCGAACCATCTCCAGATTAACTACCTCGCTCGTCAGTACCCGGACAATCTGCCTCTAGTCTCTCTTGAAGATACTATGCCAGCTATTTTACACCTAGTCGGCGAATATGACGGCGTGCTCCATCGCCACGAAAGTATCGCGGGTAACCTCGGCGCATGTCCTCTGGGACCCATCTTGATCAAGCGTTTCGAGCGCCTGTTTGACGGCCCTCCTCGTGTACTCAAGTCGCACGGTAAAGAACCGCCTAACATCACCTGGTTGGATGTCGTCGAATTTGCCAAGAGCAAACCGGAACAGTTCAATCTGGAGAAGTCGCGCAATGGAGTGCGCGTCTGCCAGTTCTATACCAAGCAGTGTCGAGTTGAGATCAGCGAGGAAGACTATGTGCTTATTGCATCCGGGATGCCACAGAAGATGATCCCGCCGCAGCCAATCATCGAGGACGAGGAGAAAGAGTTGGGTGCGCTGGAGATCTTGGAGAAGAATTTGCAGCAGATTATTCAAGTTGCCGATCAAGGTTGGTTCATGACTCCCTTCAAATGCGCTCATGCGGTCTCCTTCAGTGGCGCCGGAAGCTTACTAGTGTGTCCTTACTGCAGTATCGGCTCGAGCTAGACAGCTCAATCATCGTTTGAAAAATCGCAGAACGGCTATTGTCACGCGCCGGGAAAATGACGTCTCTCTCAAGGCCCATCACCCGCCCCAACCCCATCAACTACCACAATCTCAGCAGCAGCCTCGTTCGCTCAGTCCGATTTGGCGCGATGCGACTGGCGCGGTTCCAAACCCGCTCAATGGCAATCCTCCGTCCAACGCTCACTCTCCCTCCACTGGATTTGTCGCAGTGAATACCGCCCGTATGAATCCCGGAGAACCTCCCATGGAGGAAAACGCGCTGTCGCAGCAGTTTATGTTCTCCCACTCAAACACAGACAATGTTACCATCATCAATGGAACCTCCATCAAAGGCGCATCTCCTACGACGCGTGCCGAGCTGATGAAAAAGTTTTTCACTACGCAAGATCGGCAAGCGCGCAGCTACGAAGAGTCAACTGGATCAGCTAACCGGCAGTCGTCACGGCCGCGGCCGAGAGCGTCGGACGCTGGGGATTACAACATGTACAACCCCGCACCTACTACCGTCGCCATCCCTAGTACGCCGTCGTCATTACTGCCTCCGCCCAAGGCCAACAATATGGAGAAGGATGATGGCGGTCCATTCAAGCTTGAAATGGTTGCCCGCATGGAGGAGTTGCAACGGGGAGAGCGTATTCTCCCACCCTGTGATCGCTGCCGTCGGCTCCACATGGATTGTTTGAAGAATTTGACCGCATGCATGGGCTGCACGAAAAAGCATGCCAAGTGTTCCTGGAAGGATGTCAAGGAGGAGGAGTTGCGCGAGGCGCGGTCGGACGGCACAAGCCGTGAAATCGGAGACAACGCTCAGTCGAAAGACTCTCCGGCTGCCCACACTCCCGCCTCGGCTCCAACCCCTGGTGCCATGTCAGTGAACACCACGTCTGCTGCCCCGACCCCCGCGTCTGTGGCTCACGCTCCGGAGCACGACCGGTCACGAGAGGAAGGCGGCGTGGCCTACAACAGTAGAAGAGATTCCGCACCCACGGGGGGACCCGCGCCGGGGACCCCATCGCTCAAGGACACCGCTCCCCGACGTGCAATGAGTGAGATCCATGGTAGCGCGGTGGGGAATCATGACCGACGCGTCAGCATCAATCGCAACAACGATCCAGTGCCGGACGACGACGACCCAGACGCCAACTCGCGGCTCATGCAAGCGATCATGGACACCGTGGACCATCATGCGCGAGTGGCCGCTGCGGTCAAAGAAAATGGTCATGAGCAGATGAACAGTGATCGAGAACGAGATCGCAAGTTAGTGAGAGCTTAAGCTTATTTCTTGTTGGTGTTGCGACTTGGTTTCGTTTCTTTATAACTTCTGGGGATCTGAGCAGGCATCGAGATCCATGTTTGATTAGGGTGAACAATTTCTGTACTTATCCATTGAGTCTGTACTGTTTGAGCGAGTTCAGCGGATATCCCTCGGTGTTTGTATTTGGACTATATTCTCTATAAATTGACTGTCTGGCACCATGCGACTCAAACGTAACAGTCATTGTAGAGAGTTATATCGGCTAGGACTTAACCGGCAGGAAAAGACATTACCCGTTTAACGAAGAGAAGCACAGATGGGATAGCATTGACGCAGTTGTAAGCCTGTATCTCGACGAAGGACTGACAGTGCACAGATGACAATGACTATTGCACCTAGGTAGATTTACTTCCTTATGACCACAATCATCGGATCTCCTCATCTAAGTCGGAAGTGGGACACCCCGCAAGCAACCTGGATCCATCGGATTTGCCGATCGGCATGTAAAGCTGAGGGGAGCCTGAGGCGGATAGTGTCACGCCTGAGGCTGCACTGATTGGTCATCTAATGCTGACCGCTTCCAAGTACACGCCGGCAGAACGCCCAAAAAGGGAACTAGGCCCGGGGTAATTCCGACGCCCAGTCTAGATGGGGATGATGATAATGATGATGAAGATGGTGATCTTGTCCTAGGTGGTGCATGAGAGTACCACTCAGGTAATTATCTCAAGAAGCTTCGGAAATAAATAGTCTTTGCGGGGTATTGCGGATTCGTCGACCAGACCAATGACGGGCCAGGTCGATCAAGCAAGCCCTTGCTTATACATTTATTACCCATCAATCCATCGGCTCCTCAGCTCTCTCCCGGAACCGGTGGTCATTGCGGGGTGGTATTTTCTTCGTGCCTCGTTGGACAATGGGCTGATGGGTCTGGTCTATTAAACCTGGTGGTCCCCCATTGAAGAGCTTGAGCATTTATCTTGTCTTCAGACTTGTTGATTGACTGCTTGTTTTGTTGTTTCATACAAAACTCCCATCATGGACCCCTCACAAGTCAAGATCCCCCTATGAAAGACCTCACGGTCGACAACATCACCGAGAACGTCATCCGGATCAATTCTCTCTGCGAAGATGAACGCATGAAATACGTCCTCGAGCGTCTGGTCACACATCTCCACGACTTCGCCCGGGAGACCCGACTGAGCTCCCAGGAATGGATGACCGGACTGACCTTCTTGAAGGAGGTGGGCCAAATCTCCTCCGATGTACGACAGGTACGTATCTACCCTATACTCTTGTAATAAACACACACGGGGAACTAACGCCAAGAGAAAAAAGGAATTCATCCTCCTCTCCGACGTCCTCGGCCTCTCCATCCTCGTCGACTCAATCGACCACCCCAAACCCCCGGCTCAACAGAAGGCACCGTCCTCGGTCCCTTCCACACCCACGAGGCCGAAGAGATCACCCAGGGCGGCCTGATGTCGCACGATCCCAAAGGCGAGCCGCTCCTCGTCGTCTGCACCATCAAAGACACAAACGGCAAGCCGCTTGAGGGCGTCAAGATCGATATCTGGGAGACCGACTCGACGGGCCACTACGACGTGCAGTATCCCGGCCGCGACGGGCCCGACGGGCGCTGCATCATGCGCAGCGACAAGGACGGCGTGTTCTGGTTCAGTGCTATCACGCCCGTGCCGTATCCGATCCCGCACGATGGGCCGGTGGGGAAGCTGTTGAAGAAGCTGCATAGGCATCCGTATCGCCCCTCGCATATGCATTTCATGTTCGAGAAGGAGGGGTATGATCATTTGATTACGTATGTTCTTTCCCTCCTCTTCTCTATTCGCAGAGTGAAATGGAGCTAATGATGAGGCAGGGCTCTTTACCTCCGAAACGACCCCTACGAGACCTCCGACGCGGTCTTCGGCGTCAAGAACTCCCTCGTCGTCGATCTCGGCAAGGCGGGCCCCGAATACGCACAGAAGTATAACGTGCCCGAGGACCACGCCCTGCTCACCTACGACTTTGTCCTCGTCACCGATCAGGAAACCGCTGATCTGCGCGCAAAGAACTCCAAGGAGGCGCTCGATAAGTTGGGCCGCAAGGTTCGCATCGTCAATGGGTTACCGGTGCCGGACCTGGATTGAAGAGATTAGCTATATTTGCACCTTTGTTTGTATCTGTACATATTGAAACTGTCTTGCAAGATGTGATCATGTGTATAACACGCATCATTCATTACAGGAGTCGTCGTAGGGATGGTAGTTACAATGAGGTCAATACGCACGTATCACAGCCCGGATGGTGAAGCTTCCACCATGTCCCCGAAGTCACTTCCGCCGTCGGCCACTTGCACCGCTGCTGTATTGCTGTTGGCATCACCAGCTGCAGCATCCTTCAACCTTCTCACCCCCGAGTCGTCCTCAACCCACCCACCAACTTTCTCCATTCCTTCAATATACTCCGCGCCAATGCGCAAGTTCAAACTCGCGCTGAGCGCCCGCTCGATCCGCGCTTCTCGCGTCTGGGAAACCAGGACCCGGAAGACATGCGCCAGAAATCCGCTGAGGATATCCACGCTCCAATCGTCGGGGATCAGCTGCAGGACGTCTTTGATGTCGAACCAAGCAGCGAACCGTGCCAGGAGATCACTGGTCCGCTCGATCCGTTCGGACACGTCCTGGATCTGAAGGAATTCGTCCAGAAGATACCTAAAGAGTTCCGACTGGTGTAACTTGTCAGGGAGTTCGACCGTCCCTGCTGAGCTGGTGCTGCGAGGTCCGCCAAAAAGGCAGTACCGAACGGCAGAGTCATAGTCGCCAAGCCCGTGAGTGAGAAGGCGGAGTGCCTCCCGGTGGCGGCCCTGCAAGCCATCCAGGATCACCGACTCGGAGACGAGTTCATTCTGGAAAGGTTCGATCCGGGCGAGAACCGCAGGAATTGAATACGTCAGTTTGGAGGGCGATGGCATCGAAGAGAATTGGCTTCTGCTCCCTCCGCCGAGCAACTGCAGCAGCCGAAGCCGCGACTGCCACCAGGGTTCGGCTGGGGTGTTTTCCATTATGAAGTTCATGTACGTCGGCTTAGGGGGCCGCAGGGCGCGGTAGGTCGAGTAGGATTCTGCAAGAGACTCCCGAGCGGAGGAGGAGGACTCGAGGACTGATAGGACAGTATCCAGGTAGTAACTGAGAAGGTCGTCCGCATATTGCGTGTACTACATAAGTTAGGCCCTCGAACAACTAATAAAGCATGTTAGTACTCACATTCTTGGCAAAAACGAGATGCTCCAGATACACCTGGACTGCGTTGGGGGCACGCTCTTTCAACATTTTCACGACATCAGCCGGCTCGAGTTGAACCCTACTCGTCTTGTCTGCGAAGACCTGGATTCCAAGTTGAGGGTTACGCCCAGCAAGCCATGACCCATACTCCTCGACCAGTTGTGCGTCTTTGATCTTGACGAGGTATTTGCGCATCTGCGCTTCAACGCCCGGCCCAGTTACCTCCCCGCCCACATTTTCTTCTCCTTCGATGATTCTCCGCCATGTCTTGAGAACATTTCTGGACATTTTCTGACTCTGATACAGCCGGCTGAGAACGTATAGTCTGTGATAACTCTCTAACAGTATCACAGCCCTGTCGAAGCTGCCTTTCCAGTTATCAACAAGCTTATTCAGCTCCGCACGGATTGGAGAGACCGAACGCTGCTCCATTGTCAATTGAGAATCCTGTTCCAGGAGCAAATGCAACAGAGCTGCATCAACGCTATCAAAGACGTAGGTCTCATCAGCGATGCTGCCATAACCTCTCTTCTGCTGCCATGAAAGAAGAAAGCGCTTGATCATGTTCACGACTTCATCATCGAGAGCACTGAGGTCTTTGTATTGTTCGTCTGCTTTGTCCAGGCGCTGTAGATAAACCTCCGCGATCTGCGCTAGCCCTCCATGAATCCAGATTCCTTGCGGGCCCTGCAAGACTTCTTGACGCAGCTGTGGGATCAACAAGAGAACAATCCGCGGATCCAACCCTCCAGTAATCAGCACCCTTTCCGTTTCCTGAATGGCCGCCCCCTTTCGAGCAGCTGCATCCATGAAGAGCAGGTCACCAAAAAGAAGGAGGCTTGACTTTTGTTTCAAGAAATTGAGTCCCAAAAACTCGGCTTCGGAGCGCGGCTCGGCGGCCTGAACTTCTTCAAAAACATCCAGAATAGGACCCCTTTTCAAATCCCCGTACATGAGTTCCTTTGAACCCTGGGCATCTTGCAAAACACCATCAAGCTGTGTTGTCAATGGATTTCTAACCACTCGCCAAATCCGACGTCCAGACCACATTACCAAGCTGCTTTGAGCCTGACCCAGAGCCCGGGCGAATTTGGCTTCTTCGTTATTGCGTTCCGCCTCCCAACCCCGCTCTGGCGACCCATCGCCCTTCCTTGCTCCATCGGAATCAGTCAAGTCTTGGGACTCGAACAATTCCTTCTCCTTCTGGAGCTGCTCAATGGAAGCCTGGGTCCTTGGATCTGTCACTGGTAGGTAAGGAGACAAGGAGGGCGTCTTCAAGCGGACCATCTGTAACAAGCTCCCCAGTTCACCGAATTCGAGTCGGCTGGAGCTCATTGTGTGACAGATTCCCACGGGACATGACGGTATGTCCTCGGCCGAAGGTACCTCTAGCCAGCTCTTACAATTCTCCTCCTCCCTCGGATCAACGTCCCACGGTTGAATTTCCAACCACTTGCACCGTTTTCCGTCTTGGTCTGTCTCTATGACCGCAAGGATGTATTGATCGTGCATATTCTCGTTCGACTCGACAAGGTTGTTCCCTTCACCGCTATCGATTACAATGTACTCAGGGTAGCGGTGGAAATTGAGTGTCCCACGCGGTACAACGTCCCCATCTAGATTGACAAACATGCCAACTCCAGGTTCTTTTTCTTCTGTCCCGGTAACTAACAGAAATTCCGACGGTGTTGGAGACGCAATGTGGGGTTTTAGCTGCTTCGGCAAGGGAGGAAGCGGCTTTGTGTCACTGACGGAGCCAGGCTGTGGCTCGCCTGCTCGGTTTTCAATAGATGTTCGCGGCGATGCACTGCGACGTCGGTCTTGCGAAACTGATCGTCTCGGTGTCCCGGAATCTGGGGAGAGTTCAGGTGTCGCAGAGCGCGACCGATCATGCTGAAGGTGCGGCGGATTTGGTTGAAGCATACCAAGAAGTGTATTCGAGCTAGGGCTCCTGGTATGAGTGCGGGTTCCTTGAGGTGTTGGAGACGGAGCTGAGGGCATATCCTCCACATGGCCCGATTCGAACGCTTCGTTAGACGAGGATATAGGAAACAGAGGGATCTTTTGCTGATGCTCCACATCAAGCAATGAGTATGCGTGTGAGTCAGCAGCACAGGCAATTGTTCCTCTTCGCAATGCCATGAGACAGCCGGGAAACTCGATGTTTCTGATGCGTCGAGCATCGTCCCCAATCCTAACCAGCATCATTCTACTTTGCGCGCCAATCAGAACAACGGGCGGTTCAGTACCATTTGTATCTGCGTTCAGGTCAAGACCGCCGATCCAGCGACAGTTGTTGACCTTCGTATTATTGAATGCCGGGCTGAGCTCAGGTAGCAGATAGAAAGTAACCGTGCCGTTGCAGAGCACGCATGCTTTGTTGACTGTTGGAAGCAGAACAATTTGCTGAATCCCGGGGTGCCTTGCTGCCAATGGTGCATTCTGAGAGAACGGAATGGGTAGTCTTGAGGCCAGGATGAAGGACGGTTCGTTCGAAGTCTCAGAGGGGTCCGGTGGAAGGCAGACGAAGTGAAGGATTTCCGCAGAGGAAGTACCGATGTAGAGATTATCATCTGGGGAGCGGAGCCTGTCAGTTGCCTTTCTCTTCCAGGAACACACAACAGGGAGTTCAGAGCTTACTCCAGTACTCAACACAGGTAATGTAGACATCGTCAGCCGTGGGGTCTTCGGCGGACAAGGGCACCTGGTCTAACAGGGACCGGAGCACATAAGGGGCTCTTTTTGGAGAGATAATTTTCCTCCTTTTGCGAGGGCTAATGCCGTCATCTTCCGACACCATAGTGAGACCAGCTCTGGCGCTTTCAAGGCGGATCAGTTATAAAATGTGAAGGTGAACAACAATAGTATGTCCTGGAGCTCGGCGGAGTTGATGCCTCATAGAGTGGGTCCAAACTGGGGGTTCTGCTATGTCAGCAGCCGAGCTGAACTAAGTTTAGTTAACTAACTACCTAGTAGTCATTGGAGACGTCTTGGCCATCCCACTGCATCCTAAAGACCTAAACATCGTTGCACAATTGCTTGGTATGACTGAGCTTAAAATTCGATGGAGCATGTTTAATTCGTAGTCGATGTATTCATAGTCCTGTACACATCTGATCAGTTCTGGCCATGTTGCCGCACAACATAGAATAGCGAATATCAACAAGAGTTCACGATGCCGTCCCGTACCAGAATCACGGGACGAAAGCCATACGCGCTGCAGATCATGTGGCACGTCCCTCTTTTCAAGCCACCGCTACTATTCTCGTGAATAGATGCATCCACCAATCCATATCCTACACTCTTATTCGCACAGGATCGCAGACGACTTTCTAAGGATCCTGCTTGCGACGTCATCGCAGAATTCATTTCAATAGTTCCTCGTCAAGTCAGCGCTGCAGACTTAAAAAGCCGGCCCGCTTGAACGATTAGTATATCACAAGCAGCGACGCCTGGCTTTTTGGAACTTCAAAATTTGGGATCTTCCGCTCTCATAAGGGAGTAGCATGCTTGTTCAGTCTCATTCTGCCTACCTTCGGGTAAGCAAACGCAAGAATGGCGCCGCAAATAAACCGCAAATCCGGTGATTCGGCTCATTCACAGGTGCAACAACCCTCTGACCATCCGAGGCGGCAGTCCTTTCGGGGATGGCTTCAAGGTCAATTTCACTTGAGGCCTCCCGATGATGATGAGCCTCAAGACTGGTGGCTTGCATCTACCGCGGTACCTTTGGTCGCCGCTGCCACTGGCCCCCTTGCAAATGTCATGTCAATCGTTGCTTTGGTCATGCCATGGAGAAGTCACATATTTTTCGACCAGAAAGACTCGCTTGGAAGCCCCTTGCAAGTTGGTTACTCAGACCCTCGATGGTAAGGATATCGTTCACTGCCATGACGACCCAGACGAATGGATGCTGACTTTTCTGCAGGTGCATTGCTCTCAACGCT